AATTTTAAATTTTACAAAAATGTAAAAATATTTATATTAAGATTAGAAGACATTAATACTGTTATTATTAATATTTAAAATTATACAATATTTTTAAAAATTGCTTTGAGTTTTTAAACATTTTTATTTTATTAAGATAATCGCAAATTTATTATCAAAATGACTAAAAATATTTTATTGTATATTTTGACTAAAATTTTTTATAATACAAATGAATCTTATATTGTAGTATATTAAATATTAAATATACAGTATATACTATAATAATTATTTATTGTCTCAAAAGATTTTTTATATAAATTATATTGCATTGTAATTATTTGTAAGTAATATATATATATATAATGATTTTTTAACATAGCATAAATATAATATAATTTTTAAAAATATAATTGTGCTAAAATTATTATTTTTTATAATATTAGTAAATAATTTTTTGCTTATTTTTATAAACTTACAATACTGTATCATTCATCTATTTATTTTAACTTTATATTGATAAATATGAGCTAATACTGTAATTATATTAAATATTTAATATAAAATTATTGTATAAATTTTTATATATATATTACTCTACTTTGTTTAAAATGGTTTAAATCATTATTTATTAAAATGCATTAAATTATATGACATTTTGACATATTATTATCAAACAAATATTTCTTCTATTATTTTGTCAATTGGTATTTATATTTCAACAAAATATAATGACAAACATTTTCATCCAATTTATATAAATATTTTTTTTTGATATAGTAATATTTTTTATGTATAAAATAATATTTTAAAGCATAACACAAATATTTATTTTGTGTGTTTATTATCACAAATACTATTACTTTCGTAACTGCAAATACATCGACTATTATATAGGTTATAATATATAATAATATTAATAAGTACTGTTCATTTAATATATATATGCTATAATTTAATATATATTAAATAGATATCTTATATTATTTATATATATATCAGAAAATTTTGGTCGATTAAACTAAAACATTAATTATCTAAGATAGCAAATGATAATGATTATTTTATTTATTACAGCTGTTTATCTCACTAAACAAATAAACAATATATAAATTATAGTATATTATTTTGTATACAGTATATATAATTTATATATATGTATGTTAACGATATATTTATATAATTGTGTCGCAAAATTTTATAAAGATATTAATTAATTATTTTAAGCTTTTTTGTTTATTTAAACATATATATCATTAAACATATCACAATAACTGTTTATTACATACAGTCATTAATTTAATCATTAGTTGTTTGAATAATTTTTGGACTCATTAAATAAATAATTAAATAAATATAAATAATTAGCCGCTTTTATTATATTAAAGTTTTTATTTAATAAATACGATATGATTATTAAGTAATTTAGTTAATGACACAAAAATAAAGATAAATGAATAAATATTTTGTTTCCATTAAATTTTCAAACAATAAACTGTTTTTTGTATTAATTAAGTGTAAAACTAATTGTGCAAATTAAATCATTATTGATATTTCCATATTTAATATTAATTATTTTTTATTAGTATAGTTTTTTATACTAAAGTTGCTTACAATTAATTATTGTTGATAAAAAAATTATTTATAAAAATTAACGTTAATATTGATAAATATTTTTTTAACATTTAGAATAATATATTATAAATATAACAATTATATTAAGTGTTTATAATAATAACGATAACATTTTTATATTATTACGTTAATACTTTATATTAAGTTAATATTACTAAAAAAAATCTTTATCTTAACTTAAATAACTATTTTCATTATAAATAACTTTATAAATAGATAAAATAGTTTAACATTGTTTTTATTTATTAGATTTACATGAATTTTATAATAAATGTTAAGCCAATAGAGTAGAGTTTTTATGAGCTATTAATACATAATATAGGCTCAGGGATGTTGACTAAATAAAGACTAATATATTCAAAATTATTTTAATATCTTAAAACTATATTATATCTATTATAATCAAAATATACTAGCTAAAAATATAGTATAAAAATTTTAATTAAATAATTTATTAAATATATATATATATATAGGATCTCCCTGAGCCAACAATCGTTATGCTCCTACATGACGTATTTTTTTATTGTATAAAATAAACAGTTAAAGCCCTTAGGAAAGTTTGTATATAAAAATATCAATAATATATGTAAAAGTTTATAAAAATTTGTATAATTTTAAGTATAAACACAAAAATCTCTATTCATTAATCATTTCTTTTAATTACAAAAATTTTTTAATTACAAAATCAACTAAAACGTCAGAAAATAGTTTTCATATAATCAATATATAAGCCACAAATACAATAGACTTGTAATCCATAATCCTCTATATTAGAGATTTACTGTACTATTTATATTACTATATTCAGTACAATATACTATACATATAATACTTTTAATTTGCATCACAAATAACAAACAGTACATCAAAATTTAGTAAAGATTTTAGGTATAATTAAATCACCAAAAAATCTAAAGCTGTTTATAAAAAGGCTTATAAATAAATAAATTATAAAATACAATAGTATTATAAATTACATATATATTGTATATAATTCAATGAAATTTTCTTTCAAACTTTTAATATAAACTTTTAGTGACAATATATTTAATAAATTAATATTAATTGTTTCAAATTACTTATAATTACAATAAATATTATTTTATCTAATTTTTTTTGCTAATTTTAATTTTTTATAAAATATATTATAACAAAATTAATATTTTATGTGTATCTATTGTGTTTTTAAATTTATATATAAACAAGTTTTTTAAAAATATGATTAATTATAAAATTAAATGTTATTATTCACAAAATTACTATAAATTATAACACTTTAATGTTATAAAAATAAATTTATATTATAAAGAAATTGTATAAAATATTTTATTAACTGTTAAATCAAAATAAATATCCTATTAATAAATAAAATAAATATTACTTAGAATTAAAATAACAATATTATTATTTATGTTTTCATGCATTTTAACTTATTTTCAAATAAAATGTTTACTAATATTAGAAACAATTAAATACATTTTATTCATAAGTTTATTATTTATATTTATAATTTAATCTTTCTTTTTATTACATTATATATAACATACTTAGATAAATCATATTCAATGTTACATAAATATATATCATATAAATAGTGATAATAAATAAAAGTCTGTTTTGTTAATTAATTAATTCAATTAAATGTCATAATAAACATAACTTTTGTCTTATAATGAGTTCTACTATTATATTATTATCCTTTTTTTTCTCTGCAAGACATTTATAGTCACAACAAAACTCATAAAACGCTATAAACAGTTCAAAAACATTCATAAAAACTATGTTTTTTATCTCAATTTCTATACAATATATTATTTTTTGTCCATCATTTTGTTCACATCACTCACATCCCGTTTTCTCGTGTTTTTGTGTCCAATAGTATTAGTATTATTATATTATATTTATTATACTATATGTCTTAAAAACATTTCCTTGTCATCAGCTATATATATATATGAAATGCATTTTATGGTTATAAACATTATATTATGTACTGAATTACTATTAGGCATTGATAATAATAGATGTAATAATTATATATGTGTCAGAAAAATGTTGAAATTTTATATAACTTTATATATATTTTACACGATATAACTATATATTTATAAATATATTAAACATTTTTTTAATAACATGAAATATTAAACTCGTATTTATCAAAATAACTGTATGAATGAATGCATAAATAGATGGAAATAAATCTTTTATAATATTAATATATATTTTTTTGTTAAATAAAATAAAATAAATGGGTTTCAATAAGTGCATGTGTGTTATGCAATATTTGCATAGATTATTTAAAACACTCAAATAATTGAAAATAAAAAAAAATTATTTTTATTTTTTATACCATTAGTTGTTTACCCATAGGAAAGATACATTATATAGTTAGATATATTAGTCAACAAACATTATTAGCTTTAAAAAGAGAAAATCTTATTAAATAAATGGAAAACATATATCAAATTACTTTTTAAAAAATTCCATGACTTAATAAATAAATATATAAATTCAAATATTTATAATTTATGTTATTTGTTATAAATAAATCTCTAAAAACCTAATTTTTTGCATAAAAATAAAATAAATTTGAATCAAATTTTAAAATATTGATAACAAATACATGCAAACAAAAATCAAATATAATTATTATTTTTTTGGTATAATAATTTTGACTAAAATTTATAGATAAAAATGTGCATATATATAATATATTATATATATACTGTAATATGTGTGTAAAACGATATAAAAAATGTTTATTTTTTGATACAAATAATACTACTTATTTATTTGACATCAAATTTGGACTTTAAAAAAGTTAAATATTTAAAAGAAACACTATATTATATTAAAGTATATATATATTTAATAAATATAACAAAAATATCTTTATTTGACATAATCTATATATAATTTATATTATTACAAAAAAATAAAACTCTTATTTCATACATTTGCAAGAAAATAGTATTATATTTACTATATATATATAGTATAACATATATAACTTATAGAATTTAATTTAGTTTTTTTTAGTCATATTCATAAATTTTTAATATCATATATTTGATATAAAAATTCTTGATTTATTATAAATAATGAAACCTTAGATTTTTTAAATCTCATATATAATATCAATAATATATTATTATTTATAAATAGTATATATTCCTAAACAAAAATAGTCAAAACTATATAAGACTATTAATATCAATGAAATGTTTTCAATATACTGTTTAATAATTGAAAAACTTTTCAATTTAAATATTACTTTAACGTTAAAAAATACATTTATTATGCATAATATTATACAGAATATTCTTGTAGTAAATGAATAACTAATAATAATAATAATAACAATAATAATAATAACTTACAGAATCTCTTTCCAGGTCTCGTCGCCAAACAATTTAATTACCAGATCTTCGAGACACAAGTGAATGAAACCATACTTGAAGTGACAGTTTTTGTAATATAAATATATAGATATATCTAATTAATACTAAATCTTATTTCGAGCAAATAATTGTATTTAATAGAAAACATATATATATATATATATAACTAATATACAGTATATTTATCAAATACAATAAAACTATATCAACATTACTACTAACAAAATCAACAAAAACAATAGAAATACTAATGCAATGAGTAATCATAATAGACAATAATATGCATATAATAAGTTGGCAAATAAAATATAGACAAAAATATAATATTAATAATATCATACATAATCATAGCAAACATATCATAAATAATATGATATAACATTAAATAGGATTACAATTTCATCAAATGGTAATACTAATAATAATTAAAACAACAAAATAATAAAATATTAAATATATAGATTTTTATGGTAACAAAATAAATAAAACATTGTTTCATACTTACCATTGTTTAGATAAGAATTTAAGGTATCTAAAATAGATACTATCAAGGTAGATTACAATTATTATTAATCTATTAATATATAGATATAAATGTAGCAAGCTTATATATATATATAGTAAGTTTATAAAAATTGTATTTTAATTAGTATATAAAATTTAACAATAAATTATTTGATAAATTCATGAGAATAATAATATATATAATTTCTTATTATATTTGATTTCTGTAGGTTTTAAACACAATATTTTTTTTAAATGTAGATCAGTTTTACATCACATATATAATATATACTGAATATATAAATAACAATCAAATTATTCAAACAAATAATTGTTGATATATTTTTTTGTCACTGAAATCACATGAAAAGAAACTATTTGTTGTGGAATTAGGATTCAAACAGTAATCAAATTCAATGATTTTTTTTTGGCATTTGGTTTGCTTAGCACTTAACCGGTAATATTACTGATAGTAGTAAACAGTATTTGATATCGACGTGTCTTACAGTTTATGTATTGTGTATATCGTGTGATGTTTTTTATACTTCATAAGAGTCCTCAACGACAGCAAAGTGTAGGCCTCTTATAATTTGGTCGTAGTTTTTGATCTATCGATAAAAACATACCGTTTTTTAAAAAACACAACTTCTCTCTGCTATTCACTACTCCTATCACTGAATCTTTTGGTTCAATAGTTCTCTTCTTCCACTTCTTCTTCTTCTACAAACTTCTTCACTTTTTCTTATTTATTGTATTTCTTCGTCCAATAGTTTTTTTTCTCTCTCTCTTCTATTATCATAAGAATATTCCTTTAAATAACTATTACAACAATATTCTTGTGAACAGAATAAGAGTGAAGTAAACACATAGAGAAAGACATACTAGTATTGTATGAATTGTTTGGTTGTTATACCAATCGTAGTGATCAATGATTTTTTGTTGTTGTTGTCGTTGTTGTTGTTGTTGAGTGAATCGGTAATTGATGTTTGAAATAGTTGTGTAAGTTTAACAACAACTACAACAACACAATAACAATGTTTTTTTTAAAATTCTTGTATATATTTTTGTCTGATATGTATAACAATATTTTTAAATAATATAGTTTTTTTGGAAGTTATATAACAAATATTTACGGAAAAAACTTTATATACTTTTTTTAAAAGCAGTTTTTCTTCAATTGATTATTTTAAACGCTTTTGGCGGTCAAACTTATGATTGCCAAAGAGCTGAGCGATTGTGTGGAGTCAATGAATTGCATTATATATTTGAAGGTTTGGTTGGGTCTCACAAGTCATGAGTATTAGTATTGTGTGTATATATATATATTGAGACAATTTTTATATTGTTGAATGAACTACTAGTACAGCACCGATACCACAACATCGGTGGTGTGGAGAACCCCGAGAGGAGTAGTAGGCATTTGCGCACCAGTTTATACATACCTAACCATAAAATGCCATTAGTTTTGAAAGTGGATTATGTTTTTAAGGGTTTGTTTTTCATTCACAAAATCATTGCTTTAACACAACACTGACATTCAATATACTGACGGCATTTTAGTGCGAAAATAATGTTATAATTTATTAAATAAATCAAATTTAATAATAATGTAAATTTGCTTATATATATATATATATATACCTTATATAATTTAAGTTGATAAATACAGTATATAGTTATGCAAATATAAAATTAAAATATATTTAGTAGTATTTTTAAAAATGAAATTATTTTTTATTAGTATTATTACAGTAATTGTAAATTCATTATAAAAAAATATGTAAACTATTTTATTAATAAAATAATATTATAGTATAAATCATATTATATAAAATTTATAATGAATTTATTTAATAAGTACAGGTAAAACAAATTTAAAAAATAGTGTTTTTTAAAAGTTTTATAAAATTGTTTAAAAAAATACTTTTAAAATATTTAAAATAAATTTTTACCAAATAAATAATACAATAGTTTATTAAATAATAAGAGAAAGTCTATATATAAATATAATAACAACATTGAAATCAATAGTTAGATTTGAATAATGGCTTTAACTGAGTCCCAGAAATATTAAGCAAATTATTGAAAATATCACGAAATGAACACTCATTTCCCGAATGACACCCTTCTTCGTCAGTCTTTTTCTGATTTTTTTCGTTTAATACATAATTCTTATAACTTATGCCTAAATCTAAATTTAAATATATATTTAAGTATAAATCGATTAATCAGTAATTAAAATATTAATTTAGACAAAAAAAACTATTTGTAATAAATTACCAGAAATAGGACTCTGAAGTTCAGAAGGATTCTGAAGATTATAGACATCCAAACCATTCATAATGGGAAACGTTTGGGTTAAGCGAACACACGGTCGACACAAAGCGGCTAACATTGCAGACAATAAATAGGAACAAAACTTTTGCGATAACCTATTGTCGTCGTTAAGCAAAAGATCGCAAAGCGCTCGCCATCTGAGCGAACCGTTCGGATAGAAGGAATGGTAACACGAGAGGAATGTTTTTACATCGCCCGCATTTTACACCCGCATTTACATCGGTTCCATTGTTAGACTTTTTAGAGCTCTTGAAATAGAAGACAACCTGATCTTCTGTATTCACTACTGACTGACCACTTGATCAACAATCAAGTCTCGAACCAGAAATGCGAACTCACGCGACATACCATTTATTTGCTTGAAGTGGTAGCGGCTCTTCAATCAGTATCGGATACTTTTGTCTGGCGGCGCACTCGAATGATATCTCATCGGTTTCGGTTAATATCTCTCCGTCACCCTCTTGTTCCCCGCCATCCGGTCCGATATCAAACAGTTTTAATTTTGCCGTATATTCTCCGCGACCACCAAACAAACCAAACCCTCCCAACAATATGTCTGTGTCGGCCATAAATCTAATCGCTTCTATCGAATGACTAGAAAAACCCCAACCTTTTTAAACAGTAAAATACAAATCAATATTAAAATAATTAGATATTATTAATACAATGCTTACCTCCTCCGTGGCTCTCAAAACGACAAACTGATGAATAGTCGTCTTTAGTTAACGGTTTGCAAACTTTGTTCTTACTTTGATCCACCTCTTCAATGGTACAACCTTTTAGGGATGCGATCGAAATAATATAATTGAAAATTTGCCATTGCTTTAAGTGTCTTAGAGTCGGCCAAAGCCATCGCCCAAAACAGTTTGGTTCGACCACAACCTTCATGAAGATCTACACGAATGGCCTCCTCTTCCTCTTTAAATATCTAAGTATTTGTTGATTAAAGATATTAAAACAATTTGTTTGTATTATTATGTCATATATTTTATACCTGTCTTTGATGGCAACGAGTTTTGCTGTGAAGATGTAGATATCGATCACATTCGGCGCACAAATTACCGCAAGAGTTACACAAAATAATAGCCGCAGTTTCGCCGTCGTCGTGATTGTCACAGAATGGCTATTGAATTAACAAATAAGAGATTATATATAACTATAAATATAAGAGTAATCAAACTCTTCACCAGTGATGAGTGATTTCCATCTGAGACGTCAAATCCTGATAGGATTCAAGAGCCGGATGTATAAACATTGATTGATGCGATTCATCCAAAATTGTCGGACTCTGTTCCTCATCATTTCGACCGACAATTTTACTGATATTAGAAAATACGTGACACTGGTGTAGAAATGAATGGTCTTCACCATTGAATTGAAGACAAAAACAGCGAACTGCTATTTGCTGAAGTGGTGATCCCATCGGCAAAAGTGGCATTAACTCAGAAACTGTACTAAGAAATGAATGAAAAGCCTGTCTCAGCACTTGAGTCGCTTCGCCAGCAATCGTGAGATCAGCCAACGGGTGGTGACAGACATCTGTTTGACTCTTGTGTTGACTCACTTCTGATTCGTTACGTTTCTCAACAGATATTCTATTGTTGGCCGCATTGATAGCATTGTCTCCAACAGCGTCACCGTTGGCTATATTTTCTTCGGTCTCCTCTTTGTTCTGCACTTTATGTATCGTATCATTCGTTGTCAACGCATCAATGAAAAACCACATCAAGTCATGTATGGCCACCGGTTGGCTCACATTTCTTAGCAACCAATTGAGTGCCTGAAGACCTAATGTCCGACACGAAGACTTGCGGAGTGCACTTCTCATAGCAATCATCAGTCCATTTAAATCGTGAGTTTGTAATATGAATGCCATTATCGGTCGACTCAATACTGCCATAACATTGGCATCAATTGAGTTGGTGTCCAAAGTAGACGATTGATTGTCAGTAAAACACAAATGAACTAAATTTATCAGATATGCCGACAAAGAAATGTTGTAACCAATTGTTTAATTGGGTAATACTTTTGCCCGGATTGTGACGGTTTGGATAGATTTCGTTAATATAGACATTAAGCAAATGAAGTGTCGATTATTATTATTATTTATTATTATTATTAATATATTAATTATATTAATTATTATTATTATTATTAAATTCGTAGACTTTCTGAGTCCATAATCATAAAAAGTATTTTTAAAATTACCGCAAAGTCTTCTTCGTCTTCACTGTTGAGTCCAATACCGTCTGATATATGCATTACATTTAGCGTATCGTTTGGTGTCAGTTGTTTGGATCGCAATTTAAAAATATAATCATTGGATATATTGGTGGCAAAGAAATGGTAATAAGTATTTCTGACTAATAAGCCGTATATATCTTGAGATGTCTTTTTGTTTGTTAGGTTGTAATCCGCTAACCAAACCATTTGTGCTAATGTTTGGGCAAAATTATTAGTAATAATTTGTGAGTTGTATTCATCTCTGTGTTTCTCTTTTTTTTCTCCCAATTCCTTCATAAATCGGTAATTCTTTTCATCCATATTTTCAATTAAGAATTGTTCGGTAATTTTCTTGACTTCAACCGTAAGGAAAAGTCGTCCGCCGTTTGAGAGAACTTTGTCGGGAACTGCAATAAAACCTTTTGTTTTGTTTTCAAAAATATTTTTTCTTTTCTTTTTGTTAACAGAATCCCAATTAAGTTTTAATTGATTGCTTATATGAAACAATTTATTAAAACCATTGTTTTTCATTGAAAAATATATTAAATATTCAACGAATCGTTCGATATCTCCTTCGCTATAATCTTGAGGACCCATTCTTTTTGGACTATTATCTCTTAAAGTATCCAAAAAGTCGTCACTCAATGAACCTAATTATGTTAGCATTTCAATCAAATAATTAGAAAATTAATTATAACATAAAATAAAAATAATAGTCTCATAAAAATATCAATATATATATACAATAAATGATAAAACAGTTGACATCTCATAATAATAATAATAAAACACAAAACATATGGTAAATGACTTGACTTTTGTTACAAAAGAAATTTTTTGATTCCTTATATATATATATATATTATATTATATGATATTATATAATATAATGCATTAGAGAATCACTGAATTGATATATCACTGAAACATTAGAACATTAAAGTACAGTATTTTTATTTATGACAAACATTAGGATATATTTTTAAAGAGAGAGAAAATGAGAGAAAACTTTTGTGCTCTCAAACACACAATGCAATCATCGATCATATATTGAATTCACAGCTAATTTGAATATATTATGCGAGAAAAATAAATTTCACACTATTTTTCTCCTTTTAAAACAAACATAAAATCAATATTTTAGCATAAATTATTAAAAATGAGATAAATATCTACTGTTATTAATATAATAAAACTGTCAAATATTTATGTGTACAGAAAAAAACTGTATTACAATGACACAAATAAAATCAGTAATAAAATGTCTCATAAAACAAAATATTAAATTTATATATTAATCAATTGTATATCAATTTTATCACAACAATTGATTTATATAATAATAATATTATTAACCAAACCTTTATCTGTCATTTGTTTAAAATGTGTGTTGACTTTAACATTAGAGACACTAATTTGGTTATATGTCTTAATATCAGATAATTTGTATTTGCAAACAGATTTGTTCATTAATGGAGACCAATGGCTTAGATTACGAGACATTGTTTTAAACAATTTAAAGACAAACATATTTTAAAAATTTCTAATAAAAAGTTGTAAAAATAAGTCACTTAAATATCAAAATAATAACAAAAGTAATTTACTTTTAATTTATACATTTTATAATATTAATTATTTTGATATTTATGTTTAATAAAAATATTTGTCAAAAAAAACTAGTTATCAATTATAATATCTAAACTATTTATGTATTTTTATTATAAGTTAATTACTAATACTTAATATTAATTCAAATTCAAATATTTCCATTTATTCAATGTATTCAATACTAGATATTAAACATTTAATATATGAAATAATTTAAATGATATGATATCTACCTATCGTTGCATTCATTTGTAAGTAATGTCTAAACAGTTTCCACTCATTCAGTGGACAATCACTTGTCTTCACTTTCATTGCTTGAATTGTCTGTTGAGTTACGTAACGGGTATTCAATAAATTAAAGTCAAAGTCATAGTTAAGACCTATTGGTTAGTAATAAATACATTAGTATTACAATCAATATATTCAATGATTATATACCCGTTTCCTCGTATTTATAATCATTAAAGTCATCCTTAAATCTATTGATATCCAGAGTGTGTGCCAACCAATGCAAACACCGACCACTACTACCTGTCCTCACATACAATGACTGACCCGTTGTTAGCAATGGTTTCAGTGATGCAAACATTGTATTCATTATATTATTATTTATTATTTATTATTATATTATATACTAAACTGTGTTTTAAGTTAAAAGATTGTCAATTGATTTTGTGTCCAAATATACGATACTATTATCACTCAATTGGTCTCACAATAAGTCAAATCAAACATCAAATTGATTGTTGTTTTAATTGAAAACAAATAATACATGTTTTTCATACAAAACATATGTGTTGTCACTAATAATGATATAAAATGATTGTATTATTGAAATGTAATTAACTTTTTATTGATTTAGTTGTAAACCAATTGTCGAATCAATTGATTTGTTGTTTAAATTGTTTTCAAAATACAAATCAAAACAAAAGTAGATTACGCAATGCATTGGAAAGTTAGGGACCGTTCAATAAGTTACACATCAGAACAATACAATTAGTTATATAAATGAATAAATAGTAAAAACACATAAAAGTAATAAATTTAGATTTATTTGCAATTAATTTATATTAATATGTCATCAATTGGTTTGAATCGTCAAAAAAGTTGTTACTATTGTTAACCGGTTTATACATTTGTTGATATATTAAATAAATCGCTTTTAATTCATCTTTTAATTTAATATTTTATATAAATTTTAGCTAATTTAAAAAAATGATATTTATTTATTGGTTTATTTTTTGATAATTACAATTTATTTATATCTGCTATTATTTCATATATGGTAATTGTTTTTTAAATTTTTAATAAAAGTTTTAATAATAAATACACTGTACAAAGATATATCATATATAATGTTTAATTATACAACCTGTGGATACCTATAGTTAATCATTAAATATTTACGACTATATATGTGTCTAATTATTATTAAAATTAATTAATAATTAATTAGTGAATTAGGTAACCAATTGGATAAAAATAATAATAGGTTATCAATTAGTTTATTATATATACAGGTATATACTTAGCAATTATTAGATAATTATACAAATAATGTACAATATTTTATATAATATAATATACTAAACAAATAAAAAACAATATGAAAAAGTTGACTTAAATTGTTTTTTTAAATAGAAATTGTATAATATATTTAATTTGAAATAAATTTTTTCAAAACGTATGGGCATTCCTATAGACACCACATCCGAGTGCAAACTCCTCACCCGTTGGCGGATGTTTCACATGAAGAGGACACTCGTCGCCTTCCAGTTGTTTACCTCTGGGACCGGCCGGACATTGATTGCAGAAGTGTGTGGTTCCGAAACAGAAGAATACGGCAACAGAACAACAATAGCGACACTTATACTCCAAGAAATCGGTTCCGTGTTTGGGACACATCTGTGCGCGCGATACGTCTGAACAGCCGCCGCATACCAGCTCTGTCGGATCGTAGTTGTCGCCGACGCCCAGTTCGGCATCACATCGGGCTTCGCCACCGTAGTAGGCCTTCTTGCACTTGTGGCACACTAGTACGCGTACCGTTCCATCGCATAACTGGCCGCGTCTTTATAGAAACGACCGCCGCTTACGGTAATGGCTTCGCATCGGTGCAGACCTTCGTACTCGAGACGCATAAGTGCTTTGCGGCGCACGTCGTCATACAGAACACGAATCGGTGCCAACAGGTCTTCCAGTGATGGGTGATCTATAGGGCTCTTACAGATCGGACACAACGAAAAGGAAAATATGATTCGTGGACCCGACCAACGGTTCTCGAGTACGGCTTTAGTACAGTGCGAGTGGAACAGGTGTCAATCAATTAATGTAAGATATCTTAATAAATTGTATATTAATAAACATATTAATATACCTGTTTCTGGAGATGAGTTAATTTTCCCGATTGACTAAATAATATGCCGACCATATGCTCCCGTAAATCATTAGCCGCACCATTGATTCCATTTTCGGCGATCTGTTCTCCCGAACCAATATTAGATTCATTCTTAGCGCTGTCCAAATCTGCCTCACCAGTGATGAGTTTACCGAAAACCTGTAATTATTATTATTTTTAAAGTACGGTAAATCATATATTCCGGTAATTATCTAAATTATCATTCGATGAAATAATTACCTGAGATGTAAGCAAACGAAACACTTTAAGTGTTTCCGTTTCGCAATTGGTTTGTTGTATCTGAATATAACTTATCGGTGGTTTGAGTCTCTCTTGCGATATGTCGACACTCGCGCCGAGAATCTTGATTTGTCTCAAACGCAATGTATTGTCGGGTCCTTTGAGTTCAATGCGAATACATTTTAAACGCGATTCCATGTATGGTATAACACAATACAGCCAACCGGCAAACCGATTGTCCACTTCTGTCACTTTGAGTTTAATCATCTGTGGTTCGGATGCATTGGAATCGCCCGATTTGAATGACACCTGAGATATCTTTGCCCCCAAATCCCTAACGTTGTCAATGTGTATATAAATCGATTTGATCGCCACATCCATTAAGTCGTTATTATTAATAATTGTTATGACTTTTGCTTTATTCCTGTCCTCATCTCCCGACTCCCAGAATGTTTCGGTTGAGTTATCATTCAAACTGGCAATCATTGCCTGACGGGATGAAGCCTTGATCTCCATCTGAGACGTCAAATCCTGATAGGATTCAAGAGCCGGATGTATAAACATTGATTGATGCGATTCATCCAAAATTGTCGGACTCTGTTCCTCATCATTTCGACCAAAAATTTTACTGATATTAGAAAATACGTGACACTGGTGTAGAAATGAATGGTCTTCACCATTGAATTGAAGACAAAAACAGCGAACTGCTATTTGCTGAAGTGGTGATCCCATCGGCAAAAGTGGCATTAACTCAGAAACTGTACTAAGAAATGAATGAAAAGCCTGTCTCAGCACTTGAGTCGCTTCGCCAGCAATCGTGAGATCAGCCAACGGGTGGTGACAGACATCTGTTTGACTCTTGTGTTGACTCACTTCAGATTCGTTACGTTTCTCAACAGATATTCTATTGTTGGCCGCATTGATAGCATTGTCTCCAACAGCGTCACCGTTGGCTATATTTTCTTCGGTCTCCTCTTTGTTCTGCACTTTATGTATCGTATCAATTGGTTTGGATTGACATAACAGTTGTTACTATTGTTAACCGAATCATACATTTGTCGATATACTGTATTAAACAAAAAGTATAAAATCAAACAAAAAATAAATTAACAAAATTTGAATTTTAAAAATATGATTAAAAAAATTTCACTCACTTTGCGTTTAAATCATTCATATGTGATGTCTGTGTTAGTGATAGTTCCAGTGGTCGGGCAATAAATGTATCAAATTTTATCTAAAAGTTTTAAGATCTTAAATAAAGGCATAATTGAGTAAAATTTAACTAATAATAGATAATATAAGAATTTTTTTTAAATATAAAAATTAAATCAAATTATCTTTTATTTAATGTAAATTGATTATAAAAATAATACTGTAATAAAAGATCGTATAATATATAGCAATTTGTTTGATAAGTAAAATTGATTTAAAAATACTTTTATAAAATTGCATATAAAATATTTAAAATAAAAGTAATGATAAATATTAAAATAAAAATTTTAACAAATTTATAACAAATAAATAATACAATAGTTCATTAAAGAGGAAGAGACAGTTCATAATTTATAATAATAATAATAATAATTAATGGTTTGGACGATGGCTTTGACTATAAAAAACAATAAAATTTAAGCAATGGTTGATTTAAAACACTTGAATCGATTTGTTAAAAGAAATGTCTGAATGATTTGATGTTCAAAATAGACGAATAATTTTCTGTAAAAGACAGCAAATAAACTAAATTTATTAGATTTGACGAAATAAATGACAAAAAATTTTTATAAAACACTACTTATTACTGAGTTATTCACGTGAATAGGCCGTTGACGAGACAGCCTTTTCCTGATTCCAGTCATAATATCTAATAAATATATAATAAATAAATAATAAAAAACACTTCAACCTTAAGATTCGGTACACTAACTATATGTCCGTATTGGTCACGAGTGATGACAGTGATAACAGTAGGCCAACCGCATTGCAGTTCCTGATCTGTACCACAACTACAGTGCACTTCACATTGATTTGGATCAACAAACGATTCGCTTTGAAACCATTTGGCGAGTCGGGCGCCGGAAGTACCGGGAGTTAAACAAATAAAATCTTTGAGAAACGGATGTTCATTAGCGACAGGTATGACATCATCGATAGCTTCAGTGGCGGTCATAGTTCGTGAAAGTGCTAAACCTTTGCTTAACAAACTTGAATGCGCTTCAAATGTCTGTAGAATTGATTCGTATTTGACTTCCGATTCAATCGGATTTTGTGGGAAAATGAGATTTTTCTTCAAAAGTGTTTTAATACAAATACCGGACAAATAAGTCAACTCCTGTTCCAAATACTGTAGACCTAAATATAAGCCTTCAGTTAACGGATTTTCGTAACCAATCACTTGAGCTCTAAATCCATAGTAAAGACTTTTATCTTCTTTCACGTAATCGGATGCCGTTTCCAATGAAAATATCATTTCATTGCCTGGAATTACCACTGAATTTGTCGGCCAATTACTAGACTTTCCTGAAAACTTTTTAAGCACAGGCCATAAGCTTTTGTTATTATCGTAATATTTTGTAGTTTTTGATGACTCCCAACACTTTGTCAGTCGATATTCAGGAATATACATCTGAAGTATATCTTCCGGTTGAGCGGTCGCGCATCGGCTGTCAAATTCTATGCACATCCACTTTACTGTCGGCGCAAACTTAACCAAATAATTGCAAACAGTCGCTGACTTATACGGATGATCACTCTCTACAGTCACATAATGTCTTGATGTTGTTATCGGTGGACTCGATGGCGGTAAAGGAGATGATTGATTGATTGCACAGAAGTCGTTAGATTTGTTTAGAAACACAACTAATGGCACTAATTGTCTGATTGTTGATAATATTTGTATTGCACTCTTGGTGTCAGTTGAAACAACTGGAGATAAATAGTTGAGAAGTGATGGCAACAACTTTTTAATCAAAAGCGATGAAGAGATCTTCCAAATGAGATCAACGGATGGACACTCCTGGGCCTGAAGTAACAGATCTACAGTTAATGAGATAACACTTTCGGTGATAGCGATGGCATTTTTGCGGGAATTTCTTCATTAATAACAAAATGTTTTGAATCACTTTTACTAGACTGAGGGGTACTATAGTATAGAATCTGTATATAAAATATTTTTAAAAATTAATTACTCAATCGTCTAATTTAGTCTTAAGTTATAAAAACCTGTGGTATTTGTCCTCTCGTATGATTAGTTCCGTTAAAACTTAGCGAACAGTCACTGAACGTAAAGGTTGTTCCGTCGGCTCCTCTGATATGTGTGAGTCCGGCGTCACCGTTGTTAGTGCGCGGGCCGTGATTTTTGAGACGTATGGCATACTATGAATGAGACTTTTAATAACCTATTTTATTATGATATCTACAAACCTTAACATTTGGTGCAATCAATACTGATCTGTCGAATTTCATTTCACAGACATCACTGGATTTATCTTCAAAACTATAGGTGCCTTTCACTAACTCTATGGTACGCCATGAGTGTGACTGTCCATCGCGTGATAATGACTTATCGTCGTGAACGGCAACTCCATTATAATCAAGTAATTCCAGTTCATAGTGCCATTCATTACCAATACCTCCATAAACTGTAATACCAGCAATAGAAATGCCTGCTCTGTCTACTGAAAAACAAATAGCATCGGGAGATCCATTGCCTGTATTCCACGTCCTGTTCTGTGAAATACGCGAAAATCTGGACGGAGTTAAATGTAATTGTTGGCCACTCATCACGTGTGAGTCAAACCCGATTCCAGTCACCTGAGCCACCAATTCAGACATAATTGTTATGATAAGATTACACGAATTCTCGACTAATTGTGTATAACTGTTGTCGGACTCTATTTCTGATTCTAAATCCATGTCCAATGTATTGCTCTCTTGTTGTAGACTATACCTAATCGGTTGACCGATTATTTTAAGCAAATTATTGAAAATATCACGAAATGAACACTCAGTTCCCGAATGACACCCTTCTTCGTCAGTCTTTTCCTGAATTTTTTCGTTTAATACAGAATTCTCATAACTTATGCCTAAATCTAAATTTAAATATATATTTAAGTATTTATCGGTTAATCAGTAATTATCGTATAATATTAATTTAGACAAAAAATATAATTAAAATAAATTACCAGAAATAGGACTCTGAAGTTCAGAAGGACTCTGAAGATTATAGACATCCAAACCATTCATAATGGGAAACGTTTGGGTTAAGCGAACACACGGTCGACACAAAGCGGCTAACATTGCAGACAATAAATAGGAACAAAACTTTTGCGATAACCTATTGTCGTCGTTAAGCAAAAGATCGCAAAGCGCTCGCCATCTGAGCGAACCGTTCGGATAGAAGGAATGGTAACACGAGAGGAATGTTTCGTGACTTTCGTCCATAATTTGCGATACAAAAGCATTCACTTCACCGGTAAACGAATGATTACGTGGCGGTGGTTCGGGTGGTGACGACAGTATGTGCTTCAACTGTGTCCTCACTTCGTATATGCATTCGGCCAGTCGTAACCAGTCGTTCATTTGGGTAATACTTTTGCCCGGATTGTGACGGTTTGGATAGATTTCGTTAATATAGACATTAAGCAAATGAAGTGCCGAACAACAAATGTACGTCAAGTGCTTCAATTGTATCACATTATCACCCATTGAATCGCTGTATTCCGTACTACCGGTGCGACTCATATCACAAACAATTGATTTAAATGACTTCCAACTCCATCGCAATAGTTTCAGAAGCGATTGAAAGCATTCCGTTTTAACGGTTAATGAAAAATCTTTACTAACTATACAAATGGACTCTTCGTATAAGTCGTTGGTTTCATTGCGATTTGAGAAACGACTCGAAGATTCAATTCCAGTTGACATCACTTTATAGAGCAGTTGTGGTATTTGTCCCGCATTTACATCGGTTCCATTGTTAGACTTTTTAGAGCTCTTGAAATAGAAGACAACCTGATCTTCTGTATTCACTACTGACTGACCACTTGATCCACAATCACTACTGGGACCAGAAATGCGAGCCCACGCGACATACCATTTATTTGCTTGAAGTGGTAGCGGCTCTTCAAACAGTATCGGATACTTTTGTCTGGCGGCGCATTCGAATGATATCTCATCGGTTTCGGTTAATATCTCTCCGTCGCCCTCTTGTTCCCCGCCATCCGGTCCGATATCAAACAGTTTTAATTTTGCCGTATATTCTCCGCGACCACCAAACAAACCAAACCCTCCCAACAATATGTCTGTGTCGGCCATAAATCTAATCGCTTCTATCGAATGACTAGAAAAACCCCAACCTTTTTAAACAGTAAAATACAAATCAATATTAAAATAATTAGATATTATTAATACAATGCTTACCTCCTCCGTGGCTCTCAAAACGACAAACTGATGAATAGTCGTCTTTAGTTAACGGTTTGCAAACTTTGTTCTTACTTTGATCCACCTCTTCAATGGTACATCCTTTTAGGGATGCGATTGAAATAATATAATTAAAAAATTACACCATAATTATGATAAACAAAACAAAAATGATTACCCAATTGATGTGCAGTCGTCAATGTATCCAAAGTGCATAATAGGTTGAGAGCAGCGGTACTCCTATCGATAAGTGTGGACGCCTTCTGTGGAAGTGCTAATTCGGGTAATAAAATCGCAATCGCTACCGGCGTCACTCATATCCAAACTAATAATATTCGACACGTGTTTATCAATGACATCCAAATGCGGAGCTTCTGATTGTTCGCCCATTACTTCCTGTCCTCGACCGCCAACCGGTACACCTTTCTTGAAGACTTTGACTGTATGACGAAACCGTCTTCCGAGTACATCGATGGCTATTTTTCGTCGTTCACTTCGTGGATTGATAGCAGCTCTGAAAGCTGCCCGATTCAAGTGTGGCTCATCATAAACCGGTTCATTGGCCGGCATATAAGCCCCGGGCATTGCTTCGTTAATTCCCGGATCAATCATAGCAAAAGCGGCCGCAAATTTCTGACCTCATCTCTAAGCGGTTGTAATTCATAGTTAAGATGTGCCGCATTGAATGCCATCTCATTTAACGGCATTAGTGGCGACTCGTTATTCTCATTGGCACCGAATGATTCACGGGATACGGCTTCACACGCTCGACAACAGCCACAGTCTATACAACCGGCGTCACCCGCACCGCAACCACACGACATTCCCGGATTGCGTTCACTCTTTCCACTGGCTATACATGCCGTCCCATAACCGGTACATTCGCCACAAAGAGTACAAATCATGCACTGATCATATCTCCATCGGTGTTGTCCTAATGCACACAACGGTTCTGTTATATCTTCTGTGACATCAATTTGTTGATCATTGATTCGTTCGTCAACGTCTTCACACAGGACTTCCTTATTTGTTGAGGACGTTTGCATCAAATCGAGACCGCACTGACCCTTATTGGATATACCGAACGTATAGACCGTTCCTTTTGTTGAAAGGGCCAGAATATGTGCCTTTCCAATGGCAACCTGTGATATAAACACATTCTTCAATGGTGTCACTAAACCTGTATTTCTGTCCACATAATGTGCATCTTTGCCAAACAGATACAATTCCCCATTTTTGGTGACCATAGCACTCGACCCGTGATTACAGGCACTATAATCTATAGACTTTCCTTCCATTTTCAATATTTTCTTTGGTTTTCCCGCTTTCGGTTGACGACAACTTTTAGTCTGTTCTCCATCTTCTCCACGTTTGGCTAAACCAACGAAATAAACTGATCCGTCATCAGAGACCAACAGTGCATGTGAGCCTTCGTGACCGACACTGATATGTGAAATCTTCGGCGACTTACTAATCGGCAATTCTGTCCATTTACCGAAAGTTGCGGCACTTTGTTTGATACCTAAACTCTGAGCTTTTCCCATGAAAAACACTTTACCCGAAAGCGTGCGAATCAGTGAAAAATCTTTTCCGCAACAAATCTGAACAATATCTTCGCAATCAATACTTTCAATAGGTCTCAACATTTGTTGATTAACTTGTGGTTCATTTGCAACTACCGGCTGATCAAAAATAGCCGAACCAATGCCACCACAAGTACTCAGACACTTATGCGACAACTTTATAGTTATCTCTTGAGTGATATTCATCAGATTAGATGTCATGTCAAGCGATGGTTTAAGAGTTCTAATGGCAAAACAATCGTCTTTTGTTGCCGTTATTAAAATAAGACTTTCACTATCAGAAGCACAAGCACTGGGACCTAATTGTGATACACCGAGTGCTACTTTTCCTAATTCTTTCAGAGTATTCTTATCCAAACGGATCAGTTCGTTATTAGTCCAGTTGTTAGTCTGCATGTATAGACTGTTACCAATATATCCAATCCAACCGATTTGTACATATATTTGCCATAGTTTTAGTAATTTTAAAGTCGATTGAAATTATTATTAAAGTGAAACATCTCTTCCTCCGAATTAACTGTAATTATAAAATTATAAAATTAAAAGATTTATTAATTAATTGCATTAAATCAAATAATAAATACCTAATTATATGTTTTTATGAATAATTGCCAAAAGGATTTGCTCAATGGTATGCCTTTCCTCTTGATTTTGAAAGTTAAAGGGTTTACAACAATTAATTTGTTTTACAATTATTTGGTCGCAATCTTCTTTTTCAACGCCTTTAATATATTTATTAGTGAATTTAGCCGTAAAAAAATAAAACATTTTATTGACAATTAATACGGCAAACATGTCGTCAATAGAGTTAGTGCATTGAGTTTTGTTATGTTTGGCCGACCAAAGCATTTGGCAGAAGAGCTGTCCTTTGTATTGATTGATATCAATAATTTTGTTGTCATTGTATTTGATCTCAATCGGCAAAATAATGTCCTGATTATGTTTTAGTATATAATCGGGTTTAAGTAACAACCCTTTTCTTTCATTTGTTTCTCTCATTGTATCACCAATTGGCCAAAACAGCGAAGATTGCGATTTAAATGTGACATTATTTGCTTTCAAATTGTGATCTTTGATGAAATGCCGGAGATATGTGAAAATGAGTCGATCATAATCATTCTCATTATCACAATCATCCATTTCAGTTGAAATTTCATCATTTATCAAATTTCTTAATTTTAAAGATCCTAAATTAAATAAAATATAATTAAAAATACTATAATAATAAATATTTCAAGATTACTATATTATTTAAAAATTTGTTAGTCAGACAAAATCAGACAAAGTCAGACAAAAATATATACAAGAATTTAAAAAAAAAATTGTTATTGTGTTGTTGTAGTTGTTGTTAAACTTACACAACTATTTCAAACATCAATTACCGATTCACTCAACAACAACAACAACGACAACAAAAACAAAAAATCATTGATCACTACGATTGGTATAACAACCAAACAATTCATACAATACTAGTATGTCTTTCTCTATGTGTTTACTTCACTCTTATTTTGTTCACAAGAATATTGTTGTAATAGTTATTTAAAGGAATATTCTTATGATAATAGAAAAGACAAAACTATTGGACGAACTATTATATTATTTCAATCGCATCCCTAAAAGGATGTACCATTGAAGAGGTGGATCAAAGTAAGAACAAAGTTTGCAAACCGTTAACTAAAGACGACTATTCATCAGTTTGTCGTTTTGAGAGCCACGGAGGAGGTAAGCATTATATTAATAATATTTAATTATTTTAATATTCATTTGTATTTTACTTTTTAAAAAGGTTGGGGTTTTTCTAGTCATTCGATAGAAGCGATTAGATTTATGGCCGACACAGACATATTGTTGGGAGGGTTTGGTTTGTTTGGTGGTCGCGGAGAATATACGGCAAAATTAAAACTGTTTGATATCGGATCAAGTGGTCAGTCAGTAGTGAATACAGAAGATCAGGTTGTCTTCTATTTCAAGAGCTCTAAAAAGTCTAACAATGGAACCGATGTAAATGCGGGACAAATACCACAACTGCTCTATAAAGTGATGTCAACTGGAATTGAATCTTCGAGTCGTTTCTCAAATCGCAATGAAACCAACGACTTATACGAAGAGTCCATTTGTATAGTTAGTAAAGATTTTTCATTAACCGTTAAAACGGAATGCTTTCAATCGCTTCTGAAACTATTGCGATGGAGTTGGAAGTCATTTAAATCAATTGTTTGTGATATGAGTCGCACCGGTAGTACGGAATACAGCGATTCAATGGGTGATAATGTGATACAATTGAAGCACTTGACGTACATTTGTTGTTCGGCACTTCATTTGCTTAATGTCTATATTAACGAAATCTATCCAAACCGTCACAATCCGGGCAAAAGTATTACCCAAATGAACGACTGGTTACGACTGGCCGAATGCATATACGAAGTGAGGACACAGTTGAAGCACATACTGTCGTCACCACCCGAACCACCGCCACGTAATCATTCGTTTACCGGTGAAGTGAATGCTTTTGTATCGCAAATTATGGACGAAAGTCACGAAACATTCCTCTCGTGTTACCATTCCTTCTATCCGAACGGTTCGCTCAGATGGCGAGCGCTTTGCGATCTTTTGCTTAACGACGACAATAGGTTATCGCAAAAGTTTTGTTCCTATTTATTGTCTGCAATGTTAGCCGCTTTGTGTCGACCGTGTGTTCGCTTAACCCAAACGTTTCCCATTATGAATGGTTTGGATGTCTATAATCTTCAGAGTCCTTCTGAACTTCAGAGTCCTATTTCTGGTAATTTATTTTAATTATATTTTTTGTCTAAATTAATATTATACGATAATTACTGATTAACCGATAAATACTTAAATATATATTTAAATTTAGATTTAGGCATAAGTTATGAGAATTCTGTATTAAACGAAAAAATTCAGGAAAAGACTGACGAAGAAGGGTGTCATTCGGGAACTGAGTGTTCATTTCGTGATATTTTCAATAATTTGCTTAAAATAATCGGTCAACCGATTAGGTATAGTCTACAACAAGAGAGCAATACATTGGACATGGATTTAGAATCAGAAATAGAGTCCGACAACAGTTATACACAATTAGTCGAGAATTCGTGTAATCTTATCATAACAATTATGTCTGAATTGGTGGCTCAGGTGACTGGAATCGGGTTTGACTCACACGTGATGAGTGGCCAACAATTACATTTAACTCCGTCCAGATTTTCGCGTATTTCACAGAACAGGACGTGGAATACAGGCAATGGATCTCCCGATGCTATTTGTTTTTCAGTAGACAGAGCAGGCATTTCTATTGCTGGTATTACAGTTTATGGAGGTATTGGTAATGAATGGCACTATGAACTGGAATTACTTGATTATAATGGAGTTGCCGTTCACGACGATAAGTCATTATCACGCGATGGACAGTCACACTCATGGCGTACCATAGAGTTAGTGAAAGGCACCTATAGTTTTGAAGATAAATCCAGTGATGTCTGTGAAATGAAATTCGACAGATCAGTATTGATTGCACCAAATGTTAAGGTTTGTAGATATCATAATAAAATAGGTTATTAAAAATCTCTTCCATAGTATGCCATACGTCTCAAAAATCACGGCCCGCGCACTAACAACGGTGACGCCGGACTCACACATATCAGAGGAGCCGACGGAACAACCTTTACGTTCAGTGACTGTTCGCTAAGTTTTAACGGAACTAATCATACGAGAGGACAAATACCACAGGTTTTTATAACTTAAGACTAAGTTAGACGATTGAGTTATTAATTTTTAAAAATATTTTATATACAGATTCTATACTATAGTACCCCTCAGTCTAGTAAAAGTGATTCAAAACATTTTGTTATTAATGAAGAAATTCCCCGCAAAAATGCCATCGCTATCACCGAAAGTGTTATCTCATTAACTGTAGATCTGTTACTTCAGGCCCAGGAGTGTCCATCCGTTGATCTCATTTGGAAGATCTCTTCATCGCTTTTGATTAAAAAGTTGTTGCCATCACTTCTCAACTATTTATCTCCAGTTGTTTCAACTGACACCAAGAGTGCAATACAAATATTATCAACAATCAGACAATTAGTGCCATTAGTTGTGTTTCTAAACAAATCTAACGACTTCTGTGCAATCAATCAATCATCTCCTTTACCGCCATCGAGTCCACCGATAACAACATCCAGACATTATGTGACTGTAGAGAGTGATCATCCGTATAAATCAGCGACTGTTTGCAATTATTTGGTTAAGTTTGCGCCGACAGTAAAGTGGATGTGCATAGAATTTGACAGCCGATGCGCGACCGCTCAACCGGAAGATATACTTCAGATGTATATTCCTGAATATCGACTGACAAAGTGTTGGGAGTCATCAAAAACTACAAAATATTACGATAACAACAAAAGCTTATGGCCTGTGCTTAAAAAGTTTTCAGGAAAGTCTAGTAATTGGCCGACAAATTCAGTGGTAATTCCAGGCAATGAAATGATATTTTCATTGGAAACGGCATCCGATTACGTGAAAGAAGATAAAAGTCTTTACTATGGATTTAGAGCTCAAGTGATTGGTTACGAAAATCCGTTAACTGAAGGCTTATATTTAGGTCTACAGTATTTGGAACAGGAGTTGACTTATTTGTCCGGTATTTGTATTAAAACACTTTTGAAKAAAAATCTCATTTTCCCACAAAATCCGATTGAATTACTTACCAATTGATGGTAATGAGGGAAAAACATTCCTCAATATTGTGTCTCTGAAAATAACTTTATAATAGATTTCCACTTCACTTTTGTCTACTTTTGAAATGGATTTTTGAATTGATGAGTGAGATAAGCGCCGAATAATCAAAGAAAACGATCTCAACATTTTGATGAATAACAACAACAATAATAATAATAACAATAATAATAATAGTTAATAATTAAAAGTTTATAAATATTTAAATAAAAAATAAAACACTACTAAACTATTATAACTTGTATTTAAATGAAATTTTAGTCAATATGACATTTACTGTATAATAGAGTTGTCAATTTGAGGAGAGTTAACATATAAGTGCTAAATTAAACAATAACAGATTAGTTAGAAAATATGCATACATTGAAAATAATGTTTTACAAACAATGAAAAAATATTATAAATTAATAAAAAATAAATATTTTTGACATTAATTATTATTTCAATGTTATCGATAAAGATTTTTAAAAATAATATATCACTATAAATTTAGACTTTTAAATAAACTGTTGTTATTTTAAACATTTAATCAGTCATTCAACAACTCATTGAATATAAAATTAGTTTAAATAATAAAATTGAAATGTTTGGAGAAAAATTTAATAAAAAGTATTAAATAACACTAATAATAAAAATAACAGTAATAGTGATAATAAGTGAGATAATTGTGTTAATTTTTATTATAATTATTTAATGTACTTATTTATGTTTATTTTTTAATTTTTCATTATTTTTTATTTTTTAAAACATGTACTTATAAGTTTTTCATAGTGTATATAATAAATGAATGTTATTATAAAAAATTTTCCGCAATTTGACATCTTTACTGTATAATAATTCAAAATATTTATTTTATAGATAATGTAATTCACAATACCTTTTAGTTGACTAATTGTATGATTGGTTTCCAGTAGTTTTGTATAATTGAGTGTACAGTCAGTCCATAAGATATTGAATAACTTGAATGTCTCTGAAGTAAAGTAACGGATATTCAATAAATTAAAGTCAAAGTCATAGTTACGACCTATTGGTTAGAAATAAATACATTAGTATTACAATCAATATATTCAATGATTGTATACCCGGTCTCTCATATTTATAGTCATTGAAGTCATCCCTAAACTTATTAATATCCAGAGTGTGTGCCAACCAATGTATACACCGACCGCTACTACCTGTCCTCACATACAATGACTGACCCGTTGTTAGCAATGGTTTCAGTGATGCAAACATTGTATTCATTATATTATTTATTATTATATTATATACTAAACTGTGTTTTAAGTTAAAAGATTGTCAATTGATTTTGTGTCCAAATATACGATACTATTATCACTCAATTGGTCTCACAATAAGTCAAATCAAACATCAAATTGATTGTTGTTTTAATTGAAAACAAATAATACATGTTTTTCATACAAAACATATGTGTTGTCACTAATAATGATATAAAATGATTGTATTATTGAAATGTAATTAACTTTTTATTGATTTAATTGTAAACCAATTGTCGAATCAATTGATTTGTTGTTTAAATTGTTTTCAAAATACAAATCAAAACAAAAGTTGATTACGCAATGCATTGGAAAGTTAGGGACCGTTCAATAAGTTACACATCATAACAATAGAATTATATAAATATTATTAATAATAATTTATTATTAAATTAATAAAACATTTATCGTTTAAAAAATATTTACTAAAATACATATAAAAGCTTATAATAATAACATTTTGATTTGTTGTGGACTATATGTCATCAATTGGTTTGGATCGACAAAACAGTTGTTACTATTGTTAACCGATTCATACATTTGTTGATATATTAAACAAATCGCTTCAAGAGATCGCTTCCAAACTAAGTCTCTATAAAATCAAACAAAAAAATAATTAAACAAAATTTGAATTTTAAAAATATAATTAAAAAATTTTCACTCACTTTGCGTTTAAATCAATCATATGTGATGTCTGTGTTAGTGATAGTTCCAGTGGTCATAATGTCATAATAAACATAACTTTTGTCTTATAATGAGTTCTACTATTATATTATTATCCTTTATTTCTCTGCAAGAAATTTATAGTCACAACAAAACTCATAAAACGCTATAAACAGTTCAAAAACATTCATAAAAACTATGTTTTTTATCTCAATTTCTGTCACTTGAATCACTTGAAGTCACTGAAATCACATGAAAATAAACTATTTGTTGTGGAATTAGGATTCAAACAGTAATCAAATTCAATGATTTTTTTGGCATTTGGTTTGCTTAGCACTTAACCGGTAATATTACTGATAGTAGTAAACAGTATTTGATATCGACGTGTCTTACAGTTTATGTATTGTGTATATCGTGTGATGTTTTTTATACTTCATAAGAGTCCTCAACGACAGCAAAGTGTAGGCCTCTTATAATTTGGTCGTAGTTTTTGATCTATCGATAAAAACATACCGTTTTTTAAAAAACACAACTTCTCTCTGCTATTCACTACTCCTATCACTGAATCTTTTGGTTCAATAGTTCTCTTCTTCCACTTCTTCTTCTACTACTTCTTCACTTTTTCTTATTTATTGTATTTCTTCGTCCAATAGTTTTTTTTCTCTCTCTCTCTTCTATTATCATAAGAATATTCCTTTAAATAACTATTACAACAATATTCTTGTGAACAGAATAAGAGTGAAGTAAACACATAGAGAAAGACATACTAGTATTGTATGAATTGTTTGGTTGTTATACCAATCGTAGTGATCAATGATTTTTTGTTGTTGTTGTCGTTGTTGTTGTTGTTGAGTGAATCGGTAATTGATGTCTGAAATAGTTGTGTAAGTTTAACAACAACTACAACACAATAACAATGTTTTTTTAAATTCTTGTATATATTTTTGTCTGATATGTATAACAATATTTTTAAATAATATAGTTTTTTTGGAAGTTATATAACAAATATTTACGGAAAAAACTTTATATACTTTTTTTAAAAGCAGTTTTTCTTCAATTGATTATTTTAAACGCTTTTGGCGGTCAAACCTATGATTGCCAAAGAGCTGAGCGATTGTGTGGAGTCAATGAATTGCATTATATATTTGAAGGTTTGGTTGGGTCTCACAAGTCATGAGTATTAGTATTGTGTGTATATATATATATTGAGACAATTTTTATATTGTTGAATGAACTACTAGTACAGCACCGATACCACAACATCGGTGGTGTGGAGAACCCCGAGAGGAGTAGTAGGCATTTGCGCACCAGTTTATACATACCTAACCATAAAATGCCATTAGTTTTGAAAGTGGATTATGTTTTTAAGGGTTTGTTTTTCATTCACAAAATCATTGCTTTAACACAACACTGACATTCAATATACTGACGGCATTTTAGTGCGAAAATAATGTTATAATTTATTAAATAAAACAAATTTAATAATAATGTAAATTTGCTTATATATATAAACTTATATATATATATATATATACCTTATATAATTTAAGTTGATAAATACAGTATATAGTTATGCAAATATAAAATTAAAATATATTTAGTAGTATTTTTAAAAATGAAATTATTTTTTATTAGTATTATTACCGTAATTGTAAATTCATTATAAAAAAATAAGTAAACTATTTTATTAATAAAATAATACTATAGTATAAATCATATTATATAAAATTTATAATGAATTTATTTAATAAGTACTGGTAAAACAAATTTAAAAAATAGTGTTTTTTAAAAGTTTTATAAAATTGTTTAAAAAAATACTTTTAAAATATTTAAAATAAATTTTTACCAAATAAATAAAACAATAGTTCATTAAATAATAAGAGAAAGTCTATATATAAATATAATAACAACATTGAAATCAATAGTTAGATTTGAATAATGGCTTTAACTGAGTCCCAGAAATATTAAACAAATTATTGAAAATATCACGAAATGAACACTCAGTTCCCGAATGACACCCTTCTTCGTCAGTCTTTTTCTGAATTTTTTCGTTTAATACATAATTCTTATAACTTATGCCTAAATCTAAATTTAAATATATATTTAAGTATAAATCGATTAATCAGTAATTCAAATATTAATTTAGACAAAAAAAAACTATTTGTAATAAATTACCAGAAATAGGACTCTGAAGTTCAGAAGGATTCTGAAGATTATAGACATCCAAACCATTCATAATGGGAAACGTTTGGATTAAGCGAACACACGGTCGACACAAAGCGGCTAACATTGCAGACAATAAATAGGAACAAAACTTTTGCGATAACCTATTGTCGTCGTTAAGCAAAAGATCGCAAAGCGCTCGCCATCTGAGCGAACCGTTCGTATAGAAGGAATGGTAACACGAGAGGAATGTTTCGTGACTTTCGTCCATAATTTGCGATACAAAAGCATTCACTTCACTTCACTTTATAGTGCAGTTGTGGTATTTGTCCCGCATTTACATCGGTTCCATTGTTAGACTTTTTAGAGCTCTTGAAATAGAAGACAACCTGATCTTCTGTATTCACTACTGACTGACCACTTGATCAACAATCAAGTCTCGAACCAGAAATGCGAACTCACGCGACATACCATTTATTTGCTTGAAGTGGTAGCGGCTCTTCAATCAGTATCGGATACTTTTGTCTGGCGGCGCACTCGAATGATATCTCATCGGTTTCGGTTAATATCTCTCCGTCGCCCTCTTGTTCCCCGCCATCCGGTCCGATATCAAACAGTTTTAATTTTGCCGTATATTCTCCGCGACCACCAAACAAACCAAACCCTCCCAACAATATGTCTGTGTCGGCCATAAATCTAATCGCTTCTATCGAATGACTAGAAAAACCCCAACCTTTTTAAACAGTAAAATACAAATCAATATTAAAATAATTAAATATTATTAATACAATGCTTACCTCCTCCGTGGCTCTCAAAACGACAAACTGATGAATAGTCATCTTTAGTTTACGGTTTGCAAACTTTGTTCTTACTTTGATCCACCTCTTCAATGATACAACCTTTTAGGGATGCGATCGAAATAATATAATTGAAAATTTGCCATTGCTTTAAGTGTCTTAGAGTCGGCCAAAGCCATCGCCCAAAACAGTTTGGTTCGACCACAACCTTCATGAAGATCTACACGAATGGCCTCCTCTTCCTCTTTGAATATCTAAGTATTTGTTGATTAAAGATATTAAAACAATTTGTTTGTATTATTATGTCATATATTTTATACCTGTCTTTGATGGCAACGAGTTTTGCTGTGAAGATGTAGATATCGATCACATTCGGCGCACAAATTACCGCAAGAGTTACACAAAATAATAGCCGCAGTTTCGCCGTCGTCGTGATTGTCACAGAATGGCTATTGAATTAACAAATAAGAGATTATATATAACTATAAATATAAGAGTAATCAAACTCTTCACCAGTGATGAGTGATTTCCATCTGAGACGTCAAATCCTGATATGATTCAAGAGCCGGATGTATAAACATTGATTGATGCGATTCATCCAAAATAGTCGGACTCTGTTCCTCATCATTTCGACCGAAAATTTTACTGATATTAGAAAATACGTGACACTGGTGTAGAAATGAATGGTCTTCACCATTGAATTGAAGACAAAAACAGCGAACTGCTATTTGCTGAAGTGGTGATCCCATCGGCAAAAGTGGCATTAACTCAGAAACTGTACTAAGAAATGAATGAAAAGCCTGTCTCAGCACTTGAGTCGCTTCGCCAGCAATCGTGAGATCAGCCAACGGGTGGTGACAGACATCTGTTTGACTCTTGTGTTGACTCACTTCTGATTCGTTACGTTTCTCAACAGATATTCTATTGTTGGCCGCATTGATAGCATTGTCTCCAACAGCGTCACCGTTGGCTATATTTTCTTCGGTCTCCTCTTTGTTCTGCACTTTATATATCGTATCATTCGTTGTCAATGAAAAACCACATCAAGTCATGTATGGCCACCGGTTGGCTCACATTTCTCAGCAACCAATTGAGTGCCTGAAGACCTAATGTCCGACACGAAGTCTTGCGGAGTGCACTTCTCATAGCAATCATCAGTCCATTTAAATCATGAGTTTGTAATATGAATGCCATTATCGGTCGACTCAATACTGCCATAACATTGACATCAATTGAGTTGATGTCCAAAGTAGACGATTGATTGTCAGTAAAACACAAATGAACTAAATTTATCAGATATGCCGACAAAGAAATGTTGTAACCAATTGTTTAATTGGGTAATACTTTTGCCCGGATTGTGACGGTTTGGATAGATTTCGTTAATATAGACATTAAGCAAATGAAGTGTCGATTATTATTATTATTTATTATTATAATTAATATAATAATTATATCAATTATTATTATTATTATTATTAAATTCGTAGACTTTCTGAGTCCATAATCATAAAAAGTATTTTTAAAATTACCGCAAAGTCTTCTTCGTCTTCACTGTTGAGTCCAATACCGTCTGATATATGCATTACATTTAGCGTATCGTTTGGTGTCAGTTGTTTGGATCGCAATTTAAAAATATAATCATTGGATATATTGGTGGCAAAGAAATGGTAATAAGTATTTCTGACTAATAAGCCGTATATATCTTGAGATGTCTTTTTGTTTGTTAGGTTGTAATCCGCTAACCAAACCATTTGTGCTAATGTTTGGGCAAAATTATTAGTAATAATTTGTGAGTTGTAATCATCTCTGTGTTTCTCTTTTTTTTCTCCCAATTCCTTCATAAATCGGTAATTCTTTTCATCCATATTTTCAATTAAGAATTGTTCGGTAATTTTCTTGACTTCAACCGTAAGGAAAAGTCGTCCGCCGTTTGAGAGAACTTTGTCGGGAACTGCAATAAAACCTTTTGTTTTGTTTTCAAAAATATTTTTTCTTTTCTTTTTGTTAACAGAATCCCAATTAAGTTTTAATTGATTGCTTATATGAAACAATTTATTAAAACCATTGTTTTTCATTGAAAAATATATTAAATATTCAACGAATCGTTCGATATCTCCTTCGCTATAATCTTGAGGACCCATTCTTTTTGGACTATTATCTCTTAAAGTATCCAAAAAGTCGTCACTCAATGAACCTAATTATGTTAGCATTTCAATCAAATAATTAGAAAATTAATTATAACATAAAATAAAAATAATAGTCTCATAAAAATATCAATATATATATACAATAAATGATAAAACAGTTGACATCTCATAATAATAATAATAAAACACAAAACATATGGTAAATGACTTGACTTTTGTTACAAAAGAAATTTTTTGATTCCTTATATATATATATATATATATATATTATATTATATGATATTATATAATATAATGCATTAGAGAATCACTGAATTGATATATCACTGAAACATTAGAACATTAAAGTACAGTATTTTTATTTATGACAAACATTAGGATATATTTTTAAAGAGAGAGAAAATGAGAGAAAACTTTTGTGCTCTCAAACACACAATGCAATCATCGATCATATATTGAATTCACAGCTAATTTGAATATATTATGCGAGAAAAATAAATTTCACACTATTTTTCTCCTTTTAAAACAAACATAAAATCAATATTTTAGCATAAATTATTAAAAATGAGATAAATATCTACTGTTATTAATATAATAAAACTGTCAACATATTTATGTGTACAGAAAAAAACTGTATTACAATTACACAAATAAAATCAGTAATAAAATGTCTCATAAAACAAAATATTAAATTTATTATTAATCAATTGTATATCAATTTTATCACAACAATTGATTTATATAATAATATTATTATTAACCTAACCTTTATCTGTCATTTGTTTAAAATGTGTGTTGACTTTAACATTAGAGACACTAATTTGGTTATATGTCTTAATATCAGATAATTTGTATTTGCAAACAGATTTGTTCATTAATGGAGACCAATGGCTTAGATTACGAGACATTGTTTTAAACAATTTAAAGACAAACATATTTTAAAAATTTCTAATAAAAAGTTGTAAAAATAAGTCACTTAAATATCAAAATAATAACAAAAGTAATTTACTTTTAATTTATACATTTTATAATATTAATTATTTTGATATTTATGTTTAATAAAAATATTTGTCAAAAAAAAAATAGTTATCAATTATAATATCTAAACTATTTATGTATTTTTATTATAAGTTAATTACTAATACTTAATATTAATTCAAATTCAAATATTTCCATTTATTCAATGTATTCAATACTAGATATTAAACATTTAATATATGAAATAATTTAAATGATATGATATCTACCTATCGTTGCATTCATTTGTAAGTAATGTCTAAACAGTTTCCACTCATTCAGTGGACAATCACTTGTCTTCACTTTCATTGCTTGAATTGTCTGTTGAGTTACGTAACGGGTATTCAATAAATTAAAGTCAAAGTCATAGTTAAGACCTATTGGTTAGTAATAAATACATTAGTATTACAATCAATATATTCAATGATTATATACCCGTTTCCTCGTATTTATAATCATTAAAGTCATCCTTAAATCTATTGATATCCAGAGTGTGTGCCAACCAATGCAAACACCGACCACTACTACCTGTCCTCACATACAATGACTGACCCGTTGTTAGCAATGGTTTCAGTGATGCAAACATTGTATTCATTATATTATTATTTATTATTATATTATATACTAAACTGTGTTTTAAGTTAAAAGATTGTCAATTGATTTTGTGTCCAAATATACGATACTATTATCACTCAATTGGTCTCACAATAAGTCAAATCAAACATCAAATTGATTGTTGTTTTAATTGAAAACAAATAATACATGTTTTTCATACAAAACATATGTGTTGTCACTAATAATGATATAAAATGATTGTATTATTGAAATGTAATTAACTTTTTATTGATTTAGTTGTAAACCAATTGTCGAATCAATTGATTTGTTGTTTAAATTGTTTTCAAAATACAAATCAAAACAAAAGTAGATTACGTAATGCAAGGAAAGTTAGGGACCGTTCAATAAGTTACACATCAGAACAATACAATTAGTTATATAAATGAATAAATAGTAAAAACACATAAAAGTAATAAATTTAGATTTATTTGCAATTAATTTATATTAATATGTCATCAATTGGTTTGAATCGTCAAAAAAGTTGTTACTATTGTTAACCGGTTTATACATTTGTTGATATATTAAATAAATCGCTTTTAATTCATCTTTTAATTTAATATTTTATATAAATTTTAGCTAATTTAAAAAAATGATATTTATTTATTGGTTTATTTTTTGATAATTACAATTTATTTATATCTGCTATTATTTCATATATGGTAATTGTTTTTTAAATTTTTAATAAAAGTTTTAATAATAAATACACTGTACAAACACATATCATATATAATGTTTAATTATACAACCTGTGGATACCTATAGTTAATCATTAAATATTTACGATTATATATGTGTCTAATTATTATTAAAATGAATTAATAATTAATTAGTGAATTAGGTAACCAATTGGATAAAAATAATAATAGGTTATCAATTAGTTTATTTTACTGATATTAGAAAACACGTGACACTGGTGTAGAAATGAATGGTCTTCACCATTGAATTGAAGACAAAAACAGCGAACTGCTATTTGCTGAAGTGGTGATCCCATCGGCAAAAGTGGCATTAACTCAGAAACTGTACTAAGAAATGAATGAAAAGCCTGTCTCAGCACTTGAGTCGCTTCGCCAGCAATCGTGAGATCAGCCAACGGGTGGTGACAGACATCTGTTTGACTCTTGTGTTGACTCACTTCTGATTCGTTACGTTTCTCAACAGATATTCTATTGTTGGCCGCATTGATAGCATTGTCTCCAACAGCGTCACCGTTGGCTATATTTTCTTCGGTCTCCTCTTTGTTCTGCACTTTATGTATCGTATCAATTGGTTTGGATCGACATAACAATTGTTACTATTGTTAACCGATTCATACATTTGTTGATATACTGTATTAAACAAAAAGTATAAAATCAAACAAAATATAATTTAACAAAATTTGAATTTTAAAAATATAATTAAAAAATTTTCACTCACTTTGCGTTTAAATCAATCATATGTGATGTCTGTGTTAGTGATAGTTCAAGTGGTCGGGCAATAAATGTATCAAATTTTATCTAAAAGTTTTAAGATCTAAGGCATAATTGAGTAAAATTAAACTAATAATAGATAATATAAGAATTTTTTTAAAATATAAAAATTAATTCAAATTATCTTTTATTTAATGTAAATTGATTATAAAAATAATACTGAAATAAAAGATCGTATAATATATAGATGTATTTGTTTGATAAGTAAAATTGATTTAAAAATAGTTTTATAAAATTGCATATAAAATATTTAAAATAAAAATAATGATAAATATTAAAATAAAAATTTAAACAAATTTATAACAAATAAATAATACAATAGTTCATTAAAGAGGAAGAGGCAATTCATAATTTATAATAATAATAATAATTAATGGTTTGGACGATGGCTTTGACTATAAAAAAAAAACAAAACTTAAGCAATGGTTGATTTAAAACACTTGAATCGATTTGTTAATAGAAATTCTGAATGATTTGATGATCAAAATAGACGAATAATTGTCTGTAAAAGACAGCAAATGAACTAAATTTATTAGATTTGACGAAATAAATGACAAAAAATGTTATAAAACACTACTTATTACTGAGTTATTCACGTGAATAGGCCGTTGACGAGACAGCCTTTTCCTGATTCCAGTCATAATATCTAATAAATATATAATAAATAAATAATAACAAACACTTCAACCTTAAGATTCGGTACACTAACTATATGTCCGTATTGGTCACGAGTGATGACAGTGATAACAGTAGGCCAACCGCATTGCAGTTCCTGATCTGTACCACAACTACAGTGCACTTCACATTGATTTGGATCAACAAACGATTCGCTTTGAAACCATTTAGCGAGTCTGGCGCCGGACGTACCGGGAGTTAAACAAATAAAATCTTTGAGAAACGGATGTTCATTAGCGACAGGTATGACATCATCGATAGCTTCAGTGGCGGTCATAGTTCGTGAAAGTGCTAAACCTTTGCTTAACAAACTTGAATGCGCTTCAAATGTCTGTAGAATTGATTCGTATTTGACTTCCGATTCAATCGGATTTTGTGGGAAAATGAGATTTTTCTTCAAAAGTGTTTTAATACAAATACCGGACAAATAAGTCAACTCCTGTTCCAAATACTGTAGACCTAAATATAAGCCTTCAGTTAACGGATTTTCGTAACCAATCACTTGAGCTCTAAATCCATAGTAAAGACTTTTATCTTCTTTCACGTAATCGGATGCCGTTTCCAATGAAAATATCATTTCATTGCCTGGAATTACCACTGAATTTGTCGGCCAATTACTAGACTTTCCTGAAAACTTTTTAAGCACAGGCCATAAGCTTTTGTTGTTATCGTAATATTTTGTAGTTTTTGATGACTCCCAACACTTTGTCAGTCGATATTCAGGAATATACATCTGAAGTATATCTTCCGGTTGAGCGGTCGCGCATCGGCTGTCAAATTCTATGCACATCCACTTTACTGTCGGCGCAAACTTAACCAAATAATTGCAAACAGTCGCTGATTTATACGGATGATCACTCTCTACAGTCACATAATGTCTGGATGTTGTTATCGGTGGACTCGATGGCGGTAAAGGAGATGATTGATTGATTGCACAGAAGTCGTTAGATTTGTTTAGAAACACAACTAATGGCACTAATTGTCTGATTGTTGATAATATTTGTATTGCACTCTTGGTGTCAGTTGAAACAACTGGAGATAAATAGTTGAGAAGTGATGGCAACAACTTTTTAATCAAAAGCGATGAAGAGATCTTCCAAATGAGATCAACGGATGGACACTCCTGGGCCTGAAGTAACAGATCTACAGTTAATGAGATAACACTTTCGGTGATAGCGATGGCATTTTTGCGGGGAATTTCTTTATTAATAACAAAATGTTTTGAATCACTTTTACTAGACTGAGGGGTACTATAGTATAGAATCTGTATATAAAATATTTTTAAAAATTAATAACTCAATCGTCTAACTTAGTCTTAAGTTATAAAAACCTGTGGTATTTGTCCTCTCGTATGATTAGTTCCGTTAAAACTTAGCGAACAGTCACTGAACGTAAAGGTTGTTCCGTCGGCTCCTCTGATATGTGTGAGTCCGGCGTCACCGTTGTTAGTGCGCGGGCCGTGATTTTTGAGACGTATGGCATACTATGGAAGAGATTTTTAATAACCTATTTTATTATGATATCTACAAACCTTAACATTTGGTGCAATCAATACTGATCTGTCGAATTTCATTTCACAGACATCACTGGATTTATCTTCAAAACTATAGGTGCCTTTCACTAACTCTATGGTACGCCATGAGTGTGACTGTCCATCGCGTGATAATGACTTATCGTCGTGAACGGCAACTCCATTATAATCAAGTAATTCCAGTTCATAGTGCCATTCATTACCAATACCTCCATAAACTGTAATACCAGCAATAGAAATGCCTGCTCTGTCTACTGAAAAACAAATAGCATCGGGAGATCCATTGCCTGTATTCCACGTCCTGTTCTGTGAAATACGCGAAAATCTGGACGGAGTTAAATGTAATTGTTGGCCACTCATCACGTGTGAGTCAAACCCGATTCCAGTCACCTGAGCCACCAATTCAGACATAATTGTTATGATAAGATTACACGAATTCTCGACTAATTGTGTATAACTGTTGTCGGACTCTATTTCTGATTCTAAATCCATGTCCAATGTATTGCTCTCTTGTTGTAGACTATACCTAATCGGTTGACCGATTATTTTAAGCAAATTATTGAAAATATCACGAAATGAACACTCAGTTCCCGAATGACACCCTTCTTCGTCAGTCTTTTCCTGAATTTTTTCGTTTAATACAGAATTCTCATAACTTATGCCTAAATCTAAATTTAAATATATATTTAAGTATTTATCGGTTAATCAGTAATTATCGTATAATATTAATTTAGACAAAAAATATAATTAAAATAAATTACCAGAAATAGGACTCTGAAGTTCAGAAGGACTCTGAAGATTATAGACATCCAAACCATTCATAATGGGAAACGTTTGGGTTAAGCGAACACACGGTCGACACAAAGCGGCTAACATTGCAGACAATAAATAGGAACAAAACTTTTGCGATAACCTATTGTCGTCGTTAAGCAAAAGATCGCAAAGCGCTCGCCATCTGAGCGAACCGTTCGGATAGAAGGAATGGTAACACGAGAGGAATGTTTCGTGACTTTCGTCCATAATTTGCGATACAAAAGCATTCTATCGAATGACTAGAAAAACCCCAACCTTTTTAAAAAGTAAAATACAAATGAATATTAAAATAATTAAATATTATTAATATAATGCTTACCTCCTCCGTGGCTCTCAAAACGACAAACTGATGAATAGTCGTCTTTAGTTAACGGTTTGCAAACTTTGTTCTTACTTTGATCCACCTCTTCAATGGTACAACCTTTTAGGGATGCGATTGAAATAATATAATTAAAAAATTACACCATAATTATGATAAACATAACAAAAATGATTACCCAATTGATGTGCAGTCGTCAATGTATCCAAAGTGCATAATAGGTTGAGAGCAGCGGTACTCCTATCGATAAGTGTGGACGCCTTCTGTGGAAGTGCTAATTCGGGTAATAAAATGGCTGTCATTGACTGCGATTGGTTCGGTATTTTTGTTTCAGAATAGATTAGATTATATCTATTGAACGAATGATTCTTGGAATCATAGGTCCAAAGGACATCGTAATAGTTGTCTAAACAAACGGCGGAAAAGTTAAACAATTCCAACTGATCCGATGAACTAAAGGTTTTACACGTGCCGTCCAATCGGTTAATGACTAGTGAATTGAACTGACGTTCATATCTGTTATCTTTAGTCGAGGCCATCATCTCAGCGCTCGACGGAATGATTGCAATACAACGCCTGTTGGCTATGACTCGAGACGATGACAATGATAATGGATTTATAAGAGATTCATCGTATTTGATAAACGTGTGATCACCAGAAGCCGTTATGTATGTCGCTCTGCGACCAAATTGTTGGCCAATGTTGGGTATAGTACCCGGCATAGCATTCCATCCGTATTCATTGGACGGATTGCGTCCCAACTGTCCCTTTTGATTGTTGCCAAATGTGTATACCTGTCCCGTAGAGCTTAACAAAACGGTATGATTGCTTCCGGCGGCTATTTGTATGATATTTGATTTGATAAATATTTTTGTGGGCACTTCTCTAATAATAAAATCGTTGTGTCCGAGTTGGCCGTATTGGTTGCTACCAAATGTTAACACATCACCCGATGAAGTCAATAGCACTGAATGATGTAAACCACAAGCTATTTGAATGACCCGATTCGGTAGGTTTAGCTTAGTTGGCGGCAATTGTGTCAGTTTTGAAGCCTCGCCATCGCTGCCGGCGTCACTCATATCCAAACTAATAATATTCGACACGTGTTTATCAATGACATCCAAATGCGGAGCTTCTGATTGTTCGCCCATTACTTCCTGTCCTCGACCGCCAACCGGTACACCTTTCTTGAAGACTTTGACTGTATGACGAAACCGTCTTCCGAGTACATCGATGGCTATTTTTCGTCGTTCACTTCGTGGATTGATAGCAGCCTGAAAGCTGCCCGATTCAAGTGTGGCTCATCATAAACCGGTTCATTGGCCGGCATATAAGCCCCGGGCATTGCTTCGTTAATTCCCGGATCAATCATAGCAAAAGCGGCCACAAATTTCTGAACCTCATCTTTAAGCGGTTTAACTAAAATATATACGAATGGCTCTCTTCCTCTTTTGTGAACTAATATTATTATTATTATTATAAACAGTTAATTAGTTATTAAACAAAATATTATAATTAATTTATAATTACCTTATTGTATATAATTATTAATAATTGAAACAAACATTTGTTCAATTATTTCTCTGTCTTCTTCTTTTCGAAAATCAAAAGGAATACAATCATTGATTTCATAGACAACTATTTCATTACATTTTTCTTTTTCCACATCTTTCACGTATTTATCGGTAAATTCGGCCCAAAAAAAGTGAAACAATTGGTTGGCCACTAAAATGCCATACATTGTGTTGATGTGGCTTTGGATCAGTTTGTTGTGCTTAGCTGACCACAACATTTCACAATATAACTGACCCTTATGTTTATTAATATCGATGTCCTCATAGTTGTCGTAGTATTTGATCTCAATCGGGGCAATGATATGTTTATTATGCATAATAACCATATCTGGTTTGCATTCAAGACCACGCTTTTCATGTGCTAATCTTAAAGTATCTGCAATAGGCCAGTGAATTGTCGTATACGAGACATTGATGTTTTTAGATCTTAAGTTGTGATATCTTAAGAAATCATTTAAAAATACGAAATTAAGTTTATCAAGAATTGTCTCGTTATTAGCCAAAGACATCTCCAAACTTGTCTCCTTATTGAACGTATTGTTTGTCTTTACATCTATATATAAAATATAATACATTAAATATTTTAGTAATTTATTACAAATAATTTTTTTTGTCTAAATTAATATTTTAATTACTGATTAATCGATTTATACTTAAATATATATTTAAATTTAGATTTAGGCATAAGTTATAAGAATTATGTATTAAACGAAAAAAATCAGAAAAAGACTGACGAAGAAGGGTGTCATTCGGGAACTGAGTGTTCATTTCGTGATATTTTCAATAATTTGTTTAATATTTCTGGGACTCAGTTAAAGCCATTATTCAAATCTAACTATTGATTTCAATGTTGTTATTATATTTATATATAGACTTTCTCTTATTATTTAATAAACTATTGTATTATTTATTTAGTAAACATTTATTTTAAATATTTTAAAAGTATTTTTTTAAACAATTTTATAAAACTTTTAAAAAACACTATTTTTAAATTTGTTTTACCTGTACTTATTAAATAAATTGATTATAAATTTTATATAATATGATTTATACTATAATATTATTTTATTAATAAAATAGTTTACATATTTTTTTTATAATGAATTTACAATTACTGTAATAATACTAATAAAAAATAATTTCATTTTTAAAAATACTAAATATATTTTAATTTTATATTTGCATAACTATATACTGTATTTATCAACTTAAATTATATAAGGTATATATATATATATATATAAGTTTATATATATAAGCAAATTTACATTATTATTAAATTTGTTTTATTTAATAAATTATAACATTATTTTCGCACTAAAATGCCGTCAGTATATTGAATGTCAGTGTTGTGTTAAAGCAATGATTTTGTGAATGAAAAACAAACCCTTAAAAACATAATCCACTTTCAAAACTAATGGCATTTTATGGTTAGGTATGTATAAACTGGTGCGCAAATGCCTACTACTCCTCTCGGGGTTCTCCACACCACCGATGTTGTGGTATCGGTGCTGTACTAGTAGTTCATTCAACAATATAAAAATTGTCTCAATATATATATATACACACAATACTAATACTCATGACTTGTGAGACCCAACCAAACCTTCAAATATATAATGCAATTCATTGACTCCACACAATCGCTCAGCTCTTTGGCAATCATAGGTTTGACCGCCAAAAGCGTTTAAAATAATCAATTGAAGAAAAACTGCTTTTAAAAAAAGTATATAAAGTTTTTAAAAGCATTTTATTATTATTATTATTATTATTATTATAATTATTATTATTATAATTATAATTATAATTATAATTATAATTATAATTATAATATTATTATTATTATTATTATTATTATTATTATTATTATAATTATTATTATAATTATTATTATAATTATTATTATAATTATTATTATTATTATTATTATTATTATTATTATTATTATTATTATTATTATAATTATTATAATTATTATTATTATTATTATTATTATTATTATTATTATTATTATTATTATAATTATTATAATTATTATAATTATTATAATTATTATAATTATTATAATTATTATAATTATTATAATTATTATAATTATTATAATTATTATTATTATTATTATTATTATTATTATTATAATTATTATATTATTATTATTATTATTATTATTATTATTATTATTATTATTATTATTATTATTATTATTACTAACCAATTGATTTAAATGAAGGAAATATCTCTTCCAATTTGATGGGACTGAAGGTAACATTGTATAGACTCTGGACTTGCTTTTTGGTGATATAACAAATCGCCTTTTGAAGTGATGAATGAGCCAATTGTCGAAATAATATTAATAGTGGTCTTGTCATTGCAAATGATTGTTACAATTAATTAATAATAATAATAATAATAATAATAATAATAATAATAATAATAATATTTAAAATAATAAAAAACAACAACTATTGTAAATTTAGATATAAAAATGTCACTACAATAACATATATTATTAAATAAAATTTCATAATAAAAACATACAAACTAATGAAAATATTTTATACTTTTAGTTACTTATAATAAATAATATATATATATATATTTGTTATCATTATTTACCCTTTAGTTTACAAATTTTATTATTGGTTTCCAATAGCTTAATATCATTCAGTGAACAGTTAGTCCAAAATATATTAAATAACTTGAATGTCTCTGAAGTGAAATAACGAGTATTCAATAAATTAAAATCAAAGTCATCGTTAAAACCTATTAATAATAAATACATTAGTAATGCAATCAATATATCAATTAATGTATACCTGATTTATATTTATTGAAGTCATCCCTAAACTTATTAATGTCCAGAGTATGTCTCAACCAATGCAAACACCGACCACTACTACCTGTCCTCACATACAATGACTGACCCGTAGTTAACAATGGTTTCAGTGATGCAAACATTGTATTCATTATATTATTATTTATTATTATATTATACACTAAACTATGTTTTGTGTCAATTGATTGTCAATTGATTTTGTGTCCAAATATACGATACTATTATCACTCAATTGGTCTCACAATAAGTCATATCAAACATCAAATCATTTATTATTTAAATACAAAACAAATAATATATACTTTTTATACAAAACATATGTGTTGTCACTAATAGTTATATAAAATGATTGTATTATTGAAATGTAATTAACTTTTTGTTGATTTAGTTGTAAACCAATTGTCGAATCAATTGATTTATTGTTTAAATTGTTTTCAAAATACAAATCAAAACAAAAGTAGATTACGTAATGCAATGGAAAGTTAGGGACCGTTTAATAAGTTACACATCAGAACAATAGAATAATATAAATATTATTACCGGTAATAATAATTTATTATTAAATTATAAAAAAAATTATTTATAACATTTATAGTTTAAAAAATATTTACTAAAATACATATAAAAGCTTATAATAATAACATTTTGATTTGTTGTGCACTATATGTCATCAATTGGTTTGGATCGACATAACAGTTGTTACTATTGTTAACCGATTCATACATTTGTTGATATATTAAACAAATCGCTTCAAGAGATCGCTTCCAAACTAAGTCTCTATAAAATCAAACAAAAAATAATTATATAAAATTTGAATTTTAAAAATATAATTTAAAAAATTTCACTCACTTTGCGTTTAAATCAATCATATGTGATGTCTGTGTTAGTGATAGTTCCAGTGGTCGAGCAATAAATGTATCAAATTTTAACTAAAAGTTTTTAGATATATTAGATTTAAACAAAAGATAATAATTTATTGAATACTCAAACCATTGCAGACTTGATGGCCAATGAGTCACAACCCGATACTTGAGATAATGGAAGAGTTATTTCATCTTTAAGTTGAATAGCGTTATGAAGTGAACCCAAACCTAAATACGAGATAACATGTGATATCTGTTCGTTAATCAGTGTCTCGATGTGACCATCCGTTTGCAGCCGGAGTTTGTCTTGAAAACGATCAGTAAATCGATAGCCAGAAATGGTTTGATTAATGGCTGACAAACAGTTAAACAAAAAGACAGCCATTTCTATAGGCGTTAGTTTTGAAGCAGAGATAATACACGAATGAGTTAATGGTTCGATAACTGTCGATAAGATGTCCTCCACTTCTTTTTGTCGCTCACTGTCTGATGAAAGACAAGAGCTCTGACAGTGCAACACATCATCGATTACGGTAACCATTTGGGTCACTGATTCGGTGGGCTTCAGATCACTGGCCGGTACTTCCACTTCATTGGTCGACGTTCTGCCGATTCGAGACAAACAATAGTTAAGACTATTGTAAAAGATTTTGTCGCTCAGTGTAAGCATCTCTTTAAGCGCATAAATAAATGGTGAGTCGGGAGTCAGCAAATGATTTTGAGTTAATGTATGCAAATAAAAGCCAATCATGTTTTTGATGCGATAGTAAACCGATGGACCCATTTTGACCATACCTTTCGGGTCCGAAATTAAGCTCTGCTCAACTCTCACTTTCAGTGGTCGACACAAACCTTTAAAATAAAAGTCCGATTAAATTATTAGTACATTTTTAAATATATTTTTTTGCCATACCTTCAGTTATAGACGCAATAGAGTTGGTAACCGATGTCGTAGTGGACATCATTTCATTTTTGCATAACTTCAATAACGTATCGATCATTTCTTTTTCGTTAGCAATCGTTTGATGCAAATATGCAAACATATCGCTCACGTATCGCACGATATCGTGTGAATGACTTTCAATGGCCGGTAAGTTACTATTAGGTCGACCTCGAGTCAGAGCTTCAATAAAATTTCGGACAATAGCTGAACGCCTTACCGTTACGTATTCATCTAAACAATATTTAAATAGTATTTCTCTCTCCTGAAGACAGGCCATGGCTCGGAACAGTTGCGGATGAACTTCAATAACATCGGAACTGATTGTTCGCAATATATTTAATGTCCACCGATAGAGACGCTCATTGGCCCCCTCTTCGTGCAGAGCCATTGAGTCCATTATTTCAATGCTAATAATCGAAGAGATAATTACCGGTAATTATTAAAAAGTTTGAGTAAATCATTTGATGACAAACCCAGTCATTTGTTGACTATTTGTAAGCAAATGTTTTGCCTTTTCGTGAATTTGTCTCACTTTGGCAATGATGTCAAAAAACTTGTCGTCAATATCTTCATTACTGTTGCTAATTATCATTAACTCTTCGGGTGTCAACTGAAAAGTTTCAATAAATCGTTTGGCGACCACTTCTTTGATCTCAATTTGTTTTCTGAAATAAATTAATAAATAATGAAAATATTATAATAATTTTCTTAATTAATACCAACACTTCATCTCTTAATTGATCCGTTTGTTTCAAGAGATGCGATGTTTGGCTTTTTGTGGTCTAAAACATATAAAACTATATATTAAAAACTTTATATAAAGTAATCACAAATTTATATCAAATGATCACAAAATAATACCTCAATTTGTTGTATCATTTGATGACAATTATCGTTCATTCGTTGAACATCTCTAAACAAATCGTTCAACTGATCCCTTACTGAACCAAAACAATTAACAAACTCTTCGTTAATCTTAAGACTTTGCTTCTCAATATTTGTCCGCAAATTTCGCCGATTATGAAGTGTATTGTCTTTGAACAGATGTGACACACTTTTCATGGCCAACAATGTGTCCTACAATAAGTCAATTAAATCAATCAATCAATTTATTTGGTCAATAATCGGGTGATAAACATATCAATTGGTTGGTCACTCATAAGAAAACTGTTACATCCATTATAATCCGTTTGTCTGGTCATTGATTATATGATAACTAAAATATAATGAATACCTCATCGATGTCTGTGTTAACAATTTTGTTGACTTTGTTGGTCAACACGTGCGACAACTCTGTGTTTGTGGCCATTGTGTTGACAACAACTTCTGTTATGTTTCACTATCAGTGGTCAGAGAGTGGCCACTAATTGTTGACTAAAAAAAGGATTTTTTAATTTTATTTTTAAGTAAAACTTATTTCAGTTTTTTTTTTGTTAAAAGCAATGATTTGTCAGATGTTTTTGTGGGCTTTAATATTAAAAATATAATAACATTGCAATCAAATAGACATTAATAACGTAACTATGATTTTACTGTTTTTATTATAATTTTAAAATTATTATTTATTTTGTTACTAACAAAAAAAAAACTCATATTTTTGGTTAATTATTTTAAAATATTCAACACTTGATTTAATTTAATTTTCAATTTAGACTAAATAATAACAGTTGTATATATTTTTAAGATAGTTGGTAGCATTAATTATAAATTTATTTATTATTAACATTATATTTAACATTAAATTATATTACAATTATTTACTATACTGTATCTAACTAATAGTTATTTTAAATTAAAATTTTTAATACACACTTGTTAATAATAATAAAAATAATAATAAACTTAATGATGATGTTGTATTAGATATAAATAAATATAATATAAATAACGATCAAATTTATATTAATTATCAATGTCAATTTTATAATTATTTTTCTATTATAACTTTTATTTTATAAATTTTTAATTACATTTAGACATAATTTATGTTTAGTTAACTATAAATAAACGCAATGAGCCAATGACTAATATTAATATATATAAATTGCATTAAACAAATACATAGATTTCTATATTACAATTCATTATATACTTTAAAATATTATTTGAAAGACACGCCTATCCATAGCATTAACAGTTATAACATGCGATGGAAGTCTACTTAATTTTTTTCTCAATAATTTGTTATTACAGTCATTGTAAACACAGCACAAGTGTATTGGCTTTTAAATTGTCGATCAATTGTTTGTATCATTCATTCAATTGACTGACTAACTGATCGACGGCTACAATGAAACACTGGACACGAAATCATTGAGTGACCATTTTGTTGGTGGTGTCGGCTGTTATTATTGTCAATGTTGTCTATCGGTTGGCCGCCGTTGTTGACGGAAACAATGGGACAAATATTGCGACTAATGGCCCAACAATTGCTTTACGGTGACTATAATTATGTCAACTATAACAGCAACTATAATCACCGCATGAATGATATCATCGACAACTGCAACGACAACAATGATGACAATTATAGCAGTGATGATAATCGCCGTAAACGACGCCAAGACGACAGTGAAACTAATGGTAAAAGTGAATCACTTAATAATATTTTGCGAAAACTTTTTTTTAAATTTCATGACTATCTCGACATAGCTATACCTGATCTGTCCGAATGGCCGCCAGAGTTGAGTCTAACTGTACTGAAGAACCTGAACGCTACCGATCTATGTTTGGCCGCCTGTGTCTGGACCGAGTTGGCCACCGATGAAGTTCTGTGGCATTCGTTGTCCTGTTCACAATGGGGTTACGCCTCCATCTATTTTAAGCCAAAAGCAGATAACTTTTCCTACCGTCGGCTGTATCTACAGTTAGACGAAGGCTCCATCACATTCAATGCCGACTCACAAACTGTATGATTAAATCATGAAAACCAATTGACTAATAGATTTAATAGATTTTTATTACCAATGATGTAGGGAATCGAGTATTTCAATCGTCACGGATTGGTGGACAACAACACGGCAGAGATCGCGCAATTCATTCACGCGGCCAAACCATTGGACAAACGACAGGTACGACTGTTTCTCAACTCGAGACCAGACATATTGGATTATTTGGTCAATTTGGAGAACTTCGAGAACCAGTTCTTACCGATTGCGTTGCGCCGTTTCTTCACCGTATTGCAAGCGCCCAACAAACGTGACCACTATTTGCATCTATTGGTCGACAAATTTTCGCACCGCTTCTCCCAATGCAATCCCGAACTGGGACTCAGCGCCGACACTATCTATGTTTTGTGTTTTTCACTGATCATGTTGTCGGTAGACCTGTCGAGTCCACACATCAAAAATAAAATGTCTAAACGAGAGTTCATTAGGAATGTCCGAAACGCCATTCATCGGGTCGATGACGAACTATATGGCCATCTCTACGATGATATTTATTTGAAAGGTCACATCGCTATCAATGCCAACAATTGAAGATTTTTTTTTGTTTTTGTTTGGTTAGGCATTGATTTTTTTTTTAATTATTAAAAGGCAATTGTTTTTTTACTTTGTTTGTTGTTAAGTAACAATTTAATGATCACTACATTTAGGTATTTCATGAATCAAATTTAATATATATACTACATATAGATTAATATAAATTATTTAAGTATCCAAGAAATTTATTGTTTACAATATATATATATATATATGTATTTATATATCAAATTAAAGCTAATGTGTAATATATTTTCTAGTCAAGCATTTAAAATATCGCAATTAAAAAATATCATTTGTAATATCATTAAAATTATAAAATTAAAAAAATATTATAATAAATTGTTATTATTAGCATTATATATGTTGTAATTGTTTATAAAAATTGCATTTTATCAGTAAATTAATTTCATTGTTATTTGAATTGTACATATATTTTAAATAATTTTTATTGTAATATATTTTGCAATTTATTTTGAATAATAATAATAAAATGTTAGTGAAAAAAATTTGGGAAATAATATTAATTAATAAATAAATGATATATCAATATACAGTACTTAATAAAATTATCTATTAAATTATTTCCAATATTAAAGTTGTGCTAAAGATTAAAATAATATAAATAATAGGTAATATATTATAGATAAATTTATATTGAATAGTTTTGTATTTCAAAATTCATTACGCTAGTTAATAAAAATTTAATTTATAATAATTTTTTTTTAAAACTATATATATATATAAATTTTATATTAATATTATTTATATGTAAAATTGAAATTTAAAATTTTAATAATCTTTTTTATTTAATTTTGATAGATTATTATTATTTTTTGTATGTAGTAAATCACTTTCTACACAGATTTAGAAAAATAGGGTTATAATAAAAATCTAAACATTTTAACCATTTGCACATAAATAGAAAAATAATAAAACAATTAAAAAAAGCAAATAATCACATAAATAACTGGAAAAAATAGTTAATGATATTAATTACAATTTTGTTAATAAAAAACTAAATTTATATGATATATTAAATTACATTATAAATTCAATTTACGTACAGTAAAAATTGGTTAACAGTTGCATGATTGTCTAAAATTAAAAATTTGATACATTTTGTTTAATTATTTTGTCTATTTGTTAATTAATTGTCTAAATTATGCTAATGATTAACAGTTACATCTATTACATACATGTTGTTATATAAATGATAAATAAATTTGAAACACGTGCCAATTAGCTAAAATTTTGCATTATTTACCAAGATAAAAAAACTGATAAATTAAAACAAAAAAAACAAAACAAAAAAACTTTTATATAATGTATATACAATATAATTAATTACTGTATTAGTAAATAATTAACTGTATAAAAGGTAATATAATAGATATAAAACTACATACAAATTAGTTATGTCATCTAAATTGATAATTTAATTATTGAGAATAATACTAATAAGTTTTATATCATATCACATACAGTAACTGTGTATATAATTTATAAGAAGCTTATGGAAGAAAATAATTTTTGTGTTGTGGATTGAGTGTCACCTAACTGTGCGATTGCTCCGGTAGATAAATTGTATTAATACATACTGTTATAACTGTTATGACTTACTGTACTATACATAACAGTGTGGTGTGAATCTGATAAGTTTAGTCAACTAAAAACTGTCTCTTTTTACTTTTAGCCTCTCATTACATACATATCCAACCGTATTATATCACATTTTATACAATAATTTCTATACATTAAATTGTATGAAATATATTTTTTTTAAAGTAGTAGTTTATACTGTAGTTTATCAACGACAACAAAAATTAAGTGAAACAGTTTTTTTTATTTCAAATTGTTTCTATCATCAGTGATAATAATAATCCTAAAAATTAATATTATTTTATCTACATATCAGAATGTAATAAATTTATTAACACATAATTTTTTTCTGAATAGACATATAAAGATTTTTGTTGTAGTAATACATTTTTTTAAATATAAATATAATTTATTTATATGAATCTGACATTTGAAAATATTTATTTGTAAATAATAATAATAATAATATACTATTAATTTAATGTTATTTAATTTTTGCAAACAACAACGGTTTATACTGTCGATTATCATTAAACAAATTTTTAAAGTGCTTGTAATATTTACAATACATTGTTTAGTTGGTATGTTTAATGTTTTTACCACTATAGTCAGTCAGTGTGTGTGTATGTGTGTGTGTGTGTGTGAGAGAGAGAGAGAGAGAGAGAGAGACTTATTTTTACAATTAGTTTATTAGTTTATATAACTGTTTATAACATATAATATAAATTTCTGGTGTTTTCTCTGCAGAGACAACACAAACATAGGAATTATTGACACAGAATTATATGTAGAAAATTTTGTGACAAAACAATAAACAAATGCAAATAATATTAAACAATTTATTCAATTATTTGACGCTTTTTCAACTCAACCCAAACAACACTGGTTTTTATGGGTTATATTAACCCTTGCATTAACTGTTGGCTCCAAAAACTACTATAAAAACATTTTTGTTAAGTGTTAATAACATCATCAAAAAATATATTTTTCAATGTCTTTATTTCTTCAAATGTTTTGACTAAACTTTTTTCGTGTTTTTCCATAAAGACATAAATAAAAACTAAAAATTTTTATGTCAATAGTCTTGTATTTATAAATTTACACACATATACTGTAGTGACACCAAAATTACATTTATAATTATATATTTACAGTAATATACATTTGTTTGTCGACTGGATTATAGAAAATAATTAATATAAATATATTGTTTAATGTTATCACATTTATTACACTTATAATCACTTTTACCACACAATAGTCAAGTGGTATTCATTGTTTAATATGTTTTGACCAAAATATTTGCACTTGAAATCAATTACACAATATGTAAGTATTATTCATTATATTTTTATAGATATATTGATTTTATTGTATTTTCTCAAACATTATATTCATTTTCTATTGTTTAATATTTATTACAGAATATTCTTCTATAGAAAATATAATTTATATTATATAATATATATATATATTTAATATATATAAATGATTTTATTATTCAAACATTAGTCTTAATAAACGTTAAATATTATTGAATTTTATCATTAAATTATCCAACAATGAGACGGATAATGGAAAACCTGGACTATTGTTCAAATGAAACAATAGTTACATATTTTTCACAAATCAATACGGATGGCATTGAATCACAGAAAACTTATTATAAATATTTTGTGCCAATACTTATCATCGGTTGTGTGGTAAGTGTCGTATTGAATGCCGTACTGGTCATTGTTGGTCACACCAAAACTGTTAACAAATCGCCGATATTGGTTTTGTCGCTCAACTTGGCCACTACCGACAGTCTGGCCTCTATATTCATTGCCACCGGTCTGGTAGTCAATTCATATTTGCCGGTAGTGTTTGAGATAGATATGGGTGCCTCCAAGTGCTCGCTATTGATTATTGAAATATTTCGTTTGTCTTCATTAATTTCATCGGCAATGCATTTGCTTTCACTGGCGTTGGTTCACTACAAGGGTATTGTCAAACCATTGCATTATAGGTATGCATACAAAGTATTTATATAACATAATGTATGTGTGTTTGTGACTTATAAATCATATATAAATGTATTGTTTTTTATCATTTGTTAAGACATTTATGTTTTCAGGCTTATCTATTACATTATAATTTACAATAAAATCCGAATAAATCTCAAAAAACATTTGTTTTTTGTTATATATATAATTCGATGATTAGATTTTTGCTAAAATATATATTATGTTTTGTTTTTGTTATTGTTGATTGATATTGACATTAAAAATTTATATTTATGATAAATGTCACCATAATTAATACTCAATATCCTGAATATATGTATATATATACAGTATAGTAATTTTATTTATAATTTATTTGAATGAAAAAAATATCATTTTGACAGTCATAAAATAGTTTTTTAAATAGATTTTATTAATATATAAATTTTTATTTTTAAACATAACTATATTATATAGGTAATTGTTAACAATATTATCTATATATTAGTGATATATGATTTGTTTGTTGTCAATTATGATAGCAATGTGTTATTTGTTATAATTGCTATATTACCGTCAAATGTTTCTGATTTTCATTAAATATAATTATATTTATTTTTATATATAAATGCTTAATAAAACAAAATAAATACATTTTTATAATTATATTAACAAATACTTGTTTAATTGATGTATTATTTATACTAATTATTTATTATTTATTATAGATTAGAAAGAAATTATTAAAAATGATTAAGTTTTTTATAGTTATATATTATTTAAATAATTTTCATTGATAACATAAATGTAGGATATATTATTAATAATTAATATGATGATATATTAAATATTTATATAAAATAAAAATATACATTCAATTTTGATGAATGAATAGTATTATATATATATTAAAATTATAATAACAGTTGAAAATTTTGTTTGAATAAATAAATCTCAATTGAATCGCTTAGAAAGTCCCTCGAAATGTAAATTCAAAATTAGTGTTTATTTTTAATAATCCATTAGTATTGAAAATATCGTCACTTTTTTGTATAGTTTTGAAGAAACTTCATTCAACACAATATAAAATTGTTAGACAAAAATTTGTTTAAATTAGATATTTAGGAGGGAGGGGGCAGACATCATGCATTGATGGCATTGAAAAATAATTTGCAGATTCAATAATAATGTTATTATTATTATAGATTTATAATTATAATACTGTATTGAAATTACTGAATCAAGAAAGAAATCAATGAAAAATTATTTTCAAACAAGAAAAATATTAATACAATTATTTTATTGTTTATATAATTATTTTATATGATATTTATAATAATAACAGTAGTTATTTATTTATTTAAAATTTTTAATGACAATTGTTTGTAAGGAAGATATTACTAATATAATGGACAGATTGTGTAATTTATTTTAATTATTAATTAGTTTTGTTGGCCGTTAATGTTATTATTATTATTATTATTGTAGACATTATTGTATTTTTGACATTAATTACATTTATTTTTACTTGTTGTTAGCAACTTTTCCAACCATTTAGTTTATCTATTTAATTACAATATGACACATAATTAAAAAATAAATATTCTATAGAATATTCTTTATTATATTTAATATACACAATAATTATTACCTTATTATTAACATTTGTCTATTTACGATGTTTAAAATTTATGCTTAAAGTTTGGTTTGCTTTTTTTGAATGATTATTATTATTTGAGAGATTTGGCAAACAATTTATTTGTTAATACATTATTATAATATAAAATCATTAATTTTAACTAATACATACTCAATTTATTATATTATTTAACAAATCATATATTTAAAAATATTAATATAAAATTTCAAAATTTACTTATAATGATTAGCTAACAATTGCTATTATAAAATTTCAGTTAAAGAACTTATAATTTTTTTTAATAATAAAACCTAAATCATAAAAACCTTACGAAACTAATAGTCGAAACTTTTTCTGTAATTTTATTTTCTGAAAATTGATGTCTATTTATAGTAAAATAAATTGTAAGGTTTAATATTTCATATATTTTTCAATAATAAATATTTCGAGGCGTTTTACTAAAGAAAAAATTGTTTAACAAGTTTTTTAATATTTATTTTTTATATAAGTTATATATATATATATAATATTTAGTCATATTTACTTAATATATATATTACATTATATATTTCATATTATTACTGACAAATAAGTTTAAACATTTATTTATTATTTAAATATTTAAAAAATTATGTTATAATGTTTGTCAATAAAACCACATATTATATAAGGGATTATATTCAATAATATTATTTTTATAACTTTAAGCAAAATAATGTATAATAAAATTAACTAAAAGGTCATTTATGTTTAGATAAAACTATATTATATTTAACTTGTAAGTATAAAACACAGAATATTCTATATATAAAACATATATTGTATATTTATATATTTTTTATTTAAACTTTTTTTATATGTTGTCATAACATTAACTAATTTAACGAGTTTGTAGCTATTATGTAGGAGTATAAAGTCATAATATATATATATATATATATATATATATATATACAGAATATATCAAATATATAACTACAATATAATTTTAGGATAAAACTTATCTATAAAATTAAATTATTTTCTATAATTGTTTTGTCGATAAATCGTTAATATTTTCCGGTGTCATGAGATAAATGCATCACTGATTTGGTAATGAAATTACACACCAATTGTTATCTAAATAAATATGATGACTATAATATATACTTTATATTGTATATATATTGTTGTAAAAATTAATAAATATTGATTTTAATGTATATTTATTACTGTATATACAGTATTAACATTAAGACCGATTCAATTCAATTCAATTAAGTGTAAATGAGATGCAAACTAAGCTCTATTTAATATATAGTGTTATAGTATTAGTTACATCTTTAAGTACTAATGCACTTATATGTGTGAAACATGATATGCATTTGAGCTCATTATTGGCACTTACATTGTGTGTGTGTGTGTGTGTGTGTGTGTGTGTGTGTGTTTGGCTTATCAAATAACTTTATAATTTATATGTAAGCATGTCTATCAGCTCTGACAATTAAATGCTAAATACTATAATTAAAACACATAATTTGTAATTTAAATAGTTTTACAACTAATTAACTGAGAGAGAAAGAGAGACGACCAACAAAAATAAAATCAATAAACTAACTATACATATCAAATATGAAAATTTTCTAGTTTGAAATTCACACTAATTATATAATACTAAATATAAAAAACTTTGTTAATCAAATACAGTTTCAATATAAATAGCAAAATAAACTATACTATTAATATAATTAAATTGTCAATCAATTGGTAAGTATTTCCATTTAATAGGATAAGTAAATTTTGTTGCCAAATGTTTTGTACCATTGAATTAAAACAAAACAAAATAAATTGACGTATTTTGGTGTTAGTGTAATATTAGTGTAATACATTATACTGTATAAATTATATATAGTGCCATATATATATATATGCTAGCATTTATGTGTGTTATCATGGTGATTTATTACCTTTATGATCAATATAGTATTAGTAATTTACGTAATATTATATTTTAGTATTAATGTATACTTTTCTTCAATATACTGTATTAATTATAATTATATATATATATTTATATCTACAGTATATGTTTGTGTGTTATTTTTGTTATGTGAATGGCATGTAATGCAAACAAAGATTGATTTATATAGACATTTGTTGCTATACATAGATTTTTATAAAATATTTACCAGTATATAAAAGAGAGATATTGTTTGAGAGTATTTTTAGGTAAACTTTTAGTTATAAAAGTTATTTCAATACATTAATGTTTTAATGAGAAAAGATATCGAAATTTATTTTTGATTTTCTTATTATGAATAAAATGATTCAATTTTGAAGATAAAGAAAGAGAGAGAAAAAAATGATGAAATTGCAAGAAAACTGAACGATTGATTTGTTTAAATGTAGATTCAATTCATTTTTGTCGATTGATTTACCAGTATTTGTATAACAAAATTTAGAAACTGTTTAAATATTTCATTAATAAGCAATTTGTATAAATAGTATTCAGAGAATTTTTTTTGCCAAAACATAGTAACATATAATTTCTAAACAAATAGTATTTTACTAATTAAATTAATATTAAGAAAAATTTTTAATTTAAATAAAACTGTTTTATTTGTTTGATATTAATATTAGAAATATTAATTGCTTTTTAATAATTTGATATAATAATAAAAATATTATTATTATTATTATTATTATTATTATTATTATTTTATTTAAATTTATAATAATATTATTATTATTAATTATAACGGATTAATGAAATACACGAATTAAAATACATTTTAAAATTCTATACATTTTTGTACAAAACAATTATAATTAGTTTTATTTCTTATAAAAATAGGGAGTAAATTAAATAAATAAATTGAATAATAAATAAATTTTATCGAAAATTAAATTTCTTGTTTTTGGTTTAAAAATTCTTGGATTTTCACATATCTTGAAAATTTGTGTCCACTCTTCATGTAAATCATGTAAATCAACGATACATTTAAACAATAACTTTAATGTCAAAAAGTATAACAAAATCTTTAATGTTAATATATATATATATATGTAAACATAAAATAATTATTCTTGAAAATAAAAATTTATTTATTAAATAAATTACAATATTGTATTGCTAGACAAAGTTATACAAGGGATAATATCTTTTAAAATTAGCATATTTTGCAAAATTTAATTAAATTATAAAAATAATAGTAATACTGGTTTGTAAAAATAATAATAACTATTATCACTATAAAAATCTATCGATTGTTCAATTCATAGTTTTATATATTTTTTTACTAAAAAAGTACTAATTTTTATATTCCGTAAATACTGAATGAGAGGGAACTGTAGCCTAGAGTGCATTTTCTAATATATACATTATATAATATGTATTATTACTAATATTATAATTTTATTAATATATTATTTTTAACTTACCTTTAAATATATACTGTATATATAAAGTAAATTATTAGTTTTAGAGAACAAATTCGATATATTTGTATAAATATATTATCAATTTTAAGATTAATTACTCGAAAAAATGTTGTTGTTATTTTTAAAATTATTTTTGTGTTGATGTATACATTAGTACAAGCAATTTTGAAATATAAATTATAAAATTTATAAAATGTTGACATTTATATGTGTAGGTGTTTAGCAAAGTGATGGTTTAAAATTATTATGAGATTTTAATAGTATTCTAAAGTTGTTTGTTATAAAAAAAAAATGTTACATTTTTATGAAATTTAAATAATTTTTTGTTAATTTTAAGATATTTTGAGATAAAATTAAAAAATTAATTTTTAATTAATATAAAATTTTCTATTTTATTATGCTCTTGATTTTTAATTATTGTATAAATAACTTTTCAAATCAAAATACTTATATTTATTTAATTGCATTCCTGCAATAATTATCATTAACAATATAGATATATAAATAATATAAACGTAATATAAATTTTATTAATTATATATATATATATATATATAGTACTGTGTATATATTAATATATCTATTATGTAATCCAAACAATTAGTTCTCCAATTATTAATTTAATTAAAAATTTTTGTAATCAAAATACTTATTACTAAACTATAGTAATGTATATTAATGTTTTCATACAAAAATATTGTTATCCATTTCTCGACAATACTTTAATAGATTTTAGTTTTTTCTAATATAATAGTTCGGATTTATTTGAAGTTTATTTGAAATGTTTATTAATAATAAGTAAAAAAAATATATTTTGTTTTAATCAAATTTAAAGTATTTTAAAGTTTTACTTATTAATATGTTAATTATTATTATTTTTAAAATTAGACTATTTTTTCTATTTTTCTTTAGGCTATATCTAGCAATAAGTTTCTTAACTTTTTATTCTTAACATTTTTTTTATTTAAAACCAAAAGGTTATAATTTATTGTAATAAAAATCAGAATACTTTAGTAAAACTGTTTTTCTTATTAATAAATAAACTGATAAATAAAGTGACATTTAATAACTACAGATAATAAATATTTGATAAAAATATTTATTTAACTGTTAATTATATATTACTATATAGTTTATAATTAAAATATTTATATAATTTTGTATAGGTTAATTAAATAATGTAAAATTAATTTACTCAATAGTTTACTATCCACCTACAAGTTCTACAATTTTATTAAACATAATATTAACTATTTATTTATTTATTTAGTATTTTCTAATTTTATATTAGAAAAACTTACATTTAAGCAATATTTTCAATTAAATTTGTTAACTATCATATGATATATGCAAATGTAACAAAATATTAATTAAATTTTATTTTATTATTTAAATCTAAAAAAATCTTTTTTTTGTGTAAAATATAAATTTATATTCCTTGTATGGTTAAATTAATTGTGTTAAGATTTTATTAGTATTAGTATTAAAGATAATTTATATAATGACTACAAAACTCATTAATACTATTAAATTTCTGTTATAAATTCAATTTAAATATCAATCAGTTTTTCAAATTTAATATTAGAATTTAAAATATAAGTTTATTAATATTAATTTAAACAGTCAATTATATAAAAAAGTTTAATAATTTTAATAAATATACTAAAAATGATATTTATAAAAAAATGATAAATTTATTTTAAACATATTTGCAACAATTTATATGTCAAATATATTAGAGTATTGATAATATTTTATTATAATAATATAATATTGTATAAATCAATCTATAGATTATGACAAGTACATTAATATCTAAATTATCAAACATTTTTTTTGTTAGATAATAATAATAACAAAAACTAATGTACTGTAAATATTTTATTATTTGATAAAAAAAATTGAGAAAAATATAAACTTATGTTTTTTTTTATATATTATAAGACATTCATAATCATAATCATAAGATATTCATTTATTTTTAGATGAAAAAATAATAAATATTTAATTGATTATATTTGAGTATTGTATATAATCATTATATGAACGGCATTAAACTGTATGCCGCAAACTATATGATAAAATTATAATCAATGCTAACATAAAATTATATTTATCACTCAAATAAATATACTTTGATTACAATATAATAATAATAATAATCTTTATTCATCTACTTGTCATAAGAATTACAAATTTTGTTTTGAATATAATGTTAAAATATATAGAATCTATAAACACATAAAATATATAAATTAAAAATAATTTTCTAAATAATTAATATTATTATTTGACTCATCTCTTATATATTCTGGTGTTTTAATACAATAATAAAAAATATTTTACTTTATTAATGCGATTTACATTAACTTTAAACTTAACTCCATGTCTTAAGCTTTTAAAAGCCTATTAATTCAATTTTCAGATATATTTATAAATTTTTAAATCTTTTGTTTCATATCTCAATAGTCAAAACTTTTGACTCAAAAGTCAATAATTAAATAATAAAATAAATTATTATTTTATGTAACAAAAAAATCTTATTACTATAAGATTAAACTCGAGTTGTAATGTACAGTAGTTGTTGATGTATTCATATAGATATTTGTAAATTATTTATCAATATATTATACGGTATATAACTTTTAAATTATATTTTTATTTAATATAAGCACAAAATCATTTACAAACAAACAAAAAATTAATACATTTTATTATACGATTGCTTTTATACTATTTATTATATAATGTAACAATCGTATAATAATCGTATAAAATGTATTAATTTTTTGTTTGGATGTAAATGATTTTGTGCTTATATTTTAATATTGTGAGTTTCTTTATTTATAAATATATTATGATATTTTTTGTATGTAAGTCATATAATTATAATTAAAATTTAATATTTAAAATTAATTAACATTTATTATTAATGTTGAATTTTGTTTTGATTTGAATGTAATATGTTTATAATATAATATTGTTTAAAAATCTAATTTGTTAATTTTTAAATAATATTTTCACTTACACTAAGAAAACAAATAAAATAATTATTAAGTTATCATTTTGTTTTGCACTCCAAATAGGGCAGTCATATTTTGCTCCCAGCACCGAACCCGTAGCATACATTTAATGTCAATTATATGTTGGACACTACCGGCTCTCATGTTTGGCATCTATTTTACATCGATTCCATGTCAAGGTATGGCCTATAATAATGTTTATTATTATTATTATTATATAATTTTATATTCAATATTCAATAACACATAAAAGTTTGTTAGCTTATTTGAGGCATTTAATTATAGAGGAACTTCAGTGATGTAATAATAATAATAATAACTTTTAAAAATGTTTTTGAAAGAAAAACTGTTAATTTAATTAGTGGTTTAAAAATATGTAAAACAAATAAATAGTCAGAAAATTTTTACCTAAATAAACATCTACATACAAAATTATATATTTATATATTTTTATCAATAATAAACATATAATATTTATAGGTTTCGTATTTGCCTAACCGTAATATTAGAAATTATTTTTGAAAAACTTTATTAAATATAGATTTAGTACATATAAGTTATAAAAATAAAATGCAATTTTTTTATATATAAACAATTTGAAAGTATTATTCATACATTATTAATAACAAAATTGTATATTTATTTATTTTACTGTAGTTATATTGCATATAATTAAGAATATTTTATTTTGATATATTATATTTTATTTTTTTAAAAACTTTTTTTTATTAGATGAAAGTTATTTTTTGTTAAAATTAACAAGATAGTTAGTTTTTTCCTATTTTAAAACTATTTTATAAAGTAATTATTAAAAATTGACACAATTATAATACTGTATTATATTCCGTATATTATTTTATTTATTTATACTTAATATGTTTTTAAGTTTAAGCCTTTTAAATCAATAAACAATTAATTATATTTTATTTGACTTATTTTTTGTTGTAAAATATTTAGGTTTTCTCAGTGCCGAATGTAATCTTCACTTTGTCCTCACCCGACAGTACCGTATGATAATCGTAATCTCATTTTGTGTGCCACTACTGATAATGCTGTTCCTCTACGTCCGCATATTTACCATAATTAAGAGCCATCAACAACAAAGAAGTGTCACCGGAAGCGTTCGCAGCTTTAATAGAAATACTAGCGTTATATCGACTCAGAGCCGGGAAAGTAGTTCCAGTCCTCCGCTAATCATCGGTAAGAAGAAGCCGATGATTGCCAGCTTAAAGTTGTGCACATTATGTACTAATGGCAACACAGGTGGTACCACAGAAACAGCTGACAATGCAGCTAACGCTGGCCTACTAAATGGTGGCCACTCTCATGGCGGACATATATATGACAATATTACTGCCATTGCTATAGAGAAGGACACACCTAATGGCAATCATCGAAAGAGTCTACATTTAAGCATCAGAAGCAATGCCACAATTAATAGTACAAAGTATTGTTTTCGGCCCAAACAACAGGTGCACAACAACACCAAAGCGTTGACCACAACACTACTAATATTGGGCACATATCTGCTTTGTTGGATACCTGCGGTCATGTATTTTGCGCTGACCTGCGTTAATGGCTGTCCGTTCCCTATACTACAGGTCAACATGAAATTACGGATCATTTTCTCGTTTATAACCAACAGTTTGGTCATATTGAAGGCTATTGTCGATCCATTCATCTACACGTATCGCATGAAGGAAATGAAGTTAGCGGTCAATCGTTATTGCTTTAGGCGTCCGGTTGTCCGCACGTCTACAATGACTAGTCAACGATCGGGAACGTTATCAACACTACGGTCTGCCAGTCCGGCCAGTGCTCACCGCAAGAGTATTAGACAGTCGTCGCCACAGATTGTCGAGACTAATATTAAATGAAAAATAAAATAAAAGATTATATTTATATAAATATCTATAACTTTTATGAAATATGAAATTGTACTATAGTTATAGTTTATATCGATTGGTCACAACTATTAAATATTAATATTAATGTATGAGATAATAAACTGTAACTATGGAGTATAGGATTATATAATTTATGAAGAAGAGAGAGAGAGAAAAAAAAAGAAAAATCACAGATAAAAATTCATTGGACCATAAAAATTGTTATTTATTTTTTTAAAGAATATATTTGTCAAAAGAATTATTTATTTTATTGATAATACAGAATATTACAAACATTTATTTATATACATTGTATTTATAACAGTTCAATGTTTCACAAATATTGTAATCTTATTATTGATTTAATTTTATAATATTATGTGATCTATAATTTATATCTATATAATATTTAATAATTTATATGATATATTAGACATATATTATATAAAAAACAATATTACATGTACAATATAAAAAATGATTATAACTGTGTTTTTTCATGTTTTTATTTGCCCTGTTTATTTACTTTTAATAATATCAAAATATTTCACTTAGTTTAGGCAGTTAGTACATATAGTAAGATGAGATACATACTGTATATATATATTTATTAAATTTATTATCAATTTTAATGATAATCTCGTTTCTAGCGACAAAATGACAACACAAAAATTTGTATATATAAATAAATATATAGATATATTTATTAATTAGTAAGTAAGTAAGTGAGTGAGTGAGTGAGTGAGTGAGTGAGTGAGTGAGTGAGTGAGTGAGTGAGTGAGTGAGTGAGTGAGTGAGTGAGTGAGTGAGTGAGTGAGTGAGTGAGAGAGAGAGAGAGAGAGAGAGAGAGAGAGAGAGAGTCATAAAAATTTTTATCCTTTAATAAAGTTTAGTAGTTTGAGTACATTTTGTTGTTATCGAGAGAGCAGAGAAAAAGTATATTAAAAATGATAATAAAATTAAGTATTAATTCTTGTCATTTGGTCGCCAACTCTCACTCTTTTTAATGTTAAGTACTGTATATATGATTAACGTTTTAATAATATCATCACTAATACCTCTCTTTCTTTCTCTCTCTCTCTCTCTCTCTCTCTCTCTCTCTCTCTCTCTCTCTCTCTCTCTCTCTCTCTCTCTCTCTCTCTCTCTAAACAACATATGATGTGGTGTTTATATCTAAATACCAAACATTGATAAAACTCGTAGTTATTATTTAAATGAATAAAAATTAATGTACAAAAATTTTTGGCTATTATAACAGTTATCTTTATTATTAGTAGTAGTAATCATAATAATGTTGTATTTGATGATCGTTGATGAAAATACACTTTTACTAATAAGACACAAAAATAAGTTATTATTATTTTTTTTTGGTTATTTTATGGTATTAAATAAATCACTGTTTATCCATTGTGTATTGTACGTTATTTTTATATATTTTAAAATTAAATTTAAATAACTATTTATATATTTATTAATAAATTAAAAAATAGTGTATATATATTAACGCATACATAATGCTAAATAATTGTAGTAATAAATGTGAATAAAATTTTAATCTAGTCAATATTTATTTGCAATTATCACAAATAATATATTTTTATTTACACAACAATTACTACTATTATAAAATTATTATTATTATTATTAACGCTATATTTTCTTTATGATACTTTATAAAATTATTCAACTTTTTATTAAATAAATTTAAACAAATAACAATAGATAAAATAAATGTAAATTATTAAAATTTAGCCATTGTTTATATTATTAATTTATTACAGATTCACAATATACTTTTAAAAATAAAAATAATATTTTACTATATTTTAATTTGTTTCTTTTAACATTAAAATATTTTTAATAGCTATTTTTTACTTTAATAGTTATAATTATCAATTTAGTAGAGTTAATAATCTGAATTATATGAATAATATTATAGATTCTGTTAATTTGCCCTGGCTAAATATAATATAATAAAATTAGAAATATAATTATATTTTTACTAAATTTATTATTATTATCATAAAAATATCTAATTTCTTTACTAGAAAAACATTCAATTTGGTTAATAATAATAATATATCAGAAAATGATCTAGATGCAAAATATTTTTTTTTTACATATCGATACTATATTTATGTAACTAATGTTAGTGTTATTAACCAAACCTTTTTTATTTTGGTGGACAAACCAAACAACCCACAAAATTTTCTATACAGTATATCTACTTTATATAATGATTTATTTACACTACAAACATAATTTAATTTCGTATCGCAAAAATATTGATATCATTAACTTTGAACTTTAATAACTTTTTTATTTTTTAACTTAAATAAACAAATTTGATATCAAATGAAAGAACACTTTTCAAAGTTTATAAGTCAATAAATAAAATTGCATTAATTATCATATTATCTATAAAAAAGCATAAGAAGTAAGAAATGGTAAAAAAAGTTATGTACAAAAAGTATTTTCGTGAAATCAAAACTTTAAATATTATTAACAAAATAAAGCTATTAATTTAGTAAAAACAATATTAATATCGAGTATTGCCTCCGTTGGCATCAATCACAGCCTGCAATCTTCTTGGAACACTTTGGATCAGCTTTTCTGTGACTTCTTCAGGTATATTTTTCCAGACATTAAATAACGACTCTTTAAACGCAGAAAAACTTTTTCTTTCGCTCTTTGGCACACGTCTGTCCAATTCATCCCATAGATGTTCAATAATATTGAGGTCAGGGCTCTGTGGCGGCCACTCAAGTGTCTCAATTTGATTGTCAGACAACCATTTCTTTGCCAATTTTGATGTGTGCTTTGGGTCGTTGTCCGCTTGAAATAAAAAATCATCGCTTATTTGTAGATCTCTGGCACTCTGAAGCAAATGTGGGGTCAAAATATCGTTAACGTAAATGTAGCGGTCCATAGTTGATGGAATTTCGACCAAATGGCCAACTCCCTGGCCTGTCATACACCCCCATACCATAACTGATTTCGAGTGCTTCACAGTTGGACATATATTATCAGGATTAATGCTTTCGCCTCTCTTTTTAAACACTCGTTGGCGACGTTTAGTACTAATAATCTCAAATTTTGACTCATCTGACCACAAGACCTTCCTCCAGTATGACATAGGCATCCGGATGTACTTTCGTGCAAAGTCTAATCGTTTTCTCTGATTTGTTAGGCTTATCATTGGACGTCTTCGCGCAATACCACTGTAATAACCCATTTCTTGAATCCGGTGTCTAATAGTGTTTCTGTGACACAAAATGTTTCTGGCGGCCAACTCTTCCTTAATCTCATCGGTGGTCAACTTCTTATTTTTTGCCACAATTCGACTCAATATCCTGTCCTGTTTAGCACTGGTACATCTTTTTCGACCACTTCTTGCGAGATTTCTAACTGTCCCGTACTTTTCGACTTTCTTTACAATTGATCGGACAGTATTATCAGTTGTTGTAAACAGTTCCGCTATTTTTGCGTATGACTTTCCGGTGCTGACTCTCATATCATACATTTGTTGGCGAATTGCATCTGAAAATTCTTGTATTTTAACCATTTTTATGATAATCACTGCATTTACTGTTTATTTACGTGTATTCAAATTAATAACAATGCATTGGAATCAATTGGTCCCAACAATGTGTCTGAAATCACGCGCGTTTTAAAAACACGAAAATAATTTTTGTACCTAAATTATTAACACCTATAACTTTACCTTGATATATTTTGTTATTTAAACCATTGTTTTGACCATCTAGTATATCAATTTAATTGTGATTTATTACTCTATTATTTGATATCAAATTTGTTTATTTAAGTTAAAAAATAAAAAAGTTATTAAAGTTTAAAGTTAATGATATCAATATTTTTACGATACGAAATTAGATTATGTTTTTAGTGTAGAGAAAAAACCAGTTATTTAGTAAATTATAGCCACAACCAAAAAAATAATATTATATTTTAGTCTTTTTTTTTTGTTGAAAGTTTTTTGAGTGCCAACACTACTACACAGTATAGTATACCTCTGATAGCTCTCTCTTGTAGCTGACTATCGAAAAACTAATTGACTGACTGTTTACTACTAAATATATATAATATATATATTTATAGTCAGTGTATATCTCGACTCTCTATCGAGTATTTTCTGTCCAAAAAATACTGAACACTTGTATCAGTCAAACACTACAGAAAATACAAACACAAACTGTTGTTGTGTTTTGACTGAACAGAGAGTGTATTGAAAGCGAAAAATATTATATTATATGAAAACATTGAGTGAATGAATGAATGTATGCAATGATTACATGAAATTTATGGACAATGTTTACAACAATTATTGGCAAATAAAATGCCAAAAAGGAAACGATCGGAAAGTGTTGGCCAGTGGACAGTCAACGGCGGGTATGTATGCTATACATACAGGACATCGGATCCGATGTCTTGTGCTAAGAGAAAAACTTTTTTGTTTGGTTTTATTTTATTTGGTTTATGTTATAAATATGTTTTTATTTTGACGCCATTTTTCGCATTAACTTTTCTCTGACTCGTCTAATGATAACCAAAATTAAAATAAAAACTTGTGTCCACCTATTTATCGGTAATGACCAGCACTTTGTTAATAATAACAATGTTTTTTTACTGTCTATTTCGATAGTACGGACAGTGACGGCGATGTTGTCGATGGCAGTCACGGACGAGACATTGAAACAACAAAAGGCGATAATAACAACATTACGATTGCTTTGAAACTGAAACCAATTGATAGTAACAACACAACCGTCGGTGATATTATTGCCGAAACAGAGCCCATGACCAGTGCTGCAGAGTTGATGCCGAAAAATGTGGGAACAACACCGCGAAGTGGATCGACGGTTGTCAACAGTTTATATACTAATGGACTTTCGTTATCACCTAATTTGGATGAAAACATCTCTCAGTCGTTATCGCGGCGAAAGTCTAATCGTATATCAAAACCAATTCAACGATCAATGGAGTTGTCGTCGACAACAACCAGTCCTAACAGTTCAACAAAGAAAATCGGTAACCAATTGAACGAGTCTTATAGTCTCAAATCACATAAGTTTTATGCGATAATGTTATTAATTTTATTGTTTGTTTTTTTAACGAATCAGCCAAACAACATATGACACAAAACTCGGTAAACAATTGTGAGTCTAATGACCGATCGGTTGTCAAGAAATCGGAGGACAACGCAAATCACACGAAAGGTTCGAAAGGCGGCCGAAAGTTGCAGATGTGGACCAATGATGACACCAAATGGTTCTTCGAAGCCATCGCTGAAGTAATCATTAGATTTTTCAGCTATAATTTATAATAATTAATTGATTTATATATATATATAAAGCACGGAAAAGATTTTCCAAGAATACAGTCATATATGGCTCAGAGATGCGAGAAAAAAGGTATACCAACGGATCAGATCAAGAACTATGAACAGGTCCGACATTATTACTATCGGATGTGGCATAAGATCGCCAACTCGTTGCTAACAAACGAAGGTCTGAATAAATGTTGTTTTTGTTATTATTATTTGTGACACTTATTGTCTCTACTAAAGAGCGAAAGTTATAAGAATTTATTATATATTTAAACAAAAATCTTTTTGTTATCCATTTTTCCAGTGGTAGACAAAAACATTCAAGAAATTTATGGACTCATCAATTATGGCGAGATATGGAAAAAATTTGGCACAAAATATGATAATAAACTGACTCTCAATTTGCAACAATTGGTTAACTTTGGGTAAAATTTGTTTTTTCTTTAATTCAATGTTTTGTGTTATTTATGGCTAATATTTTTAATAATTGATTGGTTTTTTTATTAACATTAAAGTCACACAACATTCAAAGTAAAGGGAAAGAACTTACGCGTTAAGACTCCCATTTGTAACGCATTGAAGAAGATTCACAAAATAAATGGTAAATTAAGCGTTGATTACCTATAATGTAATAATTAAATTATATTTATATATATTATATTTATTAATTTAGTTGCAAATAACACGAAAACAAATGACAGTCCGAGCCTATCGAGTCTACCAAAAGAAGTGACCATTGAATTACATCCGGTGGACAACGAATCGTGGCTTAGAGTTCATTCATTATCGCAGAATCCAAGAGTCAGAACGAAAATGTCTTTACAAAAGCGTTTGTATACTTTAGTTGATTATCTCGAACGACGATGGAGTCAATCCCGTATTAAAGACTCGGAGTGTCGAACCATTTGCGGGACACCACTTGACCAGAATTTACCCGTAGTAGAGAAGTGGGCGCTCAGAGTGAGGCCCCATTCAAGTCATCACTTGAATAGTGTATCACTTAGTAAATCATACTTTAACTCTCAAATGGACTTAAGTTTAACCGCATATTTGAAAACATTATACAATCATGAGATGAATACAAAGTCAAAGAGATCCAAATCTTCGAACAAAACGAAAGACAGTAATAGAGAGCTAAAGTCACCAAATTGTGAACAGACTGGAGATCAACAAAGAGATAATAATAATGAAGACAAAAGTGACGATAAAACGGATGATAAGATGAGCGAAGACAAGAAGAGCGAAGATAAAAGTTGTGTCGACAATAGTAAAAGCGCACAAACAGTGTCGCCAACAATAAAGTCTACCGACAGTGAGGTCAAGTCTGATGAAGACGAGCCGATTGCTGAAGCGGAACGATCTCTTACATTGCTTCGAATGTTAGAGAAAATGAATGCAATAAGCGATGAGATTCATGCCATTGATGAAGACGACGACAAAGAGGATGACGATCAAAACAAAGAGGAAGAAGATAGAGATTTTCCGTCGCCTGAGGCCAATGTTCTCTGTTTACCGGAACCACCGGCTAATGCAACACTTGCTCAATGGCTGAGTAGTGGTTACGGTGAAGATAACGATGAAAATGATGAGAATGAAGAGACAGATGGTTGTAACGATAATCTAAAGAAAGCTTCGGTAACAACAGAGACAACAATTGAGAATCAAATGTCTCTATTGAGTGCTGATAGAGCCCGAAAAGGCTGGTCAGTCAGCGAAACCGGTGCCATGACTATAGGCGAACTTTATCTACTTTTTCGATGTCCTAAAACTATTCATTTAGAATATTGTTGGGAATCGATTGTATCCGTAAATTGTGATATAGCACATCCCGGTGAAGACACTACTACTGCCAACACGACAACAAATGAAGACTCTATTGTTACGTCCAGTGATGACATTAAAACAAATGTTGATTCAAACAAAACTGAATCATCAAATAAGTCAAATACAACAACAGATTTGTTGTACAAATTATTACTGGCGGCCAATGTATCGCTCAGTCGTCTGAAGCGTCCGTCAAACGGTTCAACTTCTCAGACACAGAAGAAAAAGCGTATTAAACCGACACAACTGTTGCCTGCATTGCTATCATCCGCGCCATTGGTTTTAAAACCGGCCGATAATTCATCACAGATATTGTCAAATGTGATACAAAATACCATTTTCAACGATAACAGCAACAGTAATGAGGCTAACAATAAACAACAAAATTCATTAACAAATCTAAACGACAGTAAAATTGTATCGATTCTTCAGGACAACAATTTTCCAATGCCTACCACTCCTGCACCCAAAGCGGTCAATAAAACAAAAGGACGTAACGTTTGCGACGCATCCATACAGGAAGCGCTCAAACAATTGCAGTCTCATAAATACACGCGACGCCATCGGCGGGCACTTTCTAAACCAGTGTTTAACGGACAGATAAAGCCTTTACTACCGCGCGGTAGTTCATCGGCAATGACAATAGCGACAACTACTGCCACTGTTACGCAAAATCAACCGATCTATGTCTTGCCATCGCATTCATTGACATTAAACGCATTGAGCTCTGCTGTTACATCTCAGTCATCATCGCAATCATTGCCCGTAATAGGAGTAACATCTCTGACCACAAGTTCGACATTACGACAGTCATTGGAAGCTCGGAATCCAGTGACTGTCGACACATATAATGTTTTCTTACCGCAAAAGTCTCCGTTAGACGATTCCAACCACAACAACAACATTAGTAACAATAGTAATATACCTCTCATTAATCTCGATGTCATCCAATCGGTGTCTGTGCCTATAATAAGCTCTTCGTCCACAAACAATACGACAGCATCTAATTTAGGACAACAAACACTTAATGCAAACTCATTTTCAATTGTTGACCACAAAAGTATTACCCTTTCGTCCGGCAAAACAAATCATGTAAACAATTTAGACTTACCAACGATTTCGTTGGGATCAGATGTCAGCCAAGTATTAAACAAATCGATAAAAAATGAAAATCAAACTATCAGTTCAAGTGATGAATCGTCAGAAAAATTACCGTTAATATCGACGGCGCCAACCATTAGTTCATTACTGGAAATCTCATTACCTGAACCTCCATTTAGCAACAATTCGTGTTCCAGTTTTACCGATGGCTATACCATTGATAAGAGACCGTTCGAGAGATTAACACTGACTACCGATGACATAGTAGCCGCTATTGACCACCAATCAAATCATAACAATAGTATTCATAAGTCATGCACAAATATGACTGATCCAACACTGGCCACATCTGTGTCATCGTCGTCATCATTGGCCAGTCCTCCCATCGAACGAAACAAACTCAATACATCACCGGTAGTCGACACTCATTGGCTCAATGGTGACAGCAATGAACTATCTTTGGGAACATTACTCAACACTTGTGAATCTCCCGTCAAAACAATGACCATCAGAGACAATAGTTCACTAACTAATGATGTAATTGACTAATGATTTTTTTATTACAGTTTTTTATTTGCTATAATTTTAATAAAATTGTTTTATTTTTTTTGTATATAAAATAGGTATCTATTTCTGGTATGAGTTGTTTGGTGACCGACAATAGCGTAGACATGATTGCAAAGTTTGCCGATTTGGCCGCACATATAGGCGACAGTAACTCCAAGTCTACTTAATTCATAATATACAATATGATAATCCATTTAACTATTCATAGCCTTAAAAAAATATTTTGAGCTCATTGTATTGATTTATGAATAATTTTATTTATTTAATTGTAAATAAGGATTATATAAAATATATCTACATTTATATATATATATATACATTAATATATTACTATATATATATAGTATGTGTATATAGTTTTTTTGAGTCGCAACATAAATTTATGTTAACAATTAATTGAGATTTTTATTTGTAATATTTAACGAAACAATTGTTAATATAGTTTATTAATTAATAATAGATGTTTATTTGTATTTATAGATTATTTATTTCTCGCACTGTTCATATATATATATATATACAGTATATTAAAATTATATAACTATTAAAATATTAATTTGATGATTATTATACTTATTATAAGCCGCTGCTAATTATGTGTATTTATATTTTGCAATAAAATCTATTTTCAGTATATGTTTTTTTGTAGTTTTTATTATAAATTATGAAAAGTTTATTTTTAATATAAACATGGTAATTTATCTATAGAATTTATCTAAATAAAATCATTGCCTACGGCAATTAGAATGTTAATTATTAGCCAGTCAAAATTATTTGAACAAACATTATTTAATCTTTTTTATTGAATAAAATTTTTTAATTAAAAACTTTACAATTGATATATTAATAATTCTGTATTACTTTTGTAAAAATACTTTATATAAAATAATTGTTTTTTCTTATTTTTCTTTTTGAAACAACAAAAAATATTATACTATATATAAAAACAAATATAAGAAATAATATAATAAAAAAATACATTTCTCGTTGCGTTTAGTCTGAATGATAATATTTAGAGAAATGTAGGTTTGATTAATAAAAAGTAAATTTAAAACAGTTTTATTAATTGTTTTTTCACACAAAATTTAAATGATAATCAAATTTATTCTATGTTGTAATTGATATTATTTCATAGCGTTTGTTTCTTCTATATATACACAGTATAATTAATTAGTAATAATAGTAATAATATTTTAATTATTATGTATAATTAAAGTATACTATTTTAAATTAAAATTAATTATAATAACAATAGCTTAGTTTAATTAAAATAGTAATCTAATATATAAATACATTAAATTATAGAATAAATAAAGATTAAACTTTATTTGCTATATAAAATTATACATGAAATTATTAAATAAAATAGCACATAAAAAACTTATATAAACGCTTACTTTATTAAAAAAAATTAATGAAATAAAATAAATTGCAATTTTTAAAGCTATAGTTATTGTATGTTAAATAAAAAAAATCGAAATTATATTATTAATAATAACATTTGTATATTAAAACTGTTTTAATTTTAGTTATACTGGTATTAATATTTTCATAGAATAATTTCGAATTATAAAAATATTTATTAGATTATATTCATATATCTAATTAACGATTTTTTTTAATAATTATTATTATTGATTAATTTGATTTTTTCATATCTCTATAACTTATTGATTATTATGTTAAGTTAGGAAAGATATTTTAGATAGATTTTTACAATAATAAAGTTATCAATATTGATATTAACTATGGTAATTAGATAATATATTAATAAAGGATTATTAAATAATTTATGTCTAATTTATTAATAAAACTATAAATTTTAATGAATTTTTACTAAAATTAAATTATTAGTATTTTGTTTTAAATAAAATATATTAAATTTCTAGTAATATTTTTTTATTAAAATATATATTAATATTATTTTTAAAGTTCAATATTTATTGTTTTACTACTGTATATTAATTAATATTGATAATTATTTGCTGATAATAATATTTCTGTTTCAAACAAAAATGTATAAAAATTTAATGAAAATATTATTTTTATTTAGTTTAATATCATTTGTATTGATTCTGCAAACAGGTTTGTTTAATTAATTGATTAAATAATTGATAAACTAAATTGTTTAATTATTAATATTTGATAATTATAGACTATATATGTGCCAATTATGGCTGTCCCCGTCACGCCCTATGCAACCAGCGGTGCAAACAAATGGCAAAAAGATCGGGAAAATGTATTGCCAGTAATCAACAATGGTGTCGATGCCATCCCTATCCATATCCTTTATATTTCAAATAATGATTTTAGTTATTTTTTTGTGGATTATTCCTTAACTAAATTATTAATATAAAAATATGTTTTTTTATGTACAATATGTTAGAGTTTTCAAGCAAAATACTATACATGTGTCGCAAACTTATTGTAATGCAATGTCTTATAAATTATTAATTATTTTATATATACTGTATATTAGTGTCGACTTTTATTTCGAAATCTTAAATATTCAATACTTTATAATAAATTAGATATATTGTATTACACTTATATAATGTATATGTAAAATATACAATACAATACTTATACAAAAAATGCTATTTTTATGAATAATTACAATAACTATACTTTTCAATATAGAAGTTATATAATTTTTTTTATTTGTTACAATAATATTGTATTTATTAAAACTATTAGATATAAATAAATAACATACTTATTTTTGAAGTATAATGTTTGAAAATTAAGTATAAGTTAGAAATAATATCACTTTAAGATATAAACAAACAAAAAACATTTTCTATGAAGACTTTATGATTTTTTAATTTAATAATTATTTTTTATTGTTATTGAATTATAAGTAACATTTTTTATAAGTTATTAACTAATAGTAATATTTTTGTATTTATTAAAATGCTTTCTAATGATTAATTATATTATGATAATTGTTTTCTTCAACTGTTAACGTAAAAAGTGCAATCAGTTGGCGCTTATAATTTAAAAAAAGTATAAATTTGGTGTATGATTGTTAAAAAAATAATAGTTAGTTATAAGTTGTAATAATCTAATTGTCGATAGATTACCCAAAATAATATCTATATTTTTGTTAGTCTATTTTGAAACATACATAATATCGTGAATATGCAAAATATATTATTGAAATTTTTATTTACATTCAATTTGATATTAGTGGCGATAGTTATGAATACAGGTTTGCTATATATATATATAATAGATTTTATTATGAACTATTAATATTGTATAATATGACACAAATTAACTTTGATTTATATTAATTTTTATAAATAATATAACACTAGATATGATATCTGCTTTCCATTGGTGTCCGATAACTCCCATATGTGACGATCACTGTAGAAAAGACGGCTACAAATCGGGTAAATGCATCGGATTTTTACATTTCAAATGTGAATGTCAAGACTGAAACATACCGGTGCTATAACATGTCTATTAATATCATTATATGTTATATTTAATAATTATTATTAAAAATTAAATAAAATTACCATGTTTAGTTTATTATTCATTCAGTTAATCTTTTATTAATTTAAGAATAAATAGTGTATATTATACCTTATATACTGTATATATACTGTTTAATAAATGAAAAACAGTACTGTAAATACATTAGTTATTATTATCTATTATTAATATTATTCAATATTAATCTGTAAAATAAGTATATTTAATATAGTCTTAAATATACTGTACCTTAAGATTAGACTTACTTATATATTATATCAACTAATATATTTATTATAAAATATTAATAATATGTTATAATAAATAATTTTATTTATTAATATATGATTGAATTTATTAAACAATAATAGTGTTGTTTTCTTAAATAATTTATAAATTGATCAAAAATAAAATAAACTAAAAAAAATGTGCATAAAGTTAGTATTTTTAATTAAGATTTTAGACACATAAAAATTTAGTATATAATAAATTAAATTAATTTTTAGAAAATATAACAATACACATAATTAACATACAAATACAATATCTATTGATAGTACTGTACAATATAATACAATACAGTACAACTCATTGTCAATTTTTATTTGAATGAATACTACATTTAATTTTCAATATTAAATTATTCATTATTACAAAAAAGCATTATTTATATATATATAAAACTCATTTGTGTAGATATTAATTCAAAAAAATAGCAAAAATGACATTGACAAAAATGCTTTTTTAACGATCCAATCAATTTAATTAATTTATTAATACTGTATATTTGATGTAACAAAATAAAATAATAATAATAATAGTATAGAAACAATATAACTATTAGTTTGCTAGAATATTTTAGTTTATGATTTAATAAATGGTTATATTTATATTATATCAATGAAATGTATTTTGTTTATTGCAATTTCGATTCAATTGTCGTCATAACAATATTATTTAATAGTTGGCATTTATATTATTAAACAAATTACAATATTTTATTCCTAAAAATTCATTATATGTATATACAGTATATTAGTATATAATATAAAATTAAAATATAATGTTTCTCAGTTATTACATAATTATAAATAAATTGAAAACATTTTGAAAATTAAATTATAATATAATTAAACTTTCATAAATCTATTGTTAAAAAAACAATTGTAGAATTAAAAAAAAGATTTAATGTGTTTTTTAGTTTAATAAAATTTTCAAACAAATATTTCAATATATTTTTTTATAATGTTTAAAATACAGCTCATCCATGATTTCTATATCCCAGAGCTGTGATATATATAGCTAAACTGTGATTTTAATAATTATACATTATATATTAATTATTTATAGCGTTATTGTCATTTTTTTTGGATATAATAATTTATTGATCAAAATATAGGTACAACCCTTAAATACAATTTCATAATTTATATTAAAGAATAGAAATTATTATTATTATTATTTATTAAAAAATAATTAATTCTTAAAATTAATTTAAACATAGGTTAATATTTTATTTTCGATTAGTAAAATTGCTATTAAATTTATTATTATACAAATAATTTTTTATATTTATAATTACTATGAAAATGCTTAAAATTAGATTTAATCTTAAAATAGTATTTTTTCTAAATATACTAAATATAGGTATATATATTATATATACTATATCGTATAAACTATATATATATATACGACTATATATTTGAATTATATAAAAAATAACATTAAAAATTAATTTGTTTGTAAAATATTGTAAAAATCATATAATTTTAATCTATGCTTATAAATAAAAATGTAAATCTTTTATAATTTATGAAATTTTACACATTAAAAATCGTCTGAAAAAAAGTCAAAACATATTCAATGAAAACGCCAATCATTTATAATAATAGTTATATAAAATCGGATTTTATATAAAAGATTTATTCAAAAAGATGTCTTATTCTGTATAAAAAAATGTTATATATTTTTTGTTAAAGTTATGAAAACTAATTCTAGTATTAAAGTATTGGTGTTTGCGCTAAATGTATGCACAGTGAGTGAGTGAGTGACTGTATGTATGTGTGTGTGTGTGTGTGTGTGTCGAGCTATAAATTGGACTCTGGGCTCACATTTTCAATAATATAATATAAATAAAAAATTTTAGGCATCATATGATATAAGCCATCTAAATATTATGACATTACGATTCAATAATTCAAAAAATATATATAAATCCACTCAAAATAAATATACAGAATATTTTATATATATATATAGAAATGTTTATAATACTAAAACTTATTGATTGAACAAATATTTATAGTAATAATAATAACAACATATTTTGACCAAATTTTATTTGTATAATCAGCTTATGTTAAGACTTACGACATATATATAAAATTTTTATTATAATTTATTTAAACAAATTCAGACCATTTTTTGCAGAATACGTTTGTTTAAAATAAATAGTAATTATTTTAATGTTGAAAATAATATATTTAATATTAATTTAAAAATTTTTATATCGTATTAAACAAAATATAATAAATAATAATCTAAAAATTAATATTTAAATATGCTTTTAAATTAATCAATAAAAATTACTTTTTAAAATACTTTTATTTATACACTTTTATTACACTTTTTTATTGTTATAAAAATTTTACCAAAAATATAATAAATAAAATTGTTTAACAATTGTTTTATAGCTTTTTAAAACAGATATTTTATATAATTAAATGAAAGCTCAATGAATTCAATAAAATAGATACAAAAATCACATATAATTAAATGTATTGCAACAAATTAGTTTAAATTTCAATTATATTATATTTAAATTATACCCTATAATGTGATTATTTTTAAAAAATCAAATAAAAAACATCTTTAAAAAATTTGTAATAATCTTATATATTAAACAAATAATTAATTTATAAATAAATATAATAAATAATATTATATAATATTATATAATAGAAAAATAGGAAAATTGTATGTTTAGGTAAATTGAAATATTAATAATTATATGTTTTTTTAAAAACTATTATTGTTAATTAAAAAAAACAATAATAAATTCGATGTTTTCTAATATAAAAATATATTTCATAAAATCGACTAATAATTCATTTTTTAATTTATTATTACAGAAATACGTATTATTAAATTAATTAGTTAATGAAAATGTTTGACAATTCACAAATAAACAAACAAAAAAAAAAACATTGTGATTCATAAAACCAAATCAAAGGTCACTTAAATTGTAATTTATATTTAAAAATATATATATATATATATATATATTGTTTTTTTAAATAAAAAAAGGCACATATCGTGGTTAAATAGACGCCCAATAATTGTCTAATTAATGATAAACATATAAGTTAGTACTGATAGGTCAATATATATATATATATACAGTATAACTAACTAAATCGATAATATGGTTTGCAAAACATATAAAACTCTTTTTTTAAATATGTCTATCACTTTAATATGAATGTCACTCAACAAACAAACAAAAAAACAAATTTAATTAAAATAAAATACTGGAAAATAGTACTGACAAATGGTTGATGATGTTATCAAACAACAAAAAAAAACATTCAACTTATTTTTATAGCTATAATAAATGATGGCTGTCTTTTTAAATACTGTAAAAATAATATTTAAATGTAGTTTAAAAATACTAATAATACTAATAGTGAAAAAATTAGTTAATTAAACTAATTAATAAAAATTAAATACAAATAATAATAATAAACAACATTTAGTGGCACTTATTTGAAAGAGTTTTTTTGACCGATCAATATCTTTTGGCCCATAGTTTTTGCGATCAATTATACTAATAATACTGTTTTGTTTAGTAAATTATACAATTATTTAAGTGTTTGTTTTCCCTAAAACAACATTAACAAAGATGTCTATACATATAAACTATTTGTATGTTTGTATAGACCTTTTAGCATTAAAAAACTTTAGTGAATAGACTTCAAAAACAAATAAAAATTTGATTTAAAATAATAATAAATATAATGTTAATAATAATAATAAAGTCATTCGTGTAGATAAAAAAAACCTTAGATGTTATGATAATTTTTCGTTTACTAAGCAAATACAGTAACAAAATTTTTTTGATGAATAGATGTTTGTTTTGTCGGATATTCAGTATTTGTGTGTCTGAATGGATAACAATAAACAAATTTTTCCGATGTCTTCACACAAACATTAAAATTGCAAACAACACTATATAACATATATTTCATAAAATAGGAGTTTTTTTAAACAAATAAAAAAATCAATTAATTAAATAATAATAAAAAATCACTAAAGAAAATGTATGTTAAAGACGTGTTTCTTTCAAAATTATGATTATTTCAAGTTATTGTTGTCATCGTCTTCACCATCTTTGGCAGCTTTGGACGGATCATAGGTCGAGAACTTCCACTTCTGGTTCGACTCCTGTTGTGAACACTCCTTCATGAGTAGCTTTTCTCTATTGTTAGACATTTGCAGACACTTTCCGCTGACCACATGTTTTATTTGATGCAAATCATTATTATAGATCCAGTGCTGATTGCCTTTGGATCCATGGCATGGATATAGTATAACATCTTTGCCGGCAAAGTCGAGACACGCCTCGTCTCGTCTAATCTCTCCTTCTTTACTGAAAAGCCAATACTGTATTGAAAATAAAAAATTAGTAAAAAATAAAACATTTAATTAGTTGATATTAAATATTATAATTAGTTAAAATAAAACAATATTTAAATTTAATATTAAAATTATAAACTAATTAAAACGGATTCACATATATATATTTATACACTATTAGCAAATAAAATAATTAAGTTATATAATTGTTTAAATGAACACAATATAGTCTATATTTAAATAATAATTTGCATTAATCAAGTTTTCAAAAAAATATATATAAATAATATGAAAATTTATATAATTAACAATCTGAATAATATATCATTTGGATTAAAATAAATAATAATTTTATAATATATGCGCAAAAATAAATTTTATAAATTATAATTTAATATTATTTTTAATGTTTATAATATAATTTTGAATAATTGCATAAAGTTTTAAGATTATTAGATTAGATGTTTTATAAATAACTTATTTTTAAAAAGCAAACTCAAATAAAATATTAAATTAGACAATACGTTAGATTTATCATAATGTTTTGAAATGTAATTTTTTCTCAAATAATAGTAATAATAATAATATTAAATCATAACAAATAATATCTTAAAAATTTTTGTGTTGTAAAGTAAATTGTCTGAAAAATATTTGCCGCAACAGTAAATCAAAAAAATGATAGATAGATAGCTAACTGTAATCTTACGTTTGATTTTTTTCATTGTTTTACAAATAAATATAAAACAAATATATATATATATATATAGTATATATATATATTTATATTTATATACAGTATAATATATTAAATATAATAAAAAATATTTTTGAAGCGCAAAACATTGCCATTAAAATCTATAACAAAAATTCATAAAAATGATAATAATAAAATAAAACATAATATGAAACATATATAAATAATTTTCTATTTATAAGCTATAATTTAAATATATTAAATGCAAATGTAAATATAAATAAAAATTATTATATTTATGTTATTTAATTATGTCATTATATAAATTACTAGCAAAACTGGCAAATGAGTACTAAAAAAAAGTACAACTTATTTAGTGTATACTAAATATAATTGTCAACAATAAACTCGTTTTAATAAAAGGCAATTGAGGTAATAGTGTGGAGATTATAGCGATGAGTTCATTAGCATTTATGTTGTAAAATATAACAAAAAAAATATTTTAGATCACATTTAAAATAATAATAATAAAATGAGACATAAATTTATGATAAAACAAACAAAACATTAAAAAAGTGAATTTATATGTGAGTGACTGAGTGAGTGAGTGTGTGTGTGTATGTGAGAGAGAGTGAGAGAGAGAATAAGTGAGATAAGCAAACATTTGTCGGTAATATATCAAGAAATATGATCTAAAATATAACTAAAAAAATCCATACATCAGCTAAAACAGCACACAAAACATATATATTTTAGAAAAACTAAAAAACAATTATAAAAACATTTGCGAAATCTGTTTTCCGATGTTTTTAATGATATTTTTTGCAAAAAAAATAACTCATAAAATTGAACAAATAACATAAAATATGTATATAATTTAAATAAAATTGTTTGTAGGCCTTACCTGATTTCCTCCCTGATTATGGCACGGATAGAGACCAATAGGTTTATGAAATTCACTTTTTCGTGCCGGACTGTCGACACACATCTTGGAGGGCGAATCGCCGCCGAGGTTTCGGATCTGATATTATATGAAAATAAAAAAGATATAAATGGTTTACCAGAAAATATATATATATTAGACATTAGTCTACTGCTGCCGTCATCATAACAATAATAATGATACCAATAATAATATTTCAACTATTGTCTATTACTTTATATTAGTTTAGATACACTAATAATAGCTTATAGAGTATATGCCACATATATATATATATATATATTGAGATATCTTAGCAAAACTAATATATGAAAGGAAAGCGATATCATAAAACAAGATATGTTACATAACGTAAATTAAATAAAGAAAATAACAATAATATATTAGTCATAAATAAATATATATATACTGGTATATATATATTGAATCTATAAACTTATAGATATAATGGTATCTCAAGTATATTAATGATGGATATGACTGTCGTCTATATAAGAGCTTAAATAAAGACCAGAAGCTATACATTAGATATGGAGAGCCTTACTGTTAATCTATAGAGAGAAAGAAATTTTTGCCAAAATATATGTATGAAATATATATATATATATATAAGAGAAATATAATGGAATTCAATGCATAGACAGAAAAAAAGGAAATATATATAAGAAATCAATAATCATATCGTAAATATATTGTATATATTTATATATAACATACAGAAAGAGAAAATATACAGCAATAATATTATAGACACTATGTGTTAAGTTATATCAATACAATTAAATAAGTTATTGTCTGATGATATAAATAATATGTGTGTATGAATTTGGCCATACGTGACATGAATTGATATTATATAACCCAAAACAACAAATGCATATATAGTTTATTATATTGTGTATTATACACACATACAGTATCAGCAAATGATATACATCTGTACTGTATATATCTATATATCTATCTATAACTACAAGTGTTAAGTATTTGCTAAGACATACCTCTCCCGATGCAACAGCCTCTCCGGGAACAAACAGTTCGGGATATACAGTCTTGATATACCAGTCAAACGATTTACAGCTCAACTGTTTGCGTAACTCCTTGCGTGAACTAACATCACCAAAATCACCCTATAATTAGTTAAAGACAAAATTAAATTAGATTTAAAATAATTAATATTGTGTGACAGTCAACTATTGAATATAATGTTAATTATTTAAAAAAAGACTAAATTATATAATTATTAATTACCGAAACAATTAAACCACAAAATAAATTAAATAATTACTATTATTGTTAAAATCATTTGTTTGTAATATACTRTATTTTAAGCTACCGATGCATTGAAATAACAAACGAAAAAAATCTAATTCTCGTTAATTGAAATCCCATGTATTATATGGTATACAGAATATTCTGTGCGTGCAATTTAAATGTTAAAACATATATCGATTCCTAAAGCTAATACACATACATTCACACACACACACACACACACATACCGCACGCACATAATATATATATATATACTATACTGTAGTTGTGTTATTTTTTTGGAAAGTCATAAAATGTCAAAACATAAGTCGAGTGCAACTCACGAGGTCGTCACCGATGCGTTGGTAGTAATACTTTTTGTAGTCGTCTAACCAAACTTCTGCCAAACGAATTGAGTTACGTTTCAGTACATTAACTCCGGATCGCCACTGGAATACACAAACAGACATCAAATTTTATAATTATAATTATTATTGTTATTTTACTTTTATAAGAGGATAGACAGACACAAACATACAAACACTATAAAATAATAGTAAACTATTCATTTGTGTGACAATTGAAACATCTGTTTAATATTCACTGTCATATATAGAAATATTTAACTTAAATGTGATAAACCATTAGCACACAAATAGTAGAGAGAAAGTGAAAGAGAGAGAGAGAGAKAGAKAGATAGATAGAGAGAGAGAGAGAGAGAGAGAGAGAGAGAGAGATGAAAGCAATCAAACGATTGGAAAATTGAATTAAATTTTGCGAAAAAATCTCTGTAATAGTGGACATACCTTGTATGGAGATCGGGACCGGAAGACATGGCCCACATGAGAACAGGGAACTATCTCTAGAGTTCCGCCACACATCCAGGTCTAGACAATAATAGTAATATATATCAGATTAGATCACTTCATAGAGATCATCAAATATTAAATGTCATTATAATAAATAGTCATTTTAGTAAAGTTAGGTCTAATAAAATGATTTTTTTGTGGATATATATAAAGCACATGGAGCTCATCAAAAGATAACGATGTCTATATTGGTATCGAAAATGGCTAATACACTCTCATCATTGAAATAATGGTAAAGTGAATCGTTAGCGACAATGAATATTATCGCTAATTATAATCAAACGATAAAACAAGTCATTCATTATTATTGTTGTTGTTATATAAGTATACGCTTTTGTATAAAACAATAGAGAGAAAAGGACAGAGACATTAGCTTAAAGATTAAATGCATTGATTAGTAGTTTTAGTATAAGTGTTGTTACACTTTATGCTGGGTTTCAGTGAGAAACCATAGCTTCAAAACAAAAAATGTTCATCACTTTCATAAAAAGTAATGCATAGCTAATGAATAATGAATTTACCCAAAAAAATATTGTGTGTAAAAATACTGGTGTTTAGTATTTAAACCCTTATATACATATAAAAAGGGAAAATGAATGAGTGAGTGAGTAAATTAGTGAGTGAAAGAGTGAGTGAATGAATGAGTGGGTGAGAGAGAGAGAGARAGAAAGAAAGARAGAGAGAGAGAGAGAGAGAGAGAATTAAGTGATAGAGAAAAGCTTTGAATAATAAATTAGAAATGAGATGAAAGTATGAAAAAAACTGGAGATTACTTAAACAATATTTAAAACTATAGATAAAAAAATAAAGAAATCAATAAAATATGTTTAACAAAGTCAACAATAAAAATATAATATTATTAATACATTTGATACTAAGATAAACATAGTGTACGAATAAAAATATGTTTTTTAATATATTATAAATGAATTTTAATTTTTTTTAAATATAAAACTCTTGACAAAAAAAATAAAAWTTTTTAATTTTTAATCAATATATACTGCATATAAGCATATACAGTACAGTACCAATATAATAGCTTACCAAATATACATTGAATTTAATTCAATTAACTTAATATGGTTTTTGCAATTTTTAAATTTTTTTTTTTAATGTTTGCGCTCTATATTATATATATATATATATATATATATATATATATATATATATATATATATATATATATATATATATATATATGGCAGACGAGTGGATAAAACATAAAAATGTAAAAAATTTAGTTATAAAAAATTAATGTATGCCTCTCTAGTGATAGGGGTAAATATATTTAAACTTTCAAAGCAATAAACTAAATTTTAATATTGTAAAATGTAATAATTTTTAATGTTTTAAATAGCCTCTATAATAGTCTTTATTTACAGTAGACTATATAATATTAAAAAATAGTCTTTTTTAAAAAAACAAAATTTCATTTTTTGCTCTAAAAAATATTTTTTCAATTATATTTATGAAAAAACAAAAATTAATAAAATGTAAATATATTTTTTTCAACAAAAAAAACTACAACAAAAATAATCTATTATAAAAAACTATAATTACATGTAATTATTAAAAAAAAAAAACTAATTTGATGTTCAACTCCATAAAAATGTATATATAATTAGTTTTTATAACAAAAATAAATCATAATTACTATCTTAATATATATAACAACATCTTTTAGCAAAACAAATAAAATGTTAAAAAAATATAAAATAATAATAATATGTAATATTTATAAAAAAAAGATTGATTTAATATTAGTACAAACTTTAAATAGCATTAGAAAACTAATTAATCTCTTTTTATGTGTCAACTCAATGATGCATTAAAGTTATCAATTAATGTGTTATTATTATTATTATTATAAATAATAATATTACAAAATGACATATAATTATATAATTTTTAGATATTTTTATGTTTTTTCAAACAATGTAAAAGTCACATAATAAGTTATAATAAAACTAATAATAATAATTATATTGCAAAACTTTATTTTAATCAAACACAATTAGTAAATTTAATTATAACATAAAATAAAAATAATAGTCTCATAAAAATATCAATATATATATATACAATAAATGATAAAACAGTTGACATCTCATAATAATAATAATAAAACACAAAACATATGGTAAATGACTTGACTTTTGTTACAAAAGAAATTTTTTGATTCCTTATATATATATATATATATATATATATATTATATGATATTATATAATATAATGCATTAGAGAATCACTGAATTGATATATCACTGAAACATTAGAACATTAAAGTACAGTATTTTTATTTATGACAAACATTAGGATATATTTTTAAAGAGAGAGAAAATGAGAGAAAACTTTTGTGCTCTCAAACACACAATGCAATCATCGATCATATATTGAATTCACAGCTAATTTGAATATATTATGCGAGAAAAATAAATTTCACACTATTTTTCTCCTTTTAAAACAAAAATAAAAGCATTTTATAGTATAATATACAAAAAAAAATTTGATTTTTTAAGAAAAAAAATTCAAAAAAGAAAACATTGAAAATAATAGTATAAAAACTATAAATGTTAAGCTATTATTTCTAGCAAAGCGAGAAAAAATGCTGAATTTATGTGCTTAAAACCATAACTACTAACTATAGTCTAAAAACAATATAAAAGTCGTCGACAACAATAAACGTAAAATATTTTCGCATATAATATATATACCGTATATATATATATAAAGTAATATTTTAGCATAAATTATTAAAAATGAGATAAATATCCACTGTTATTAATATAATAAAACTGTCAACATATTTATGTGTACAGAAAAAAACTGTATTACAATGACACAAATAAAATCAGTAATAAAATGTCTCATAAAACAAAATATTAAATTTATTATTAATCAATTGTATATCAATTTTATCGCTACAATTGTCAATCGTCAATAAATCAAATAAAACATGAAAAACTAATTTGTGTTAAACAGTACAATATGGTATTAAATATTATATATATGTTCATAATTTTATTATAAATTATGCAATATTACTATACAATGCACCAAAAATATTGATTGCATTTAAATTTGCATATTTTATGGGCTGTAAGTAAGTAGTGTCAGCAAAAAATGTAATTAAATCTAGAAAAGTGTTAGAATATATAGTAAAAATAATAATAATACTATTATAATAATAATAATAATAATAATAATAATAATAATAATAATAATAATAATAATAATTTTATTAATACCATTAAATGAATATAATAATCATAATATTTTGCTAATATATTCTTATTATTATTATTACAACAAAAGTCATAATAATATTCGTAAAAATAGTAATGAAAATAAAATACTGCAAAAGACATAAAAATAATTTCAGATTTCTCTATATAAATATATATATCTTTAAACAATGATTTATATAAACCATTAAAATAGGGGTTTTAATAATAGGATTAATATCTCATAAAGACTTAATCTCATAACAAAATTAATTGAAAGATCACACCAACCGATATAAGTGTCAGTTATAAAGAAATTATATATGATTTTAATGTCATTTTTGCCACCTTTTTTGCCACCAATACCACAATGTATATAATATGTAGTATACAGTACTGTATATTCAATATAGTATATAATATATTTGATATAAAATGTACAATATATACAGTATATATATAAACACACACAATGTATCGCTTAACCACAACTTATAGTGATTTATAAGTGTGATAATACCCATAACTCCGAGACACCCCATGTGCTTAATATATAGACTTTTTTATATATAAGATATACGGACAAAAACCATTTGTCTGTGAGAGATATAAAAGAGAGAGAGTATATATCAATATATATGATCTAACCTTAAACGATAGCTCCAGGTTCTCACCGCCCCATATGTCAAAGCCATTATCATAAGTGCCTAACTTCTCGAAGAAGGCCTTATCTATGGAAAACAAACCGCCGGCCATTGTTGGCGACCTAACCGACCAAACATACAGAAAAAAGATGAAAAATAAATAAATATATAAATATATATAAATTTATATCTAATTTATATGTATGAATAGTTTTTTACAATAAAGAGTGGTATATAAGTTATATATATATATATATATGATATATAAAGACAATTTTTTTCAGTATAATAATATCTATAAAACTACAGGGGATTTATCTCTATGTATTAAATATACTAAAAGGATTTCACCGGAGAATAACAGCTAAAATTAATTCAACACAAAACAACATTTATATATATATTTTTCTATAATAATATATAAATATTATAATTGCAAATAAGTCTTGTGCCATATTTTTTGATGTGTGTGCCAATCAATTGTGTTTTTTATAGTATGGAAAATGCATTTTAGATGAGAGAGAAAATGCATTTTTCTCTCCGCATATATGGATATAAAATATTCACGCTTTTTGACGGCATAGTTATGCAAAAAAAATAGTTTTTACCGGCTTTAGGGTTATAGTGAGTATAACTACTTTGTAAAGTAAAAACAAAACAAAACAATATGCTTAAAGACAATATTGTGTTTTTGCATACCAGACGGGATCGGTCGGGTATTTCCTTCTTTTCTTTTCCCGTTCGGGTACTGAATGCCAATTGAATTGGAGATTCCAATCAAAACCGCCGACATTGACGGCAGTGGCCTCACCTCTGTAGTGATACTCAAATGTCTTGTCGTTGATCACATCAATCACTGGACAGACAACGGTTGTCGGATTTATAGCTATCCTATTAAGTAACGGTTCGAGCCATCCCTCAGTGCATTCGCAATGCGAGTCCAGATATGTAAGTACCTGACCGGTAGCCGCTGAAGCACCCAATAGTCGGGCCCTGATTAGGCCCTCTCGTCGTTTGGCGCGAACTATCTTTACTTTTCCCAGTTTTGTCATATAATCCTCTAATTGTTGTGCTAAATGAGCTATCAATTTGAATAAAAAATAAAAACAAAATTACATTAAACTTTATTTTTCCGTAAGACTTAATTGAATTTTTATGAACTTTTTTTTCTTTCTTTCTTTACAAACAAAATTTTCCCTAAAATTAATTATATGAATGCAATACAAGAAAAATAAAAGGGAAATATATATAAAATCTAATCAAAGTTTTCCACTTATTTCGTAATATCATTGTTGAAGCGTATGAGTGACACAATCACTGGTTTAGCACAAGTGCAGGAAAATAATTAATTAGTAGTAAATATATTATATAGTAGTTATAAATAGATAAACAAAAACAATCCCAAAAAGTTTTGGACAATTAATTGAAAAGATAGTTTGAGTGGGATTTAGAGGGACTAAAACCTTTAGTAACTGTAGTAATAGTAGTAGTAATACATCAGTTGATGCACTGGTAAGACATACGCACATTACATATACAATCCATCACCAAAAGTAAAGGGACAGTTAAGAGATAGACATTCAGGTAAGTCACCATAAAATAAGGGCATTTAAACAGTTAATATAATATATATTCTAAGAGTGTGGTATTATATTGAGATATTAGAGGAAAAGGCTATTAATATAAAGCACTTGTAGTATATAAATGAAAAACTGGTGGATATTATGTATGATAAAGAGAAAAAACTACAGTTACTGTTTTATTAATCAATCAAACTTTTTTCACTATATATATGTATGTATTGTAGGACTGAGCCTTCCTTATGGATAATAAGAAATATATATATATATATTAAAGACTACAAGCTTTTTGTATTACATGTTTAAAAAACACAAAATCAGACAAATCATAAAAAGTGAGATAAAATGTTTTTAATGTAGAAATAATTAGCGAAAAACATATCGTAGAAAAATATTTAGCAAATTATTACTGAAAAAAAGTCATTACATTAGCGTTGAAGTAGTACTCCTCTTACACGCAATAACTAATGACATGTTTTATGTAATTAAAGTTTGCATTTAATGCATGTTTTCTGACAATAAATTCTGTGATAACACTAACAACAAGAATATTCTACAACTAATGTCAATATATGCTTAAAAAACTCGTAACAATTAATTAATGAATTGTCTACTCGTTTACAATTGCATAGTTGGGATGAGAACCGGGAGTCAGGAAACAGCAAATGGAAAGTTAGGAATGTTTTGTGTTGAAAATGCAAACATCAGTAGTTTTTATTCACATCCATTTAAGTACTTTTATATTCTATATAACATAAAATAAACATACATTCCAGGAGGACTTGTAGGCAAAAATTATGTATGTTTTTGGCATATAAAATATATGAGTATTGTGTGTGTGTTTGTGATATCAATATATTTTATTTTTATATCTACAGTATATACTGTATATGGTCTAATACATTGTATATCAAACTATAGTATATACTGATATATTGGTTCATGTATATATATATATATAGTATGTATATATACAGTATATACATATAAAATATAGTAAATAATTGAATAGATGTATGTCAAAAATTTAATTATCCATTTTAAATGTTTACTCTGACTGCTGATTGCAACTAATTTTTATATTAAGCTATACAGTACTGTATCTAAATTTTATATTTAAATCTATCAACATAGCTATATATTTTTTAAATACTTTTTCTGTAATTAGACTATATTTGAGTGAATAAATTAATTGTATAACTAAAGACTAGTAGTACTTCAGTAGTAAATAAGCAATGAGTGATACATTGTATGGTATCGGCATATACACTGTATATAGCAGTGTGTGTGTGTGTGTGTGTGTGTGTGTGTGGATGGATATAAAAGACTAGTGAATGAATAGGAAGACTACCCGATCTATTGTTATCTACAATGCATTGTGTATGGCATGATATATATACATTAAATATATAGATATATGGCATACCATGGATACAGTAGAGAGAAATAGTTATATCAATATATATATGTTATTAGACTTACGTTGATCGGAGAAGTCATCGACTAAAATGATTTCTTTAATTAAATGTTTTGGCGATCGGTTGAACACACTGTGAACAGTCCGTAACAATACACTCCAGGCCTCGTTGTGAAAGCATATGATGACCGACGTGTCCGGCAATTTAGGTAAGTAATCAATTTTCTTACATCTATATTGATTAATAGATAGATAAAACATTGTTGACATCAATTATAAATATATATATATATATATACCTGTACTGTATATATCAATAGTATTGGCAATTATATATTCAAGTTGTTTGTAACCAATAAATTTATAACTAACAGCTATAATATTCATGTAATTTGGTAATATTGTGTGCATGTAATGTATATGTAGTATAATAGATATCTAAATCCAAATAACTATTATTCCTATTGATTCAGTATTCACTACATCATACAAATTATTATTATTAATTTTATTACATTAAAAAACTGCTAATTAATTAATTAAAATCAATTAATATTTTATGATAAATAACTAAAAATAAATTTTGTTAAATATTTTACTATTTATTTTTGTAAACTATTTTACTAAATTTAAGGTCAAGTAAATGCTTAAGAAGCCACATAAGTTTCTAGTTTTAATAATTAAATTTATATCAATTCAATGAACATTTAATTTAATAAATAAATCACAATACAAAGTTACAATGTAATAAAAATTTAATGCCTATAATTAAAATATATWWATATATAWATAAATATTATTTACAAAATTCGTATTTCTAAATAATTATATAAATAGAAATTTATTACTTTATTAAATAAAATTTCTAATTCAATTTAATAACTTTTCTACTATTTTTTAAAAACTTTAAAAATAGATTATTTTAAGATTTTTTTCAGAACCTAAACAACACAAAGTTAGATATTATTCTGTATTAGATATCTATAGCCTTTTAAAAATATATATATACAYTTCTCATATCTATTATAATTTTTGATTACATATATAGTTTAACCCACAAGTTTGTGTGTGTGTGTGTCTAAACTTAAACCACAAAAAATAAAGTTTGAATTAAAATGATATATAATAGCGTCGACAACAATGACAGATCGCTATAATTTTTATTCAATTCTTGTGACATATTCTGTATTTCTCTAAATATAATAATATTCTGTATTATTCTCTATAATATTCTCTCTGTTAGAAACAGACAAAAATGTTAACAACAAGAATAAAGTTTTTTTTGAGTACGAATACCAATGTTAGAGACACAGARGAGGGAGGAATGGGAGGCAAAAAAATATTTCATAATGAAAGGGCTGTTCGTAACAAATATATGGCATTTTTCTTCATGACATTTGATGATAAAAAGGGATGAATAGAAATAGTATAGTACTCTACACTCAAAATATAAGTTATTCACTATTTTTAATAGTAGTGTACCCTCTTTTAGTTATTCAAATCTATAGTAATTGTGTGTAATCTCTATACAATTGTTAAACTCTCTCTCTTACTAAATGACAAAATTTTTGTCATAATGTTATTTATATGTCGACTATTTGTGTGACATTTTATTATGTAATTTATTTTCAGTTAACTTAATAATAACGAGCGCATTATTGATCTCAATAGTAATTTTTTTATATAAATATATAGATATAGATATACAATATATATATATAWAACATTAAAATAGTAAAACAATTGTCATTTGCCAATAAAAATCTTTGTCATATGTATTGAGTAGTTTTATAACTCAAACATATATCGTGTATTCATAAGAGACAACACACACACACACTCAAGAAATACTATAAAAAGTGATACTAAAGACCAGTAAATTTTTATCATATCAATAGTTAAATAGTATGCATGAATAAAATATAGAAATTTTTTTAAAAAAATTATATATATATATATAGTCATAAATCTTGAGTAGTTTGATTGCTTTAACAATAAAATTGCATAACGTTTTGTTRAAAACTATAAAAAACAGATATTCATTTATTATATATATATATATATATATATATATATATATATATATATATATATTTATTCAATATTATATATACTGAACATATAGTACATACATATATTTATATGGATATGAATAGCATTTTTAAGCCAATCATTAATTTTCAACTCAATATCTATCATAACATGCCTTTTATTAACAGAATATTTTTCTAATAATAAAATATATTCCTTGCGTTAGTAGCTGTTGTTGTTGTTGTATATATATATTATATATAAATTTTTTGATAAATAATTTATAACAAATATGGTATGCAAACTATATTAGATTTCAAAGCAAAYAAACTGATAATTTTTCATCAAAAAATTTTGTTTTGTGGATCAAATTATTTTCAACTAAAAAAATACAATATATATATTAAAAATGAAATTCTCTATCATTTGAAAATCTCAAGAAATAGTAATTCAACTAAAAATAATAATAAAAAACACAGTCAGAGATAAATTGATGACCAAATCTAATTGATAACACTTTATTTCATTTAGGGAAACACGAGATCTAACGTAATAAAAGTTGAGAATAAAAGAAAATATAGTATATATATATAATACAAAAAATAAAATCAAAAATAAAATCAAAGTGAAAATCTAGTCAACAGTGAAAATAATTTCTACACTGATTTTGGATGAAAATTTCTCACTCAAAAATCAACGATAGATAGGCTTCAGTTCAATGGAAAATAAAAATAGTTTTTTTTWWAAAAAAAGTACTGAAAATATATATATATATATAACTCGTTGAAAAAAGTAATGTAGAAAATAAGTTTATGTGAGCTAAAGAAAATTGTTGATAAATAAAAATCTTAGCAATGGATAAATCGCACACAAAATAACATATGAAACACAGTCTATGAAAAATCAAATCGTGTCTTCAAAGTATTTGTGTGAAAATCACAAAATAAATACAATATATATATATAATATTAAAAATATATCTATCATTTCTACTAAAAAAAAGTAAAGTATAGTCATAATCGACTGATCATAACATCATATCATGCAATAATACAATATACTATATATAAATTTTTTATTAGATTATGACACGGATTGAATATCAAATAAAAAAATCAAACAAAAAAGTTAATTTTAAAAGTTAATTAAATATAAATTACACAATACAATAAAATAAATATATATAAAAAAATCAAATAAAACAAATATCATATCATAATAAACATCAGTGAACAGAGTCAAATCAATAATAAATGCTAAGAATATTAGCACTTAATATGGTTGTAAAAATTTTATATCATATATATATATATATATATAAAATAAAATTTTTCAATATATATATATATATTGCACACACAATAATAAAATGACATAAAACTAACTGAAAATTGATTACTTATCGATTTGTGTTGTTGTTGTGTTGGGTTCGGGATATGCCTTACATAACACCATCGAGTGTGTGATAGAGAGAAAACACAATACAATGAGAGCAACAACAAAAAGTCACCGAAATCTTAAAAAATTTGAGTTATTGAGTGATATATATATATATATATTTTTATATTCATTTTTTTGTCTCAAAAATATCTATATCTTTTTATATACTTTTTCGGTAGTCTTATGATTGATTGCCCGCCAATAGCCGGGTATAAATTATATACAGAATGGGTATATATATATATATAGTATTGTACATTTGAAACCTTATTTTTTATATTTATATATTATATACACATATATTTGGAGTTAACTTATGATTTCACTACAAATCCATCGGTCACTGAATGCTAAGTGAATTCAATAGTCACAAGAGTTAGTAAACATCAACAAAAAAAATTTTGAGGCATTGCCTGGACTTAAAAGCCGTGTAATAAATGGGATGCATTAGTCTATTATTATTATTTTGTAAATATAATCTATTTTTAAAAATACACAGTTCATCATTCAAATGTATGATATATTTGTATACCGGTATATATATATATATAAATTTTGTTGATAATATAAATACATATAAATTGTTTGTCAACTATACTAAACAAATGTGAGTGACAACAAACAAATTTTTATTTATATAAGAAAATTTATTTTATATAAATATAAAATGTATATTATAGTAGAAGACTACTTAATTAAACTTTATTAAGACTAAAAATCAAAATATAATAATCAAATTTAATGGCTAAACAATATTTGCTCAAAAACTCTGCTTTAGGTTTAGTTAGATTCGTACTTTAATTTTTATTAAACTATATATATAAATAATTAAAGTTAATTATTTAATAGWAGTTTAAACAAAAAATTTTATAAAAAACATATTTGCTTTTGTTCAAAATAATATAATTACAATAATAATGTAATTTAAATAATTAGTTTAATTTTTWAAAAAAATAAAGTATTATTTTCCTAAAAACGGTTTGGTTCGGTTAGTCCGAAATAAGATAAGATTTGGACATCTAATCAWATTGAAGCCAATTCATGGACTTTTTAAAAATATATCACATTTTTTTTGTATTTGTGTGCAATGCAATGGTAATACATTTATTGAGATAAATGTGTACACTTGTGTAATATATATAATACGTGATCCATAAAGCAAAATCCTATACAATTTTATTTTTCACAATATTATTGATAATATAATAAAATTTATATAAATATTTAAAGTAAAACTATAAAAAATCCAATATTTCGTAAAAAAACATTTACACTAATATTCGTGTTCATTATCGGTCTATACCTATACTTCAATGATATTCTGTAAATCCATTTATTATATGAGTTCCTCACTAATGTTGATGTATTAAATATATGTACAATATATTCATTTATTTTTATTATTAGTATAATAATAAATTATATTAGATATTTTGATAATAATAAAAAATCCAATCGGAAAACGCCCAATACATTTGCATGTAATTGATCCAGGTCTATTAAACACGCTTAGCTATATCATATAACTAACTATAAACTTATTTATATTACATACAATATATTTAATAATATACAGTAAATTATTATATATGTACTGTAATATCATTATTGTATTGTAAACATTAAAGCAATTGTTGTAAAATTCAATGCAAACATAAAATTTATTCAATWATTTTATACGCATTCCTTGAGAATCACGTTTTATTTATAGTTTTAAATAATAAGTCATTTCATTGAAAATTGTATTTATTTGTGTCGCTTATAGCAATGTTAGCTTAGATAAGCATTATTATTATTATTGCATTATAAATTTTACAATGAGAATATAAAATTAATATTATTATAACTATATTATATTATACAGTATAAAATGCAATTAATAAAAACAATAACAATAGAGAGAGAGAGAGAGAGAGAGAGAGAGAGAGAGAGAGAGAGAGAGAGAGAGAGAGAGAAAGAGAGTGAGAGATGGGATAAAATAGTGAAACTAAATATTTGTTTAAATAATATTAAATATTTAAAAATATTAAAATTAATTTTACGCACAAGTTATCAGTAAATTTTTCTCTCTCTCACTAAAAGCAAATGTGCATTAAAACAAATAATAATTATTGTTAATAAAAATTTTCTCTTTAACAACAAAACAAAAATAATACAATTTTCATAACCTATAGGGCAAAGACAAAGACATAAAAATGCAATTATTTTAATGGAAAATAATATTTTAGCAAATGTTTTGATAACTCTTTTATAGCGTGTGTTATATAATATACAGTTATATATGTGTAGTCTGTGATATATCCGTGCGTTGAAACCATATATATATATACAACAGTATATATATTCTAATACATATAAGTAGAAAATAATGAGAAGCCTAAAGGCTATCGACAAAGACTGAGAAATAATAATAATAATGAAAATAAAAAGAGAAAGAAACAAAAATACTAATGAAAAAGTTTAATACATTACATACACATACAATGTTTGGCATAAAAATAAACTTTTTTTGATGTCTTTTTACTGTCTGTTTAATGGAAACTAACGGTTAGACTATTAAGGATTGTGAGTTTAACTAAATGCGATAAAACATCAAATATGATCAACATATATCCCTAAAAATAGTATAGTAAACTAATATAACAACAAAATTGTTATGTAATGGTTGTATGTGTGTTAGTGTACAGTGAAAATGTGAACACACAAACAAAAAAACTATATTAAATGGATATTCAATTTAACGGTTTGTTAGCCATAAAACCAATAAATACTATTAAAGTTATCCAAAAACATAGTTTATATAAATCTCTGTGCAGTTATGGTTTATATTGGTATATATATATAGAGTAAATGAGTGAAAACAGTTATATACATACTGTGGATCTCTAACGTCAGGCAATTTGCGATCAATTGATATCAAATCACTGATGTATTGATTGAATGCATTGCTTTCCCATCCTTTGTCTATCTTTCGCTGGATTTCTTGCGATACGTTCTGTACATTCAATTATACCATTAAATATATATATATATGTTTGGGTTATATAAGTTATATATCGAGATAATCAATGCTTTTTGGGTGACAATAAAAGTTTGTGTGAAATAAATAAAAATTTTCAATCAAATTTGCGTCCAATTTAGAGACGTTAAACAACATTCAAACCAAATTAGATAACAAATGAAAYGAAACAACAAAACAAAAAAAAAATAACAAACAAAAAAATTAAACGAAAAAAAAACAAAACAACACATAAAACAAAAGTTTTTGACAACAAAGTTGTATTTCTCTCTCTCTCTCTCTCTCTCTCTATCGATATCTACATTTAAAGGGACAGTCAATACAAAAGAGAGATTACTGGTGCTTACCGTCAACAGCACTGGTTTACCCATTTCGCCAAAACTGGACGAGTCTTTGGGCGCCGGTATCACAGCTTCTCTTTCCATCTCTTCTTTCTAATTGATTATCAATTCAGAGAAACAAAACAATAAAATATTAAAAATCAAATGACGTGTTCATAAAAAAAATCGTTTATTAAAATGTATGGGAAATACCTTTTCTCTCACTAATTGAGACTTTTTATTCATTTTTGGCCTTTTATTCATATTTACATTACTTTCAATATTATTAATACTATTTTTATCATTATTTACATTATTATTATTATCATTACTGTTAATATTGCTATTATCTACACCACTGTCCAATCGGACAGGTAGTTGTGGTTGTTGTTGTTGATCATTGGCTACCAATGGTTGTGCGTGTGCTGGTTGTCCTCCACCACCAGCACCACTGCCACCACTACTATCGGGTGCCGACTTTGATGAAGGTATGCGTTGGTTCAATGAAAATATTAATGTTATCAATAGCCACGTAAACGGTATCAACAATATTATCCTAATGTATAGTCCGCGACGTCTTGGAAAAAACATGTTTGGATCAGTTGGTTGGGTTGAGAGTTGTTTGGGACAGACAAACACACAGAGACACTGAATGAGGTTTTATTATAATTATCTATTGATGACAATCACTATAATAATAATAATAATAATAATAATATACGTATTGATGGGACAGTCATTGTGTGTTTGGTTTTGGGTTAGTTGGAGGACAACAACAACAATAATCAACTATAACTACAACTACAACAACAATAACAACACAACAAACAAGTGATGACCGAAAAGTTTTTTATTAGATATTCAATACATTCAATGCTATACACACTGTATGACTGACTGTATGTTGTGTTTGGTTTTGTTGGCACTTCTCTCCCAAAGTTTGTTTCAATGCCTTCAACACTACAGACAGTCCACACTATCAACACATTAGAGTACAGTAGTTGTGATTACACTGTAAGGCAAGTGTTGTTGGATTGTGTGTTGTGTTTGTTATGTGGCATAGGATTGGGATGCGCATAACACACACACACAYACACACACACACACACACACATACATACATACACACACACACACACACACACACACACACACACACACACACACACACACACATATATACACAYATATACATACACACACACATGCGGGACAGTAGTAGTAGTTTTGGACAGTAGGTATGTGTTTGTGTGTAAAATATTATACACACAGTGTATGCGTATGCGCGCCAACACCAGTCTCAGTCAAACAGTCCAATACATTATACATTTGTAAGTTGAGAGATAACGGCGCGCACAACAAGCGAATAATCAAACGGTGCCGAAAACAATGGCCGGGTTTCAAGGGAAGCGATTTTACTTGGACACAGAAAATTCGCCGCAATTGGCCAAACAATTGGACCAATTGATCACTCAGTTGGGCGGCGTATGTATTTAGTGGCCAAACCAACGGCTACGGCTCTGTCGCTAATTATTTGTTTGTCAGTTGTGTTAATAGTTTTTGTTTTGTTTTTTTAGGCGATAAGCGATTTTCTTCACCAACGAGTCCATTACATAATTACAACGCGACCCGAAGCTCTATGGCCACCAAAAGTCACCGATAAGTCACACCATCGAGAGGTGTCACGCGAGCCGACGGCTGTCCAGTCGCCGATAAATCTTAATAAAAATTCGCGCGGATCGTTACTATTGTCTAAATTGAGGACCAATGAGATGAAACAGCCGGCGCTACCAACCGATGTACTCGAAAGAGGTCGTCTTTGGAACAAAAAGATACTGAAAGCACTGGAAGTACTCGAGTTTTGCAAACAACATGTCAGTCCACAAGTGATCGCCGATTCAGACGTCTCTACGGCACACGTAAAACGGCTGAAAGGACCGCACATTAAAGTCGAAGACAATCGGCTACAGCACCGACCAGTCTATAAGGAGTTTGCCGATTGGCCGAACATTAACTACGAATTGAATGATAGTTTGTGTCCATTTGTGAAGAAAAAAGTACAAAAAGAGACGACAAATGATGAACCAAAAGAATCGCTCGAAGGACTCGCAGCCGTCAAACGGATTAATAATAATAATACTAATATTGYCGGTCATAGTATTACTAGTAGTTATAATAATAATAATAATAATAATGTAAAAGTTAATAATTTTAATTATAATTTTAATGAAACAATTAATAATAATATCAATAATAATACTCCAAAAGACGGGACGCAGTATTTAAAGAGCAAATTGATTAAAAAGCGTCGGACGCCAGCCTTTTGCGAGATCTGTGCCACAGATTATGATGATTTGTATGAGGTTTGTGTCATTCAAAGACAATAACATATAAAATTGATTTTTAAAAATTAAATAATTAATTGTTTGTTTGTTTGTATCCAAACACTTGTCCCTTATTTAATAGCACTTGAAGTCAGAATTGCACGAATCGTTTACCATAAATGAGGACAACTATAAAGAGCTTAAAGGCGTTATACAATCGTTGCCGCCGTTTGTCGACAGCAGCACTACCTCCGGGTCTGGCAAATGTTTACAGTTTGACGGCCAGGACAGCGATGCCAGTGATGATAATAATGATGTCAATGACCGCCAGCACAGTAGCGACGATGAGGAGCTGCCGTGCAGTCCGTTTCAGTCAACACCGAATATGTCGACCATTCAGCTCCAGGGCTCCAAACATAAGTCTCATTTCCTTCGTATTCATGATCTTTTAATTTAACATTTTTTAAAAATAATAAATTTTAGTTTATTTTTATGTATTTAATTATAAAAAAAATGTAATTTATTTATTGGATTGTTTGTTTGTTTTTGATAATTACAATTTATTTATATCTAATACTATTATTATTATATTGATATCTAATTGTCTTTTAATTGAATTAATATACAGACTGTATAATACAGTACACATACACACATATATAACAACAGTTTATACTGTAGTATAAACTTTATACAACCACTGGGTATACCTATTTCACTAATCATGAAAATACAATAATAATATTTATGTGTCTAATTATCATCAAATTTTTTTTATTATATAAATAGCAACAGTTATAATGATTGATTAGTGAATTAGGTAACCAATTGGTCAATAATAATAATAATAATAGGTTATCAATTTGATCTATACATTTGTATGATATATACTTTTAGTAGTTAATAGTTAATTTTACAAATAATGTACAATACTTTTATGTATATATAAATATAGTAAACAAATAAAAACAATTGTTTTTTATACAGTGTAATTATCATTTTTAAAAAAAAAAATGTTTACTTTAAAAATAGTTTATTTGAAAATTGTTTTTCTTTACAAATAAAGAATTCTTCTATTTATTAATAATTAAATTTAAAAAATACAAACGTATGGGCATTAATACAGATGAGTAGAAAATTAAGTCAATCAATAGTAAAACTAAAAAATATGATAAATATTTCGATAGATTCCTAAAAATCTAAGTTTTTATAAAAACCAAACAAAAATAAAGTTTAACTTTTTATAAAATAAAATAATAAACTGATTTTTTTTTGGTAATAWTATAAYTAAATAATATGCCGACCATTGATGYCGTTAATCATTGATTCCATTCAATTGGTTTGAATCGACAAAACAGTTGTTACTATTGTTAACCGATTCATACATTTGTTGATATATTAAACAAATCGCTTCAAGAGATCGCTTCCAAACTAAGTCTCTATAAAATCAAACAAAAAATAATTAAACAAAATTTGAATTTTAAAAATATAATTAAAAAATTTTCACTCACTTTGCGTTTAAATCAATCATATGTGATGTCTGTGTTAGTGATAGTTCCAGTGGTCGAGCAATAAATGTATCAAATTTTAACTAAAAGTTTTWAGATATGSATATATTTAAGACACGAATTACTTTTATAAATAATAAATTAATTATAAAATCAACAATTAATGCGATTTTTGCGATGAAAAAAATATGAGAAATTATTGTCTATTTCGAAGACTTTCGGAATTCATTATTGAAAACAAAATCTTTAATATCAAATGAAAATCGTTTTTGTTGTCAATGTTTAGACCGATGCCATCATTGATATGTTTAATGATTAGTGTATCAGTTGGTGTCAACTGTTTTGAACGCAATCGATGTATATAAGTGTCAGTAATATTRGCGGCAAAAAAATGATAAAAATTATTTCTMACAAATAGTGCATAAATGTGTCCACAATTAGTGCCGTGAGTGGTGTTATAGTCTGCTAACCAAACTAATTGTGCTAAACATTGGGCCATATTATTGGTAAATAGTTGGCAATTATGATCACAGCTATCGATTTGTTGCAATTCTTCTAAATGTTTTGATTTACGAAATGTTTTTTCGTCTAATGTTTCGATCAGAAATTTGTTGTCAACTTTCTTGACTTTAACAGTCATGAAGATTCTGTTAGTATTTTCTCCAATTTCTGCCACTACTCTATCGGGTCTTGTAATGAATCCACGATTTTTCTCATTGTAAGTAATATTTCGTTTTTTCTTATTCATGGAATTCCACTCAAGAGTAGGTTTCGGTATAATATTAAACTTTTGATTGAATCCATGCGATTGCATCAAATGATATACTAATATGTGGACGAATTCATCTACTTGTGCCTCATTAGGACTGATATCACTCATTACTTTGGGCTTATGATCATTAAGAATGGTATAGACATGTGATGTCAACGTTACTAAAATAAAATTAATAAAACAAATAATAATTTTATAATAATAATTTTATAATAATAATAATTATACTAAAATTAAATTAAATCTATTTTAGGCAAATTTTTAAATTCGTCATCAATTTTAACATTAATAACATCGATATAATAATTATTTTTAAATTTATTCAATTTATATTTATTAACTGATATATTCATAGATTTATTCCAATGAGTTGTTTCTTGTAATCAATTTAAATCGATTAAATAAAAACATTGAAATTAAAAATAAATTTTAAATAATTATTAAACTTCAATAAAATCTACTAAAATAACAATATTTCTAATGAATAATTATTAAAAGTTTTAACAATAAATTTCAAATGTTTGATAAAACTATTTTTTAGTCAACAAATATAAAATACTAATATATGCTTATCACATGCGGGGGTTCTGAATTTGGGGGGCGGAATTGGGGGGTTTAGAGTATGGGTTTTAAAATATCAAACTATTATATACATATATAAAATTTTATTACTAATATATACATCTAAAATTCATATACCAGTAATGTTTAAATATTTCTGGCGGGGGTTCGGAATTTGGGGGGCGGAATTAAAAAAGGGGGGTAATTATCTCGAGAACTATGGGTTTAATAAAAAGTTATTTTTTTGTGAATCCCTTAGTTGGGAATTTTTATAAGTGGTTTCTATCTTTTTATTTTCACTACACCAAATATCAATGGCCAAATAAAAATGTTTTATTTTTTTTGTTAAAGAACTAAAAAATATAATTTTTATTTTTTTTTTTAAATTTTTTATTCAATTAATTTTATTCAATTTTTACATTAAAAATTGTTATTTGGAACTTAAATTTTTTTAAATTAAACCATTGTTTTAAACTTTTTATTCTTCACATCTTTTATATGTTTGGTAGACAAGTTTGATGCCTATATCATATGCAGGACCCTAGTTCCTATCTTTTTATTTTACAACTTTTATATGTTTGACCGCAAAAAAACAATGTTTTATAAAGGGTTTATATTTGGCAAAATTTGCATCTATTGTTTATTCCTGCCACATTTAAAACCCTGATAATATGTATATCCTGGGTATACATTAATCCTGGGTATACCCCCTCTCTACGCTCGGGTAATACCCCTTTTACCTAACCTGGTGTAGGCCTCGCAACCTAAACCTATTTATAAAGAAACACTACAAAAATGTAGTGTATATTACTATATATATATATATATGTCATATATATGTAATGACCTCTCCAGCTTCTTGACCCTTCACCTCCGGCCATTGACATGTATATATATATAATCCTTATAACCCAAGGTATCTATAAATGCTTCCCTCGCATCGCTCGGGTAMCCCCCATATACCGAACTTCCGCCCTGTGTTTTGAGTTAAAAGATTGTCAATTGATTTTGTGTCCAAATATAYGATACTATTATCACTYAATTGGTCTCACAATAAGTCATATCAAACATCAAATTGWTTGTTGTTTTAATTGAAAACAAATAATACATGTTTTTCATACAAAATACATGTGTTGTCACTAATAATGATATAAAATGATTGTATTATTGAAATGTAATTAACTTTTTGTTGATTTAGTTGTAAACCAATTGTMGAATCAATTGATTTGTTGTTTAAATTGTTTTCAAAATACAAATCAAAACAAAAGTTGATTACGTAATGCATTAAAAAGTTAGGGACCGTTCAATAATTATACATCAATACAACATTTAGTTAGATTTATTTGCAATTAATTTATATTAATATGTCATCAATTGGTTTGAATCGACAAAACAGTTGTTACTATTGTTAACCGATTCATACATTTGTTGATATATTAAATAAATCTCTTTTAATTCATCTTTTAATTTAATATTTTATATAAATTTTAGCTAATTTAAAAAAATGATATTTATTTATTGGTTTATTTTTTTATAATTACAATTTATTTATATCTACTATTATTTCATATACGGTAATTGTTTTTTAAATTTTTAATAAAAATTTTAATAATAAATACACTGTACAAACATATATCATATATAATGTTTAGTTATACAACCAGTGGATACCTATAGTTAAATCATTAAATATTTACGACTAATAATATTTGTCTAATTATCATTAAAATTAATTAATAATTAATTAGTGAATTAGGTAACAATTGGATAAAAATAATAATAGGTTATCAATTAGTTTATTTTATATATACAGGTATATACTTAGCAGTTAATTATACAAATAATGTACAATATTTTATATAATATATGATACTAAACAAATAAAAAACAATATGAAAAAGTTGACTTAAATTGTTTTTTTTAAATAGAAATTGTATAATGAATTTAATTTGAAATAAACTTTTTCAAAACGTATGGGCATTCCTACAGACACCACATCCGAGTGCAAACTCCTCACCCGTTGGCGGATGTTTCACATGAAGCGGACACTCGTCGCCTTCCAGTTGTTTACCTCTGGGACCGGCCGGACATTTGGGAAATTCACGCAAATTTGTTAGCTTTTGAAAGTCGTCGTGACATTGATTGCAGAAGTGTGTGGTTCCGAAACAGAAGAATACGGCAACAGAACAACAATAGCGACACTTATACTCCAGGAAATCGGTTCCGTGTTTGGGACACATCTGTGCGCGCGATACGTCTGAACAGCCGCCGCACACCAGCTCTGTCGGGTCGTAGTTGTCGCCGACGCCCAGTTCGGCATCACATCGGGCTTCGCCACCGTAGTAGGCCTTCTTGCACTTGTGGCACACGTAGTACGCGTATCGTTCCATCGCATAACTGGCCGCGTCTTTATAGAAACGACCACCGCTTACGGTAATGGCTTCGCATCGGTGCAGACCTTCGTACTCGAGACGCATCAGTGCTTTGCGACGCACGTCGTCGTACAGAACACGAATCGGTGCCAACAGGTCTTCCAGTGACGGGTGATCTATAGGGCTCTTACAGATCGGACACAACGAAAAGGAAAATATGATTCGTGGACCCGACCAACCGTTCTCGAGTACGGCTTTAGTACAGTGCGAGTGGAACAGGTGTCCACAGTTTAGTTGAATGGCCGGAGCGCACGAAAGGGCCTCACAAAAGCATATCATACACATATCGTCGCCGTCTTGTTTTAGTCGAGCGCCGCAACCCTGAAGACACGGCAAACATTTAACTTCATTAGCAACACCTCCGCACTGATGACCACACGATAACATCTTAGAGCACGCATTCTTAGCATATTCTTGACACTCGGCTTCGCCGCAAACATTTCCAATGGCCAGAAGTCCAGTATTACTAGTGGTTCCACAAAAACGACAAACACCTGTGATTGGTGTTGACATTGATTTCTCGTTACTCAACGTCGACAAAGATTTCGTGCGACTTGAGTCTCCTTTAAACTCAACCATTGCTTTAAGTGTCTTAGAGTCGGCCAAAGCCATCGCCCAAAACAGTTTGGTTCGACCACAACCTTCATGAAGATCTACACGAATGGCCTCCTCTTCCTCTTTGAATATCTAAGTATTTGTTGATTAAAGATATTAAAACAATTTGTTTGTATTATTATGTCATATATTTTATACCTGTCTTTGATGGCAACGAGTTTTGCTGTGAAGATGTAGATATCGATCACATTCGGCGCACAAATTACCGCAAGAGTTACACAAAATAATAGCCGCAGTTTCGCCGTCGTCGTGATTGTCACAGAATGGCTATTGAATTAACAAATAAGAGATTATATATAACTCAGTAATCAAACTCTTAAAAACATACTCTTGATTGTTGGTTCCCATTCTCCTGGTCTCCAGTGGTCACCCAATGACTAGAAGACAGTCGTTCCGCTTGTTCTTCATCTAACACACAAAGTGAGGCCAATGCTAACCATAGAGTAGGAGTTTTTATACATTCTGTCGGTGCTCTTAAGCGTTCATTAATTAGTGTCAAATTGAGTATATTCTGAGCGATGGCCGACTTTGTGACGACAGCCCACGCTTCAGACAGTTTGCCGCCACTCATGTCTTTAAGTAGTGTTATAATACATTCCGATAGTTTGCGAGACAGACAGCCTCTAAGCCACCAGCGATCACCTAATAGATCGCGTGGATGTATAGCAGTGGCCAACGTTATGGTTGTAACACTTTTACTGTTTGCTCCGCCAACTGATCCCTTAAACTTTGTCTGAACGGTTAGAGCCTTTGCAATACAGGCCAAGAATACGTCTAGAATTCCTACGGAATGAATATCAAAATCGTTTTTATCATTGGATATAATGATATCTCTCGGAGGAAGCGATGAAACGCCAAACATTTTGCCAAAATCTGTTGGTTTTATTTCAGGCAAAACTCGACGCAATAGTGCTATGACTTGTCGCTGGACTCGAGCGGAAGCAGTATGAAGAAGACAGAAGAGATCGAGAAGTAAATCATTTTGAATCGCTAAGTATTGGCGACCGACTGTGGATCCGCTCAATGCCAACACCATTGACAGCATTTCAAAACAATAGGCATCGGATGGGATTTCGCCGCCAATTGACACCGACATTGATTTTGAACAGAGAAGTGTCTCCCATTCCTCGCGCTGTCGGATAGCTTCCACACGAATGGCCTGAACTATGTGTGCGCACACCTATAGAAACAATGAAAAAAATCAATTAATGTAAGATATCTTAATATATTGTATATTAATAGACTTATATATATACCTGTTTCTGGAGATGAGTTAATTTTCCCGATTGACTAAATAATATGCCGACCATATGCTCCCGTAAATCATTAGCCGCACCATTGATTCCATTTTCGGCGATCTGTTCTCCCGAACCAATATTAGATTCATTCTTAGCGCTGTCCGAATCTGCCTCACCAGTGATGAGTTTACCGAAAACCTGAAATTATCAATATTTTTAAAGTACGGTAAATCATATATTCCGGTAATTATCTAAATTATCATTCGATGAAATAATTACCTGAGATGTAAGCAAACGAAACACTTTAAGTGTTTCCGCCTCGCAATTGGTTTGTTGTATCTGAATATAACTTATCGGTGGTTTGAGTCTCTCTTGCGATATGTCGACACTCGCGCCGAGAATCTTGATTTGTCTCAAACGCAATGTATTGTCGGGTCCTTTGAGTTCAATGCGAATACATTTTAAACGCGATTCCATGTATGGTATAACACAATACAGCCAACCGGCAAACCGATTGTCCACTTCTGTCACTTTGAGTTTAATCATCTGTGGTTCGGATGCATTGGAATCGCCCGATTTGAATGACACCTGAGATATCTTTGCCCCCAAATCCCTAACGTTGTCAATGTGTATATAAATCGATTTGATCGCCACATCCATTAAGTCGTTATTATTAATAATTGTTATGACTTTTGCTTTATTCCTGTCCTCATCTCCCGACTCCCAGAATGTTTCGGTTGAGTTATCATTCAAACTGGCAATCATTGCCTGACGGGATGAAGCCTTGATCTCCATCTGAGACGTCAAATCCTGATATGATTCAAGAGCCGGATGTATAAACATTGATTGATGCGATTCATCCAAAATAGTCGGACTCTGTTCCTCATCATTTCGACCGAAAATTTTACTGATATTAGAAAATACGTGACACTGGTGTAGAAATGAATGGTCTTCACCATTGAATTGAAGACAAAAACAGCGAACTGCTATTTGCTGAAGTGGTGATCCCATCGGCAAAAGTGGCATTAACTCAGAAACTGTACTAAGAAATGAATGAAAAGACTGTCTCAGCACTTGAGTCGCTTCGCCAGCAATCGTGAGATCAGCCAACGGGTGGTGACAGACATCTGTTTGACTCTTGTGTTGACTCACTTCAGATTCGTTACGTTTCTCAACAGATATTCTATTGTTGGCCGCATTGATAGCATTGTCTCCAACAGCGTCACCGTTGGCTATATTTTCTTCGGTCTCCTCTTTGTTCTGCACTTTATGTATCGTATCATTCGTTGTCAACGCATCAATGAAAAACCACATCAAGTCATGTATGGCCACCGGTTGGCTCACATTTCTTAGCAACCAATTGAGTGCCTGAAGACCTAATGTCCGACACGAAGACTTGCGGAGTGCACTTCTCATAGCAATCATCAGTCCATTTAAATCGTGAGTTTGTAATATGAATGCCATTATCGGTCGACTCAATACTGCCATAACATTGGCATCAATTGAGTTGGTGTCCAAAGTAGACGATTGATTGTCAGTAAAACACAAATGAACTAAATTTATCAGATTCGCCGACGGCTGACAAAGAAATGTTGTACAGGAGTTCTCATTACTGACGGCACGTTTACGGGGAGAAGCCGTTGACGAGACAGCCTTTTCCTGATTCCAGTCATGTATACCAACAGAAACTGATCGACAAAAGTTATGTCTGGAGTTGTTTGCTGTTGACTTGTTTTCGCCTTTTGATGTCATCTCTTGTAAGTCCTCATTAGCAGTCAAAAGATCGCTGTTTGCAATCAGATTAGACTCTCTTCCCGATTGAATGGCAATAATATCGTCTTCCGATAGATGTTCTTCGGCCAGTCTTTGATCGTATATCGAGTGATGAATACCTAAATTTTCTAAACATTGAAAGCCTGAACTTTGGACACCAAACTCGAGTGATTGTCTTTTGCGATTAGCCATCAATACATTGGTCATTGGGCTGACATCGTTATTAGCAGACATTCGCAACAAAAACATTGAGTTTTCTCTCATTATTTGATGACTTTCTATATGTATTGTCGGCGAAGATATATTGGCTTTGGATGGAGAGCTTAAGGGAAGTTCTTTCAGTTCTGCGGCTAAAAGTTTACTCGATTTTGACGACTGCTCTGCTTTACTGTTGTGATGACGCTTTTGCGATACGTATTTTTCGCGACATTTATCGCAAATCAGATACCAATTGGAACTACCGATACCTCCATCGCCACAATGACCGGCCCAACCGCCACAATAAGATCCGGAACTGTTATATCCCTTACCTCCGGCGTGTTCTCCACATCCCGGATGAGATTTTCTCATATGATGTGTCACTGGATATGAGTAACTTTTGCCGCATAACTCACACATTGATGTATGATTCTGGTCGTGTCCATCAAAATTTGGTCCTCCATTAGCCATCATAGCAGCCGCCTCTCCAAATAGGTTTCCTTGTTGTGCAACGGCTCCCATGAATCGTACCATAGGATAGCCTTTTGGCGCAAAGTTTGCAATGAAATCATTATATTGTTGTCGCGTTTTGTTTCGTGATTTACTAATTTCATCGGAAACTAATTGAACAACTCTTTGATTGTTTTGAATTCTGTTAAACATCTGTACTGGAGTTGTCGGTGCCGTCGGGTTTGATGGAGTCATAGTTGATGGTGGCTTTGATATGACATTTAGACATCCTTTCGATACAATATCCCATAACTTAAGCAAATTTACGAGCGTTTCGGGAATCATAGGCTTATCATTGGCCGACTCTTCCGATTGGGTCATCAACTGTTCGCAACTGATATTTGATTCGTAACTATCGTTTACTTCTTGTTGAGATAAATCAGTTTCAGAAATAATTTTGTTTTTATTGCTCTCAATGTTAGCATTAAGATAACATTCATTGTATTGCAAAGCACTCAACTGTGAAACCTCTACAGAATGTCTGAACCGAGCCTTCTGTTCACGACTGACACCGCCTTTACTATCGGATCTGTTGTGTGATCGCAATCTTATGGGACTATCAAAAGATATGTTGTTTTCCATTGATTTCACTGTTTCTTTGGTAACTTCCGGATTAAATTTCAGATACGAAGCAGCGGCCAGAGTGTCGTGAAGTATACCCTCGTGCCATATGAAGGCAGCGAATACCGATCGCAGACATTCGGCCACACTATTAGAAATGGCCTCTTTTGCCGTCGATTGGTGTCCATTTTGTTGGTAGTTTTGTTGTTGTTGTTGTTGTTGATGATGATGATGTTGTTGATCATCTAAACCAATACCATTCAAATGTATTTTCTCTTTCTTCAGTTTCAATTCACGAGAATTAATCGAATTCTTGAACGGATTCGTCGATTTTGTCGACGTTGTGGGTAATGACTGATCTTTCATTGGATTATTTGTTTGTTTGTTGTGCGACACATGAATTTCATCGTTTATTTTGAATTGAAGAAAATGCGGTGGAATTAGGAGTCCCTCATTGGGTGGAGGACTCGTTTGAGTGGCTTTCTGTGCGCAAGACTTTTCTCGGATATCTATTGGATATGTTTGAAGGTTTGATTCACCGCTTTTAGTTAGAACGGCAGTTGTCGTATGTCGTCTGTTAGCTCTAACTGATACGTTAGGCGATGAACTTCTTGAGCTAATAGGCGTCCGACGTAAAGGACTCGACGGAGGTGTAGGACTTTTGTCGCAACTGATGGCGCGAACCAACTCTTTAACATTGATTCCTTGCAATTCAGGCGGCGGTTCGCGAATTGGACTCTCGGATGCAACTCTTTTTGGACTAACTGTTGTCGAAGACTGCGAGTCTGTTAGAAATTTTTTCTGAATGGCTGCCACTCGAGTACCGGTCGAACTAATGCCACTCGAAATTGACGTTTTCATACTTTCAATATAAGATTCCATACCATCGGATACGGTGTTGGATAAAATTGATGGCGAATTTATTGAAGAGTCCACTGGAATTGATTCTACTTCAGACTCAGTGGCCAACGATTGACTAATACTTGTTTGGTCTTTCAGTGATGACAATGATTTATCAATATGTTGTGACTGTGATAGTGAGCAGGCATTTGTTGGTGAAGATCGGTCCTCATTGGAAGGACTTACATATGGCGGAGGCGGTTGATAACTACTTGTAATAGATTTGACATTAGTATCAGTAGATTTATGGCCTAAATAATGATAGCCTTTGTACTCATAGTCTTCCTCATCGGTTATGTGCATCACTTCGGATTCGTGTTGCAAATAAGTCACGTCATTGACAGTGCGCGCCAATGTCCAGCCCTCACCGTCGGTATTAAAACAAAATCGTCTCAGACTTTCCTCGTCAAGTCTGAGCCAAGTTCCCGATGAGTTGCACGTATGAGCTATGACTCCCACAACATTGCCCAATACAACCATACCAATAGGCGGCGCCCGCAAGTAAGGAGAACTCCTAATGTTATGACCGGAGACACCGCATTTGACGACATGATAATATCCCGGATAATCAATTCGCTTATTTGTCGCCTCTCGAGACTTCTTTTTCCTCTTTTTTGAAATCAAATCGATAGATAATTTTCGAGTATTTTGTATATCACTTAAACTACTGCCACCGTTGRCAACAATAGGTTTGGGTTCGCCGATGGGYACCAATAATGTTTTGGCCAAATGTTGATTGTATTGCAATGACCAGCCTTCTATGTTATGGTCAGCAGTAGATGTATTGCAATACTTTTGAACACTTTCGCTACTAAGCCGAACCCAAACACCGTCATCATTATGTAGTTCATCATTGATTGTTATGATACCATTGACTTCAATTAATCCGATCTGTTCGGCCTGTAGTGACGGCAACGATCGAACACGTAATCCGGAACTATTGCGGACAACGAACTTTCGGGTTCGCGACGGCATAAACTTTTTGTTCAATTTGTCTGACAATTGATCGGTTTGTGGCAGTGTTGCACCTTTCGGCGGTTTGCCGACGTGTACCGATTGGGTTGTATTCACATTGACGCCGTCCACTGTAATCTTCAATTGATACCAACCGCTCGAAGCGGGCGACCAATTGGCTGTATAAGTGCCATCGTTATTGCTTCGGACAAGCATTGTCTCAATTATGGGTCGCTTAACAGGTGTCACATATCGGAGCTCTTCGAACGAGTAGTTTTCAAATTGTCTCATCATTGTTATTGCGTGATAAAACACCTTATCTTTAACTGTAATACTATAATTCACTGATTGAACGGGTGGTCCATTAGACAAATCGGTTGTCGATTCCGTATTGGATTCCGTTTCCGAGTTATTCTTAAACGGCTGAGCGCTAACTTCAACCTTAAGATTCGGTACACTAACTATATGTCCGTATTGGTCACGAGTGATGACAGTGATAACAGTAGGCCAACCGCATTGCAGTTCCTGATCTGTACCACAACTACAGTGCACTTCACATTGATTTGGATCAACAAACGATTCGCTTTGAAACCATTTGGCGAGTCGGGCGCCGGACGTACCGGGAGTTAAACAAATAAAATCTTTGAGAAACGGATGTTCATTAGCGACAGGTATGACATCATCGATAGCTTCGGTGGCGGTCATAGTTCGTGAAAGTGCTAAACCTTTGCTTAACAAACTTGAATGCGCTTCAAATGTCTGTAGAATTGATTCGTATTTGACTTCCGATTCAATCGGATTTTGTGGGAAAATGAGATTTTTCTTCAAAAGTGTTTTAATACAAATACCGGACAAATAAGTCAACTCCTGTTCCAAATACTGTAGACCTAAATATAAGCCTTCAGTTAACGGATTTTCGTAACCAATCACTTGAGCTCTAAATCCATAGTAAAGACTTTTATCTTCTTTCACGTAATCGGATGCCGTTTCCAATGAAAATATCATTTCATTGCCTGGAATTACCACTGAATTTGTCGGCCAATTACTAGACTTTCCTGAAAACTTTTTAAGCACAGGCCATAAGCTTTTGTTATTATCGTAATATTTTGTAGTTTTTGATGACTCCCAACACTTTGTCAGTCGATATTCAGGAATATACATCTGAAGTATATCTTCCGGTTGAGCGGTCGCGCATCGGCTGTCAAATTCTATGCACATCCACTTTACTGTCGGCGCAAACTTAACCAAATAATTGCAAACAGTCGCTGATTTATACGGATGATCACTCTCTACAGTCACATAATGTCTGGATGTTGTTATCGGTGGACTCGATGGCGGTAAAGGAGATGATTGATTGATTGCACAGAAGTCGTTAGATTTGTTTAGAAACACAACTAATGGCACTAATTGTCTGATTGTTGATAATATTTGTATTGCACTCTTGGTGTCAGTTGAAACAACTGGAGATAAATAGTTGAGAAGTGATGGCAACAACTTTTTAATCAAAAGCGATGAAGAGATCTTCCAAATGAGATCAACTGATGGACACTCCTGGGCCTGAAGTAACAGATCTACAGTTAATGAGATAACACTTTCGGTGATAGCGATGGCATTTTTGCGGGGAATTTCTTCATTAATAACAAAATGTTTTGAATCACTTTTACTAGACTGAGGGGTACTATAGTATAGAATCTGTATATAAAATATATTTAAAAATTAATAACTCAATCGTATAAATTAGTCTTAAGCTATAAAAACCTGTGGTATTTGTCCTCTCGTATGATTAGTTCCGTTAAAACTTAGCGAACAGTCACTGAACGTAAAGGTTGTTCCGTCGACTCCTCTGATATGTGTGAGTCCGGCGTCACCGTTGTTAGTGCGCGGGCCGTGATTTTTGAGACGTATGGCATACTATGAATGAGACTTTTAATAACCTATTTTATTATGATATCTACAAACCTTAACATTTGGTGCAATCAATACTGATCTGTCGAATTTCATTTCACAGACATCACTGGATTTATCTTCAAAACTATAGGTGCCTTTCACTAACTCTATGGTACGCCATGAGTGTGACTGTCCATCGCGTGATAATGACTTATCGTCGTGAACGGCAACTCCATTATAATCAAGTAATTCCAGTTCATAGTGCCATTCATTACCAATACCTCCATAAACTGTAATACCAGCAATAGAAATGCCTGCTCTGTCTACTGAAAAACAAATAGCATCGGGAGATCCATTGCCTGTATTCCACGTCCTGTTCTGTGAAATACGCGAAAATCTGGACGGAGTTAAATGTAATTGTTGGCCACTCATCACGTGTGAGTCAAACCCGATTCCAGTCACCTGAGCCACCAATTCAGACATAATTGTTATGATAAGATTACACGAATTCTCGACTAATTGTGTATAACTGTTGTCGGACTCTATTTCTGATTCTAAATCCATGTCCAATGTATTGCTCTCTTGTTGTAGACTATACCTAATCGGTTGACCGATTATTTTAAGCAAATTATTGAAAATATCACGAAATGAACACTCAGTTCCCGAATGACACCCTTCTTCGTCAGTCTTTTCCTGAATTTTTTCGTTTAATACAGAATTCTCATAACTTATGCCTAAATCTAAATTTAAATATATATTTAAGTATTTATCGGTTAATCAGTAATTATCGTATAATATTAATTTAGACAAAAAATATAATTAAAATAAATTACCAGAAATAGGACTCTGAAGTTCAGAAGGACTCTGAAGATTATAGACATCCAAACCATTCATAATGGGAAACGTTTGGGTTAAGCGAACACACGGTCGACACAAAGCGGCTAACATTGCAGACAATAAATAGGAACAAAACTTTTGCGATAACCTATTGTCGTCGTTAAGCAAAAGATCGCAAAGCGCTCGCCATCTGAGCGAACCGTTCGGATAGAAGGAATGGTAACACGAGAGGAATGTTTCGTGACTTTCGTCCATAATTTGCGATACAAAAGCATTCACTTCACCGGTAAACGAATGATTACGTGGCGGTGGTTCGGGTGGTGACGACAGTATGTGCTTCAACTGTGTCCTCACTTCGTATATGCATTCGGCCAGTCGTAACCAGTCGTTCATTTGGGTAATACTTTTGCCCGGATTGTGACGGTTTGGATAGATTTCGTTAATATAGACATTAAGCAAATGAAGTGCCGAACAACAAATGTACGTCAAGTGCTTCAATTGTATCACATTATCACCCATTGAATCGCTATATTCCGTACTACCGGTGCGACTCATATCACAAACAATTGATTTAAATGACTTCCAACTCCATCGCAATAGTTTCAGAAGCGATTGAAAGCATTCCGTTTTAACGGTTAATGAAAAATCTTTACTAACTATACAAATGGATTCTTCGTATAAGTCGTTGGTTTCATTGCGGTTTGAGAAACGACTCGACGATTCAATTCCTGTTGACATCACTTTATAGAGCAGTTGTGGTATTTGTCCCGCATTTACATCGGTTCCATTGTTAGACTTTTTAGAGCTCTTGAAATAGAAGACAACCTGATCTTCTGTATTCACTACTGACTGACCACTTGATCCACAATCACTACTTGGACCAGAAATGCGAGCCCACGCGACATACCATTTATTTGCTTGAAGTGGTAGCGGCTCTTCAAATAGTATCGGATACTTTTGTCTGGCGGCGCACTCGAATGATATCTCATCGGTTTCGGTTAATATCTCTCCGTCACCCTCTTGTTCCCCGCCATCCGGTCCGATATCAAACAGTTTTAATTTTGCCGTATATTCGCCGCGACCACCAAACAAACCAAACCCTCCTAACAATATGTCTGTGTCGGCCATAAATCTAATCGCTTCTATCGAATGACTAGAAAAACCCCAACCTTTTTAAACAGTAAAATACAAATCAATATTAAAATAATTAGATATTATTAATACAATGCTTACCTCCTCCGTGACTCTCAAAACGACAAACTGATGAATAGTCATCTTTAGTTAACGGTTTGCAAACTTTGTTCTTACTTTGATCCACCTCTTCAATGGTACAACCTTTTAGGGATGCGATCGAAATAATATAATTAAAATATTACACCAAAATTATGATAAACAAAACAAAAATGATTACCCAATTGATGTGCTGTCGTCAATGTATCCAAAGTGCATAATAGGTTGAGAGCAGCGGTACTCCTATCGATAAGTGTTGACGCCTTCTGTGGAAGTGCTAATTCGGGTAATAAAATGGCTGTCATTGACTGCGATTGGTTCGGTATTTTTGTTTCAGAATAGATTAGATTATATCTATTGAACGAATGATTCTTGGAATCATAGGTCCAAAGGACATCGTAATAGTTGTCTAAACAAACGGCGGAAAAGTTAAACAATTCCAACTGATCCGATGAACTAAAGGTTTTACACGTGCCGTCCAATCGATTAATGACTAGTGAATTGAATTGACGTTCATATCTGTTATCTTTAGTCGAGGCCATCATCTCAGCGCTCGACGGAATGATTGCAATACAACGCCTGTTGGCTATGACTCGAGACGATGACAATGATAATGGATTTATAAGAGATTCATCGTATTTGATAAACGTGTGATCACCAGAAGCTGTTATATATGTCGCTCTGCGACCAAATTGTTGGCCAATGTTGGGTATAGTACCCGGCATAGCATTCCATCCGTATTCATTGGACGGATTGCGTCCCAACTGTCCCTTTTGATTGTTGCCAAATGTGTATACCTGTCCCGTAGAGCTTAACAAAACGGTATGATTGCTTCCGGCGGCTATTTGTATGATATTTGATTTGATAAATATTTTTGTGGGCACTTCTCTAATAATAAAATCGTTGTGTCCGAGTTGGCCGTATTGGTTGCTACCAAATGTTAACACATCACCCGATGAAGTCAATAGCACTGAATGATGTAAACCACAAGCTATTTGAATGACCCGATTCGGTAGGTTTAGCTTAGTTGGCGGCAATTGTGTCAGTTTTGAAGCCTCGCCATCGCTGCCGGCGTCACTCATATCCAAACTAATAATATTTGACACATGCTTATCAATTACATCCAAATGCGGAGCTTCTGATTGTTCGCCCATTACTTCCTGTCCTCGACCGCCAACCGGTACACCTTTCTTGAAGACTTTGACTGTATGACGAAACCGTCTTCCGAGTACATCGATGGCTATTTTTCGTCGTTCACTTCGTGGATTGATAGCAGCCCTGAAAGCTGCCCGATTCAAGTGTGGCTCATCATAAACCGGTTCATTGGCCGGCATATAAGCCCCGGGCATTGCTTCGTTAATTCCCGGATCAATCATAGCAAAAGCGGCCGCAAATTTCTGAACCTCATCTCTAAGCGGTTGTAATTCATAGTTAAGATGTGCCGCATTGAATGCCATCTCATTTAACGGCATTAGCGGCGACTCGTTATTCTCATTGGCACCGAATGATTCACGGGATACGGCTTCACACGCGCGACAACAGCCACAGTCTATACAACCGGCGTCACCGGCACCGCAACCACATGACATTCCCGGATTACGTTCACTCTTTCCACTGGCTATACATGCCGTCCCATAACCGGTACATTCACCACAAAGCGTACAAATCATGCACTGATCATATCTCCATCGGTGTTGTCCTAACGCACACAACGGTTCTGTTATATCTTCTGTGACATCGATTTGTTGATCATTGATTCGTTCGTCAACGTCTTCACACAGGACTTCCTTATTTGTCGATGACGTTTGCATCAAATCGAGACCGCACTGACCCTTATTGGATATTCCGAACGTATAGACCGTTCCTTTTGTTGAAAGGGCCAGAATATGTGCCTTTCCAATGGCAACCTGTGATATAAACACATTCTTCAATGGTGTCACTAAACCTGTATTTCTGTCCACATAATGTGCATCTTTGCCAAACAGATATAATTCCCCATTTTTGGTGACCATAGCACTCGACCCGTGATTACAGGCACTATAATCTATAGACTTTCCTTCCATTTTCAATATTTTCTTTGGTTTTCCCGCTTTCGGTTGACGACGACTTTTAGTCTGTTCTCCATCTTCTCCACGTTTGGCTAAACCAACGAAATAAACTGATCCGTCATCAGAGACCAACAGTGCATGTGAGCCTTCGTGACCGACACTGATATGTGAAATCTTCGGCGACTTACTAATCGGCAATTCTGTCCATTTACCGAAAGTTGCGGCACTTTGTTTAATACCTAAACTCTGAGCTTTACCCATGAAAAACACTTTACCCGAAAGCGTGCGAATCAGTGAAAAATCTTTTCCGCAACAAATCTGAACAATATCTTCGCAATCAATACTTTCAATAGGTCTCAACATTTGTTGATTAACTTGTGGTTCATTTGCAACTACCGGTTGATCAAAAATAGCAGAACCAATGCCACCACAAGTACTCAGACACTTATGCGACAACTTTATAGTTATCTCTTGAGTGATATTCATCAGATTAGATGTCATGTCAAGCGATGGTTTAAGAGTTCTAATGGCAAAACAATCATCTTTTGTTGCCGTTATTAAAATAAGACTTTCACTATCAGAAGCACAAGCACTGGGACCTAATTGTGATACACCGAGTGCTACTTTTCCTAATTCTTTCAGAGTATTCTTATCCAAACGGATCAGTTCGTTATTTGTCCAGTTGTTAGTCTGCATGTATAGACTGTTACCAATATATCCAATCCAACCGATTAGTCCACTTTGACTTTTATGSGYTCCAATACTATTGCTGTGAACCAGTTGACCCTTAACTGTACCGCAATAACCCGAACCTACTTTATGTATTTGATTACCACTATATAAATACAGATATTTGCCATCAAAAGCAAGCGATGACTCTTTAAAATGTTTACTCGTTTGCTGAGGAATTCCTACATTAAATGTGTCGCACAAAGAGTTAGCACTGAATCCGTGACTCAGCCAATCRGGAAGTCTGGTTTTGCCTAACAAAACACAATGCACTGAACGTTGAAGTGATATCAATATATTTGGCGTTTCGATGATATCGCTATCGCCGCCTAAATGTGGAGTCGTTAGCAAAGCTGTAATAGCTTTCAAAGTCTTATCGGTGTCACCTCTGGCCGTAACTAAACTAAGTAACGCCGAACAGGCGTACGACCGAAGCTCAACAAATGTCTGATTATTGGACACAGATGTTGATGACGAAGCTGTTGTACCGGTAGTATCGTGATATGTAGTTTCAATTGACGACAAATCCAATAATAGATCAAACAATGGATTTATCACATCTGACGGTTCGTCTGAGAAAAAATAAAATTACCGGTAATTTGTAATTTAAAGTATAGTTTAAAAAGTAAATTGATTTGTCATTTCATACTTTTCAGTGCTTCAGGTTGTTGTCCTTGAAGTGCATTGAGTAGAGCCTGAAGAGCGCGAATACATAAAGTTGGCAAACATTGTCTCGACTCACGGATCAACTCGAAGGCCACACTAAGACCCAATGTTACTACTTTAGGTACCTATAAATTAATCATTTAATCACAATTTGTCCGACAATTTTCTTAAACCAAACCTTCATTAAAACATCCTTTTGTTTGTTATCATTGACATCCTCTTCGCTATCATTATCAGTTCCTAAATTGCGGCCAATGGTTGAACTATAGACAAGTGCCGAGTGTTTCAGTTGTTTGCGAATCACTTCCTGACGAATGGCAGCAAATACWGCAAACTCGGAGGCGCTTGTCTTGATGTCGATGATGGGCGACTCAKTGCATTTRAGCGGCAAATCGGTAAGCAATGGGGACACAGTCGGCGGCCAACACTTCTTGTCGAGCATTTTTCTCAATATACCGGACGCCATATCGCGTATCTCTGACATCGACTGTTTCTTCTGGTGTTTACCTTTCGGTCCTTTGGCCGTTTTTTCGGGYGATTTCTTGCCATTGCCGCCGGTTGCTRCCAATTGACCGGCATCGCCTGTGGCCGTCGGTCGAAACAACTCGTAAAAATCGATGTCCAACATTTTGTTTGGCGTCTATAGACACCACCATAAATGTTGACCACCGATGGTCTCTACCAAATGATTTTCTCAAGAGATGCAAATCAATCGGTGATGAAATTCATTAGTGATTTGTACTCATATTTTTTGTTTGTCAACTGATTTGTTGTCAACTAATTTACTAATTAAATAATAATAATAAATGATTTGATGTCTTTGTCAGTGAACACTCTGGGTGTGTGTGTGTTGGTGTCAGTGATGATCACCACAAACAGGTGCTGAAGACAACAGCAATAATAACAATGCAATCACTTTATCGGTGTATCGATTGCTTGTGTTGTTTGTAGTGATTCTTCAATCAATGTAAACATTGAATGTATTCAATGATATATCACGTGATATCATCATCACTGCTATCTATTATATGTATTAGTGATATATTCATACAATGTGTGTATAATTATTACTGTAGTATCTGTTATGTAATGTGTTATATAATGTATTGCCAGTCAATGACTTTTATAACACGTATAAGTTATTACTCATTAAGAAGTAATAAAAAAAATTTAAACTTTAAAAAAATTAAAATATATTTATTAATATAATTATCATATAATATTGTAACTATTATTTATAACTATAATTATTTAATTATATTTTTGTTGTAAATAGTATTAATTTAACAATTTTAAAGATATTTAAAAAAAATAAAACTATAAAAATTAGAGTAATATGAAAAATATGAAAATATATAGTAATATTAGTTAATAGTTTGAGTAATCAAAATATGAAAAATTTGTAAAATAATTATTAGATAAAATACAGTAATCAAAACTATTAAATTTGTGTGTTTACAAGTTTATCAATATTATTAAGTACACACAAAAGAAACTAAAACTAAACACAAAACTAAAATGTAACCAAGGTGTTTTAATAATAATAATAATTATTGTAATTATTGTAAAGTCGTGATCCCATTAGCTTTAACCATACTATTCACACAAGCAATAGTTTATTTTAAAAATTAAATTTTTTTAATTATTATATCTAATAATTTATACCCCGGTAGATTATAGACTGATTAYAAATTTATTGTATCATCAAATTTATAATCAATTTAGCTCCTAAATTAATAGCAAATTTTTTATATCAGTGTTTTATATCATGTAATAAACAAATAAATTAAATTAAATTATTTTGAAGTAAATATATATTTTTATATAACAAAAATTAAACGATTGAAAAGTTTAAAAATCTGATTTTTATTTWTACAATTTATTTTGTACTTAAAAAGTAGTTAAAACTTTTTTTTCATTTTAAAAATATTGATTTAAATGTTATTTATGAACGACTCGTTTTGTAAATATGTTTTGTATTGCATTACTGTATTGAGTGTTAAATGTAAACAACAATATATATAATGTATATATAAAAAGYAGACACTGTTTAGTAGTAATAATAATCGCAAGTAATTTGTTTAACAAATATATTATAGTTTTTCTCTCTCTCTCTCTCTCTGTGTATACCTATCGGTGCTGTTATTTAAATGAACAATCAGTTGCCTATTGTGACCAACAACTATTGTCCGCATAATATGTCGCAAACAACAACCGATTCCGGCGGCCATAATAATAAGGACAGCTTATCGGTGCGGTCGACAAAACCATCGCCGGTAATGGCAATGATGGCCGCATTGATAATGCTCGGCGGGACACCGGCCGAACTTAATCCGAACGCTTCGTGGCTCAACTCGCGCGGTATGTGGCTGTCCTATGTGGTGGCCGTACTGGCCCTTCATCTCATACTACTGTCCTATCCGTTCATTACGGTAGCAATGGTCTGGACATTGACCAATGTTTTACACAATTTGGTAAATTATAATTTTTTTTTTTAATTAAAACAATCAAATAATCTAATATCTCTCTGGTTTGTCCTCCCGTTTCTTCSCCYCCTATTGTTAGGTGATGTTTGTATTGCTTCACGTAATAAAGGGTACGCCCTGGGAAAGTGGTGATCAGGGACGACAACGAAAGCTCACTCACTGGGAACAGATTGACGACGGCATACAGTTTACACAGACCCGCAAATTCTTGACCATTGTTCCCATAATATTGTATGTGTGGCGCCTATACCTATAAAAACCATACTTTTGTTTATATCTTAAATATTAAATATTTTAATATTATTACTGAAATGTCTGTATTTTATTTTGATTGACAGGTTTTTTCTGACATCGTTTTATACGAAATACGATTCAATACATTTTGTGGTCAATTTTGCCGCATTGGTGTTGGTTTTGGTGCCAAAATTACCGCATTTTCATGGCGTCCGACTCTTCGGTATCAATAAATACTAAGAGTGAGTGAATGTGTGTGTGTGTGTGTGTGGGTGTATATGTTTTTTTAGGATGTGCCCGGAAATTATGGGTTAATTTTGTTGTCCCATTTTTAATCCAATGGTATCCAAATAATTTGTTAACTAAATATATTATATATATATATATATTTATTTATATATATAAATAATATTTTGTAAATTGTTTCATTTATTATTATTATTATTAGTATATATTTGATGTAAATTTTATATTATTATTACTACCGGCAATAAAATGTTATTTTTTAATTATAATAAAATAATTTCTAATTATTATTTATTACTGTATCATAAATTATGATTCATATTATATCCGATTACTATATATACCTGTATATATATATATATATATGCTAACACAACAAATATGATATAAATTAAATAATATAAATATAGTACAATATGCTTAATTTAACACTAATTAAACACAGTTTTTATATGTCATTTTTAAACATAAAATTGCAATATTTAATCATGCAATTATTGCAATTTTTTTAAATGTTTGTTATACCTGTAGTACAGTATAATTTATGTTGTATAATATATTTATATATATTGTATTTATATATCATTTTCTAGTGAATTATATGCTGTACTAAATTTAAAGTTTTCGACAACAAAAAAATCATATTATAATTGTTTACATTGTAAGGTAGAAATATTTTTATTAATTTTTTAGAAATAAAATTGATTATAATCATTGATTTATGACAATTTTATTGTATTAACAATAATCAGGATTCATTTTTAKTTTTTTTTGTTTTTGTAGGATTAACAATTTTGAAATATGATCTTGTCTATTTTTATCTAGGAAAATTCTAATAATCTAAATATATTATAATTAGAGATTTCCAATGAAGGCAAGTTCACTAATAAAATCTCTAAAAAAATCCATATTTTCCACACTTTACTGGACAATTAAGTCCAGTAATGTGTGGAAAATATGGAATTTTTGTTGGAAAATAAAACAAGGGAGACAAATTGCCCGAACCCTTATTATAATAAAACTAATAAATTTTAAACTTGCAATAATTGTAGACAGTTTTCAATGACAATCTGTCATCAATTATTGTAAGTTTTAAATAAAAAATTTATTATCATTAGAATAGATGCTCCCATGTGCCTTATCCAGGTGGCATTAGTGTAGTCAAAAATAAATCGTAATGTTGTATATGAATGGCTAATGCAGTATAATATTTAGTACGTACTAAACATTTTAGTACGTACTAAAATGTCTCTTAAAATAGAGTATACTTTAGTACGTACTGAAATATTTAGTACGTACTGAAATATTTAGTACGTACTAAAATGTTTAGTACGTACTAAATATTATGGTACATTTTTTAACTATATAACTATATAACTATACTGTTAGTTAGTTAGAAAAATAGTATCTATATTACAATAGAATCAAATATGATTTTAATTGATAGTTAATAAACTAATTATTATATAACTTAAGAGTACTCAAATAAAATAATTAAATGATATATTAATCGTATTTTATTGTTGTATTTTTGTTGAACAATGAAATTAAATTTAAACAAAAAATTTCATATTAATTAATTAAATGTAATATTATATAATTAAATGAATTAATTTTTCTTAGCACTTTTTTTAATTTTAATACATAAATTTTAATATTTAATTTTATCGGATTTAACTACTTATTAGTTATATTTTCTCTAAGCGATTTCAAATCAATCAAATTTATAGTTAGTTTAAATATTATCGTTAAATAACTCGTCGTCTAATGCCATTTCTTTTGATAAATTGTTGAAATCAATTGTCGAATCATTTGATTTTTGGTAAGCATTTTCTTTGGCAATAAGATCAGAAAAAATGTCTCCGAAAAATCACTTGAAAATTGTGTTGTTTTCTTATTAGTTGTCAAAACTTTAGTGTCTGTTTGATTGGTATTTGGTTTGCCATAAATTCCTAAATCTGAGATTAATATCTGAAAACAACAGACTTGACATTGATAGTAAATTTAAAGGCAAGTAATGCTTAGAACTTGAGATCAGTTGATATGACTTAAATGTATTAACTGATTTTGTATTAAATCCTATATCCGATAAATCAAAATCAACAAAAATGTTTACAATTTTTTTTGTATTGGATATCAAATCAGTTTTTGGTTTCTGTTTCAGTAGAGTTTCATTTTACAGCACTGACTTTGATAATTATCATCACTTTTATCTATCATTTTAGAAATTAAATTAAAACCAATATATTATATTTCTATTATAAATTATTTACTTTTATGACATTTCAATTATAATTACATGACTCACATTACTCATAAGCACATAGTATAATTGTAATAAAGTAATTTTTTATATAAGTTTAAAATAATCTATTACTTTAAATTTAGTATTTTTTTTAACTTAAATTTACTTAAAAAACAATTATCTCAATATACAAATTATATAATATTTAAATATTTTTTCGTTGATATACGTTAGTTAAAATTTAATACTAATATACTTTTTATTTTGTTAGTTTTTTAATTTAATAATAAATAAAATTTATAATTTTTCAAATAAATAAATAAAATTTTATGTTCATATATGTGCTACAAGTTGTTTTATTATTAAAATCATTAAAATTTACAAATATATATAAAATAATGTGTAAAAAACAATATTTATCAATTTATATGCAATAAAATAAATATCATAAAATACATTTTTAAAACAATATTATATTAATATTTGTATCTTATATAAACATTATTTTTTACAATTTTTTTATAAAAATAAACTTAATATGCATTACTCTGAAATTTATATGGTAAAATAATTATAATATATTTTCATCTGTATCTTATATTTGTTACTTTTTGTATAAATAGGATTATTAAATGTATTATTTTTGCATCAATAAATGCTCCAAAAAATTTATAAAATTATTATTAAAATAAAATAAATATTTTAGTAAATATTTATTTTGTTAACTTTATGTTTGCAATAAATAATTGTTTTGTATTGATTATAAGTTTTTGTTTTGTTTAGATAAATGTTTTGATTATAATTGTTCAATAAATTCATTATAAATAATAATGTGTGTATTTATAAGTTTATAATATTTACTAATAGTTTATTTTATGACAATTTTTTTGATAGAACCTTATTAATACATTTCAATGTATATTTAAATATTATTATATATTTTAGTTAATGATAATGTATTCATTTGTATATTTGACTATTTTATTAACAATAATAAATTAATTAATTTTTATATTCATTTAAATATTCAATTATTAATTAATCAAAAATTAATTAGAATATATTAAAATAAATAAAAAATTATTTTAAATCTAAAACATTTTATAAACTTTAAATTAAAATTTTAATTTTTATAATAAAAAATTGATTTTGTAATTCACACATATATATAAATAAATTTATATATCTATTTTTATTTTATAATTTTTCTTATGGTAAATGCTTTGTAAGTTGATTATGATTTATTATTTCTATAAATATTTATAGCTATTTATGTTGGATAGATGTAGATGTAGAGAATTATTTCATTGCATATCTATTTTTCTATAAAAAAATTCTACAAATATTTTTTAAATAAAGTTTAATTAAATAAATTATAAAAATAAACACAAAATATCTAATATCAATTAAACTTTATTATACTCTCAACTAAATGCATATGTATTAAATTAGTTTTGTGATTAATAGTTCATTTTAATGCTTTTCCTTTTATATTTTAGTTTTTAAATAAAATTTGCCTATTATTAGATTATATTATATGTGAAACAAATACAATAAAAGTATTGATCAATAATCATTATTAATGCAATAATGCACTATAATATATCTACTATATTTTAATACGGCTAAACTTTTTTTTAATAAAAATTGACCCTATAATAAAATTAACATTAAATTGAATAATTAAATACATAAACATTTTTATGCATTAAATTTAGTTATGATTCATTAAAATTTATATCATACAATATCAATGAGAAATAACATAAATTTCAATAAATATTAAATTATAAATATATAAATTAATTATTTACTAAATTAAAGTTATATATTAAATAATTATTTTAAAATTTTTACAATATTAAAAACAATTTCAATAAAATTACTAATATTATTTAATGCTAAAAATAACTAAATAAAATATAAAATTATTATTATAATACTAAAAATGGTTTTAAAAAAATTATATATAATTAAACATGTATAACACAACTTTAATCAATGCTAACAAATAATACAAAATTTAAATACAAAACAGATCTTATAATTCATGTATATTTGTTAAAAGAGTGTTATATAATATTATTTAAACATTCAATAAAATGAATATAATAAAATTACTATTGTAACTTATTTAGTTGTAATATATATAAAGTATAAAAATTCTAAAACATTTTACTGCATAAATGTATTAAAAATTTGCTCAACTGAACCCTATATGAAAACTTACTGTTGTTTTTTATGACTCATTATTTTATTATATCATTAATTCAATTGAAGTTTTTTCAAATAATTATTTATAACAAAATAGAAATAAAAATTATTTTTGTAACTAAAAAATATATAATTAAATTCATAAATCAAAACATATAATCAAATAAATTTGTATACCAAAAATATAAATTACAATTTAGATATAATTTTTTAAATGTTAAAAATAATTCATTACATAAAATATTAAATTAAAAGAAATGATTATTTTTTTGTATTATTTAAAATTTAAATAAAGATTTTAAAATTTATAATCAAGTACTTAGGAAATTATTTTATATATTATTCATTTTGATACTAGTATTAAAAATGATAAAATAAAATTAGAATTATTTAATTGTCTATTTATTTTATTAAAGTAATATAAATATTTTATTATTGATTAAATTGAAAACAATGTTAGCAATTATATAAAACAATTTATAGAAATGTATATCTTTTATAATATCAAAAAATTAGTAATAACAAGTAAACTTTAATCAAACTATATATTTAATTATACAAAATAATTTTTATACAAAATTTGTTAAACATTTATTTGTTAACAAAACAAATAAATGAAATAAAAACTTTTAGAAAAAATTAATCAATTACATTAAATATTATATTAATAATGTTATAAATTTTTAAAATAATAAATATTATTTAATATTTATAAATATTATACATTTAATTATATATAATTAGCAGAAATAAGATACAAATGATAATAAAAATTATGTTTAATTTAATTAAATTATAAAATATATAAATATACCTATTTAAATATGTAAATATTAATTTGTTATTCCTTTAAACATATTTTTGTAAGTGTAAAATCTTTAATAAAATTAATTTATTTAATTTATAAATCTAACTATAATAAGTCTTTTTATATTTAAATTGGTTAAAATTATTATTTTGTTTAGTAGCAAATTTTAGTGCAATTAACATCAAAACTACTAGTAATTATATTATAAATATGAACACATTTTATTTATTTCTTTAAATAAAATATACATAGTATTTTTAATTAAGTTAAAAATTAACAGAAACTGTAACAAAATAAAGTCTAATAAAAATCACTGACAAATATTTATTTTAATTTTTTTAATATTGAAGTTATATTATTTGGATATTAAGCTAGTTTGCTAGTATAATTTTAAGATTTTTAATATAATAATTGTATATAAATTTAAATTATTACGTTATTACAATTATACTGTTTCATATGAGTCATGTTAAATATGTATTATAAATAATGATTTTAGTTGTTAAAAAATACCAGAAACTGTAACAAAATAAAGTTTATTACATATTATATTTAAGTATATCAATGATATATACTAAATATGTCAAATATAAATTAAGAATTAAATAAAAATAATTATGAATATAAATATGACATTTAAAATTTTATTTAGTTATATTATTTTTGAATCGTCTTATATGGTATAATTAATATTTAGTTAAATCCGATAATATAAAAACAATTTTTTACATATTAAATTAAAATGAAATTTTTTTAAATAAGTTTAATTATAAACGATTAATAATTATTAAATTATAATATATTTTATTATTTTAGTCTAATACAAGTAGAATAATTAAAATTAAATTATTATCAATTATAATTATATTAGAAAGTATTATATAAACTTTTTTCTAATTAACTAACAGCATAGTTATATATTTTTAAAAAGTACCATTGAATAAAAATCCATTGCTCTCCACAACATATATATACATACTGTACTAATAGACTATCTATACGTTAGATATACTGTACTGTATATGTATTGCTTATGTAGCATACATTTTAGTATACAATTGTCTCACTCAACTGTTGTTGTACTTCACTCACTGGTATCAAATTAGATTGAGTTGAGGACATGTTTTGTTGATCAATTGACGGTACAATTGGCTGATGATAACTGTTTTCAGTTGATATGTCTTCAGATATATCTAAATCAACGCCTGTCTATTCGTTATCGTTAGTCACTTCCATGGACTCTTGAGTATCGGTTTCATACATATTTTTGTGACCATTTTTCTGTTGATTTGCAATATGTGTCAAAATATTGACATCTAATTTAAAAATAAAATATTAGTTGTTTCGGTTATTTATATATATATATATATTTAAAAATATAAAAAATACTTACGATCAAAATCACATTTATTTGAATACATATTTAATAAACTAAATTATAACTTTCTAACGGTATAAATAATAAAAAAATTTAATATTATTTAATTATTTTTAACGACATAACAACATCATTGATATCCATTGTTTTTCACAACACATATACATACAACACTATACAATCAATCAATCAAACAGACTATCCATACTATTGATATACAGTACAGTATATGCATTGCTTACGTATCATACATTTTAGTACGTACTAAACATTTAAGTACGTACTAAATATTATACATATCAATCAAACAGACTATCCATACTATTGATATACTGTACAGTATATGCATTGGTTATGCAGCATACATTTTAGTACGTACTAAATATTGCTCTCCACAACGCATACATATATACTGTACAAATAGACTACCTATACATTAGATATACTATACAGTATACCAGCATTACTGTTAATATTCTGTATAGTATATGCATAGCTTATATACAGTAAATGGCTTTTAGTTTATGATAAATTCGCCAGGGTCAGCACCTGACGGAGCATAAAATTTTAATAAAAGTTTATTTTCACAACTCAAATGGGAGCTTCTATTCTAATGAACGTGTTGTCTAAGACAACATAAAACTTAATAATTTTAGAATATATTTAAAAAGAATATATAATATTATCTAATATATTAGAAATTTTTAAAAAACGATTGATAACAGATTGTCACTGAAAACTGTCTTCAATTATTGCAAGTTTTAAATTTATTAGTTTTATTATAATAAGGGTTCGGGCAATTTGCCTATATTTATATAATATCCATATTAATCAATTTACAATATAATACTGCATATAATAATTATTGAATTTCATGTATATTATATAAATTGTATAATTTATACAAATAGTGATTAAAATACAAATACAAAGTCAAACGGTTKCTTATTATATGATTTGGATAGATATCGATAACCCGGCGGTCAATATATTTAATCGCAACAAATATGTGTTTCACATATTTTGATGTCTCTATTTATTATACAGTACTGTACTKTATTAATAGGAATAATTTTGATTTWCAAAAAYCATACACACATAGTACACATGTGCACACTGTTTAGATTTTGCTACAGAGTTGCATATTGTTTATTGATAAAGATATGTAGTAACCAGGGTTTTAAAGAAATAAATGCCTGCCTTGGCAATGCCCTAATAGATGCCATAARTGCCTGGCATTTGGGCATCTATTTTATTTGCTTGCCATTTTAAATTGCTAAAAAACAACTGTATTTATAAAAATAATRTAATCTACTGTTTTTAGCGTATTAATTAAATTTACAATTAATTTACTTATTTCCAATGATATCACCWTTTAATTAAAGGTATACAAAATAAAAATACAAACAAATATATTTTTAAACAATGTTTTATAAATAAATATAATATAAAATTAAAATAATAGTTGTCAYTACCTAAAWATAGATRTCCAGGGCATATCAGAGGCAGGACAGGCATTTGGCAAAATTGGTATCTATTGTTTATGCCTGCCATTKTTTAAACCCTGGTAATTATACAGTATACAGTAAATAACACCTGTTTTGAACAGTAGACAAACAATGACAAACATTTTTTTTAAAAAAAGCATGCACGTGCGCACGCAACTATCATAGACAAATGTACATAATATAGTGAATTACAGTAAACTTTCAATAAGAAAAACAAAAATTTATGAAACCTTGACAACACTTTACGGTATTTTTAGTATTATTTTTTGACATTTTTTAGGGGAGAGTCTTAAACAGCGGYGGCGGCGATGATAGAGKAGATGCTATTAATTACAATTATCTGGTCAACAATACGTATGATTTAAAARTGAYCAAGGGCAAAGTTGTAGATAATTTTAAACTTAATAARATTGTAATTAGTCATTTTTTAATTTATTGTGTTAATGGCTAGATAATTGTAGTTGACTATTATTATTTAATTTTTTTAACAATCGACTGTAAATTATCTGGCMAATCATACAATTAATTAAAAAATTACAATCTTATTCAGTTTATGATTATCTACAACTTTGTCCTTGGTCACTTTTTAAATCAAACGTATTATAGACMAGATAATTGTGATTCAATAGCATCGCCGCTATYATCGCTGCCRTCGYTGTTTAAGACTCCGGTTTTTTAGAACTCAATATGTCTATCAATTGATGAAATTTTATTATTGTTTACTACTATTACTAATCAAAATTATTTCGCATTATAACTACGGTATAAATAAATTGATCCTGCTCAATTAAACAACGCGTTTTGATTATTTTAAATAGCTGTAAGTTATTAAATTTTTTTTGTTCGCGCGTGTAATACGTGCTAATATTATACTCAGAAAAAATACATATTTCACACATAGTTTTAAATTATACACCCACATATTGCACGCACACATATATATATTTTAATATTTAACGATTTAGGATTATCAGATTATTAGCTTATATAGTCATTACTAAAAAAAAAGTGTCATAGCATTTTTTTAAAATAAATAAATAAATAACTAATATCATAGTAGTAATATGTTTTAAATTTTATAATATATTATTCATAATACTACTACTATTACTAAAATTTAATTTATAATTTTGAATCGTATATTTTTTTGATAATGATTAAGTTATTTTACTATTTACCCTAAGTTTTATTTTATTGCCAATGATTATTGRAAATTATTTTTGATTGCCACTGATATTTATACAGTATAATTAAAAATTTTAATTATTTTACTATAAGTAAGTAATACCATATTATATAAGTTTATTTATACAATTATATAATTTTGATAATGATTGTTTAATAATGTTGAAAGAATTGGCTAATTATAATTAAACTAAATAAACTACAGTATAGTTGTTTGACAATAATAGTCAAAATTTTATTATAATTAATGTAATTTATTTTTATAAACTATTAATAACTATTATATACGATATACAGTAAGTTTTGAATTTGTATTAATGTGATAATTAACTCGTTTTTCATTAATAGATATTATCTATTAGATAACAACAATAACAAAGAGATAATAATAATAATAAGTGAAAATTACCGAAAAATATGTCTCAGCCATACCCACCATACGGTCAGCCGCCTCCCTATCCTCAAGGTTATGGACAGCCCTACCAACAGGGTTATGGTCAACAAGGTTATGGTGGTCAATATCCGGGTATGTATTTTGTTGTAATTTATCACAATAGTAATTATTAAAGAGGATTGTATCAATCTATAGGTCAACAGCAACCTCCAGCACCTGGCTTTGCAATGCCACCACCACATCAAGGTGCATACGGCTATCAAGACCCAAACGTTGGCTATAACTCGGGATCACACAATGTGACCGTTTCGGCAAATGAAACCGATGTCAACCATTGGGCCGGTTTTACCGATAAGAATATACGGCGAATGTTTGTCCAAAAAGTTTATTCAATACTAAGTATTCAGCTCTTCATAACATTTGGTTTGACGGCTATCGTAGTTCTCACGTAAGGGAGAGAGAGAAAAAAAAACATTTTTGGCCACTTTTTTAAAAACTTTTTAAAACCATTTTTTCAGACCATCCATCAAATCCTGGGTTAGACAAAACACTTGGCTCTATTGGGTCTCTTAGTAAGTATCATTGATATAACCAACTTCTTAGATGTATGAATAGTATCAAACATTTTATGTACCAGTATTTAAATTAATCGATAATAATAATAATAATAATTATTATTTTTATTTTTATCCCATTGAAACAGTGTCGTATTTTTTTCGCTATACATAACCCTCATGTGCTGCAAAGGTCCCCGACGTAACTATCCGACCAACTTTATACTACTGACGCTATTTGTATGTATTATCAGAAAAAAATTGTTTGAAAAAAACACTACTAATTTATTTTTAATAATATATATATATATATATATATTTTATGTCTAGACTATTGCATTGAGTTTTATGGTTGCTATGCTCTGTTCGTTTCACAACTTGACCAGTGTTTTGATTGCCGCCGGCATTACAGCCGTGTGCTGTACAGCCGTAACAGTGTTTTCGTTTTGGACTAAAGTAAGTCTAATGGGGTTGGGGTGGGGTTGGTGTCAGTTGAAAATGATACCACAGAAAATTTATTATTACTGTACTAACTGTCCTATTGATACATCCGTGTTTTTTTGCGGCACAGTTTGATTTTACAAAATTGGGCGGTGCTCTGGCCATTGCCTCGCTCGGCCTATTCATTATGGGCATATGTATGTTGTTTATAAAAGCAAAAATCTTGTTAATCGTTTACGCTGGTATCGGAACTGTATTATTTATGCTGGTATGTAATGAAATTAAATAATCTGAAAAAACTTTCTTTTTTTTAAAATTTTGTTGTTGTTTAACACTTAACCACCAGTTCCTGGCATACGATACTCAGCTGATCACTGGCGGCAAAAAATATGAGTTGAGTCCCGAAGAGTATATAATGGCCTCAATTATGTTATATGTGGACATTGTCTACATATTTTTGATGGTTCTTCAACTGGTCAGCGCCGGCAGGGACTGAGAGTTGGCTATAAAATGTTGTTTTTTTGTGGTCAAAAATCTCAATAATTTAATACAATATAATATTTTTGACATAAATTGCTATTATGTCGATAAAATATATTATTGTGCACTTAATATTATTATTATTATCAGCACAATATAATCTTTTATTTTACCAAGAAAAATATATAAAATATTTTATTATATATTTTTTTATGGAAATTAAATATAATAGCACTACCGTAATTTTTTTTTGTTTGTTTATTAAACTATTGGCAATTATTAATTATTGAGATATTTAAAAAAAAAATAAAGCTAAACATTACAGCTATTTTAAAAATATATGTATTATAATTCCCATAAAATAATTGTTAAAAAATAATTTCAAATTATTTAAATTACAATTAAAAAAAATAATTTTTAGATTACATACCAATTATATTTTAATCAATCTCTAAGTTTAATAAAAAATATAATTTATTGTATTATATTGTATTGATAATCAATACTAGTCTTCTTCACACTAAACAAATTGATGGCACTTTAAGATAATTAAATATTAATTGTAAACAAATGAACAAAAATTATTTAAATGATACATATATTAATATATTTGTATGAAATGAAAATAATTTTTTTAATAAACTGAAATTTAATATTAAAATATTTTAATCATTTATTAAAACATTTTTACTAATTGCACAAAATTTTAGTAATTTAAAATAAATTTATTTAATTTAAATGACTCACCTAAAAAAATCATCAAGTTAGAATATAAATGTAAGTTATAATAAAAGCAAATAAATTAATAGTTAACTTATTTTAAATAAATACCGTTATCTAACAACCAAAATGATTGCTGATATGCTATTATAATAGTTTTTTGCGATAATATAAATATTGTAATATATGGTATATATATAAATATAATAATAAAATTATAAATAAATTTTATGTGTTTGTTTATATAGTTACAGAAAAATTTTATAGCAATCTATAATATAGATTCTATATATTAACAATTTTTTTATTTTATTACATAAACTCTTATATATAGCCTTAAATACTGTATGTATATATATATATATAACTTATATATACTGTATATAGACACCACATAACAACCTATTGATATGATTGTTATTGTTATGTAATGTAAGAGTTTATTGATATCATAAACAATATGAAATTTATTTAGGCGTCATTTTAATTTAAATAATGTAATAATAATAATAATACTCATAGCAATTAAATTTACTGATATCATAAAAGATAAAATTTATTAGTAAAATATTTAACTATATAATATATATTACCATATATATATATATATATATATTGTTACATTTTAGTCTATTTAATCTATAGTTATGATTCATCATGTATTAAATATATAATAGTAATATTGCAATATTTATTTAAGTCGATATGTTATCGTAATTTAAACATTTCAAAAATAACTATATCTACAATACTTTAATACTCAACTATTAACAAATTGCATTTTACAATAAAAAAAATGATATTTAATATGTTGTGTTAAATTGTAAGATTGAAATTAGTAATAGTGTAATAATAATAATTATTAAAAAACAAATTGTCACATAATATTTTTTTTTATTGATTGCTATTAATATTAGTGTATATTTCGCACAAAAATGACTGAAAACCAGCAGTACATGAAAGCGCCAGCGGAGCCACCATTGTTTGTACCATTATCTGGACAACCATTTCAAACACAGCCATTAGTTGAACCATATGGATATACCGGTTAGTTATTCAAATTCATATATGTACACATTTTTATGTATTTTTGATATTTGCCATCAAATAAATTGATTAATTACAATTCAATTTCAGGTCAAGCGGTACCCCCGGCGCCGGGTTTTAATTATACCCAACCACCACAGGCTCCCCCTGTATACACCCAATCCGCACAACAATACCCCGCTGGTGGCGATCCAATGGGTGGTTCATATAATATTGAGGTTACAACCAATGAAACCGATGTCAACCATTGGGCCGGTTTTACCGATAAGAATATTCGGCGAATGTTTGTCCAAAAAGTTTATTCAATACTAAGCTTACAGTTGTTTATAACATTTGGATTGACAGCTATTGTTGTATTAACGTATGTTAATTATAGTGATTTATCTCAATTAAATATTTATAATAATATACGGTATGTTTGGATATAATAACTATTGTTTTACAGACCATCGATCAAACATTGGGTTCAACACAATTTGTGGATTTATATCTTTGCTTAGTATGTGCTATACTTTATAATTAATTATTACACATTTTATTAATATTTATATAAAGTGGATCAAAATTTAATTAATATCTATCCATATGACAGTTGTTTTTTCTTTGTGCTCTACATTACACTAATATGCTGTCCCGGACCCCGACGCACATATCCAACCAATTTTATACTACTGTTTCTATTTGTGAGCGATTAAAATTTATCAATTTAAATGGCTTATTGTTTAGTTATAATTATTTAATATTATATATCTATATGAAGACAATTTCGTTGAGTATAATGGTTGCTATGATCAGCGCCTTTCATGACCTATTCAGTGTGTTGACCGCCGCCGGCATTACCGCCGTGTGCTGTACGGCTGTCTCACTATTTTCGTGTTACACTAAGGTATAGGCAAACTATTTCATGATATTTATTTAAATAATAAATTTATTGTAAATAAAAAAAATTTACGCACCAAATAGTTTGATTTTACACGCTTATGGTGGGTGCTATCTATAGCTTCTCTGGGCCTAATTATTATGGCTATCCTAATGTTAATTATGCGCACAAAGATATTGTTGATTTTGTACGCCGGTATCGGAACCGTTGTATTTATGTTGGTATGTTAAACATGAATTTAGTTATTATTTTTAATATAACACTAATGTTTATGATATGATTGATTAACTACCAGTTCCTGGCCTATGACACCCAAATGATTTTGGGCGGCAAAAAGTATGAACTATCGGCTGAAGAGTATATATTGGGTTCACTATTGCTTTATCTCGATATTGTTAATATATTTTTGTTGATCCTCCGACTGGTTGGTGGTGGGGGTAAAGGCTAATTGTCTTTTATATTCAATTAATATAATAAATGTGGCCATACGTACTGTAATCAGTTTATAAGCTTAATACAGTATATACTGTAGTTTATTATACATTAGACTAATTTAATTAAATTACATTTAGTTTTTTAATGCCATAAATATACTGTCTATCTTGTTATTTACCAAATATACTAATTTATTTTATAACGTTTAATGTAATATTGTATTTATTATACAAAACTTAAATTTAATATTTAAATTATTGAGTATCTATCACATTGATTATTAATATTATTATTATATATATAAAATATGTGTGCTTAATTTATTGTTGTGAAGTTTTATAATTATATTAAAAAACAAAATTATACCTATATTTATAAAAAAATAAAATTGAAACAATTTTTTAAATAAAATTACTGGACGTCTGGTAGGAAACGTCCAAACGATTGATACATAGATTTGTGACAAAACTGGACGGCATAGACTGGTGGCCGCAATAGATGAGCACCGCTACCACTGACCGGTACACTGATGTTCTCATCTATCGGCGCCATAATCTCGACCATCCTATCGGGACTGGGAGGTCGGGGCGGAGTACATAGTCGTTGTCGTTCATACTTATCATTATTAACGGGTATGTCTTCGCTGGGCGTAACGGTAATGACTTTGTTTGCATCAGTGGATGTCAGGTCTAGTGTTTGTTGAAGAGGTTGTTGGCAATGAATTTGTTGACCGTTTTGTTGCGATTTCAGATAAACAATGAATAGTAGCGATGCTATGCACCCGCATATAGATATCAAACTGATGGCCATTAAGACGATGTCCGGTGCGTTCACTATCACTATGTTTTGAGGTATTTCCTCGCTTTGATACTCTCTTTCAGTAAAATTTGACATTTTTTAAAAATAAAAATGTTTTATGTTTTGAACTTATGTGATATTTATTATAAAATTTATATTAAAACACTAGATTTGACAAAAATTTATTATTTTAAATTTGACGACACATTACAACTAATAATATACAGTAAAATATAAGTAATAAAGGTTTATATTTTAAAAACAACTATTTTATCTAAAATAATTAAAATTTATACAAATAGTGCAATAAATTCAAGGTTTAAAATTATTGGTTATTTTTTTGTGAATTTATATGTATTGATTATTTTTTAATTAAATTAATAGATTTATTTGTATTCTAAAATGTATTATTTTTTAATAAAAGTCAATAAATATGTTTGATATCTCATAAAAAATAATATCACAAAAAGTGCATAAAATAATTTGTGTACTATTAATATATAAATATATATTAAAATAATTAAAATTACTTTAAAATAACTGACAATATTTGACAATAATTGACATTGATTAACACATTAGTACTATTATACCTTGTTTTTATAAAGCATTTTCTGCAAGTATTTCTCTCAAAGTAAAGTATAAAATCGTTTTCATTAAGTTATACTTAGCATTACTTTTATAATTATTAATATTTATTAATCATTTAGATTTTGATATTTATATTGACATAAAATATTAATACAAAAATTGCAAATAATATAATAAATACAATATATGTGTAACGCATGTGCTTTACCTCATACTTTGTAAGTATGGTTTTTATTAAGTATTTGAAGTCTACTTTCTCTCAAAGTTTTGTGTTTTTGTTAACTTTAAAAGTCAAGTATAAGTAGTGTTTTTATTAAGAAATTTTGAAAATACTTTGAGAGATTGCTTTATGAAAACAGGGTATTAGGCTATATATCATTTTTTTGTAAACAAATATTTAATAAATTAATAATATGTGATAAATTGGAAAAAATCTACTTAAATACTATAGATATATAAGACAAAAGATTTTAATCTATTTTTAAGCTCTTAATAGTATATTATTTAACAAACACTAACATATAGTTAAGTTTAAGATTAGTTTTTTGAAAACAATTTTAATTCAAAAATTTCGGGAAAATTGGTTCCCGAGGCTCGACTGGTTCCATGAAACGGGATTCATGCGCCTCATAATCATGATTAGGATGTCTGTGTTCAATGTGATGCTCTCCTTGAACGGGTACGGCCTGTACTTGGCCATACTGTCCATTGCGTGCGGCCACCAAAAACTGTCTGATCTGTGATTGTGCCTCCTGGGGATCCATTTCACGGTTCATTGTCATACGGACTTCGCTTACTTGCATGAAATTATTGGGATCTTTGGGATCCCGATAGGTATACGACATTTTAGTGCCCCACGGCGTCCCCTTTGTATTTTCGTTACCCATCAACTCTTTTTTATAGTCAATTCTCGGATCCTTTTTTTATGACATATATTAGATAACAATAAAAATGTATAATAATTTAGATATTTATATAAAATAGTTAACTAAAAACCTGTTTGACTATAGGCTGTGTGTTTGGCTGTGGTCTCGGCTGTTCATTGGGTATATTGAAAGCAAAATCCGAATCGAGATCGTCCCGATCGGCACCACTGGACTCGTAAAAGTCGTTACCGAAACCATCGTTGGTGTCATAGCTCATCTGCGAGTGTTGGAATGGCTCAAAACCTTGCGGATGATATGACTGTTGTGGTGCCGGAGGTGGTGGCGGAGGCAGCGGTCGGACATTTATATGGTCACTGCTCGACATGTCCGGTATGTTAAAGGCCAAGTCAAATGACGAGAAATCGGGTGCATTGGGAAAGTGTCGACGCAATTGTTCCTGTATTTCTTGCGGTGTCGGCGGTCGATGTTGTGTATGCTGTGGTGTCGGAGCAACAGATTTCTGGTTACCATTGTTTGCTTGTTCAGCAACAGTAGGAATACTATTATTGTTAGTCATTTGAATGTGATGGTCACTGGTCGGCCCGTTATTAAAAAAATTACTAAACTGGTATCCTATACGTCGGGCATTTGTATAATGTTGGACTTTATGATTGTTGTTACTGTCATTGTTAATGTTATTCTTGTTATTATTATTTTTGTTATCACTTTTGTCGTTATCATTATAATCAACACTCGATTTGGATTCACCCCTAGAAATGGTCAGTTGGTTGTGATTTGGCTGAACTTTAGTAGCGATTGTCTGTGTATTACTCGGCCGAAACACTTCCAACATTCCAACCGATGACGAATTGGTGGCACCGGTAGTGGATTTGTCATCATTTTTGGCTATTCGTTCACCAAATTTTGCTGATGTCGTCACCGCTATTACCGATGACAGTACAATAGATACCAATGCTATGCACTTAACTATGTTTATCTGTGAAATTGATTATATACAATATAAATTAGATAAATTAATATTTATAATTTAAAAATAATCAATATATATATATACTTATATAAATAAAATACTTACCCTCATGATAATTTAAATAGTACTTTGAGATATAATTTTGTTTAAAAAAATCACATCAACAACAACAACAACATTAACGAAATATTAAACTTATTAAAAGATTAAAATTTTATTACTGAATGCCATATCCAGTGGTGGAAAAGCTTCTGTAAAAGCAAACAGTGAAAGTCCTCCTGTCATACGATAATAATAATAAATAATAGCTTTTGTATTAATAAAAAATAATTTTTTTTGAACACAATTTATTGTTTTAAATAGATCTAAAATTGTGATAATTTATATATATATTTTGTTTGCAAAATTGGATGGATAGGAATCGAGACCTCAAAAACTTATGGCACATATATATATCTCTATTAGTTATTATATACTACAGTATATCGCACACAAGCGGCGGGGGTAACGCTCCTCCCTTACCTGTTATAACTGTCCCGTAAAATATTAAAACTACCTGTCGTTTTATAAAAAAATACAAACTGATGGAAAAAAGTGATATATGAGTAAAACTTTTGTCTTATATTGTATGGTAACTGAGCTGCTCTTTGAGCTAAGCATTTGTCATCTAAACAGACCGCACGAGTCCTTCAAGTTTATTATTAAAAGCATTTATTAGTATTATTATTATTATCGCCTATTATTTTATTACAATATACTGTAATACAGTAATTGTATATTAAATGTAAAATTTTTTATTGTTATTAAAAATATTAATAATATTATTATTTAACTTTTGTTTTCTAGTGTAAAATAAAACGGCAACAAAAATAATCGCTTGACTGACTCATATAATTGGGTTAAGAAAGCGAGTGTCAAACAAAAAAAAAGCATTGAATACAATAATAATAATAATATGACTTTTATAACTAATTTAGTATATATTATTTGTATATTAATTTATATCTATATAACAGTATGTAACATATATAATAATTAAAATATAAAATTTTTTAAAACTCTGTTATCATAATAGTTTACTTTTTTATAATAAAATATTTTATTTGTTATAATTAAATAAATACGATTTTAATAATTACTGCTAAATATTAATTAATAATTATTTTGTTTTTAATCTAACTTATACTGTACTAATATTAATATTGTAAATGCAGCATTAAGTTATTTTTTTATTAAAATTAAATAAAAATATTTCACTTATTATAATATAGTTAAACTTTTAATATCATTTCTAACCGATTAATGAGATAATAATTTAATTTAATTTTTATTTGAATTTGTTATCTTTTATCTTTGTATTTTTTTGTATTGTTGTTAACAGTCATGCGATACTATTAATAAAAATTATTTTTTTATTTATCAATAAATTTACTATAAATAAAAATCCTTGTGTTTTACACTCTATGAAATCAATTCCGTATAACCTATTGTTGTATTGAAAAAAAAACTTTTTTTTAATGCATTAATAATATGCACTTTAAATATGTATTTAAAATGTTGAAAATTAATGTCTAATATGCAAATTATTAATGGATTAGTATATCAGTGACCTTTACAACAATTTTCTTAATAAATATATATAAAAAAAATATTATAAGGAAATAGTCATTTTGTGATTTTCATAGATTTGTTAATTTTATGTTTATATTTTACATTATCCACTAAATATAGTATTGATTTACTAATATTATTTTAATTGAAACATTAAAAACTTAATATTTAAACTTGTTATTTAAAGCTATTT